CTGGCGTTTGAGATCTCCGATTAGAAGACCGTTGAGGATCTCCCGCGCCTCGTCGCTGTGTCCGACGTCCTCGAAGGCTTCCGTGGCGTCCTGGCCGCCTACGTCGAGCATGACTTCTTCACCACCCCTGCGTCAACCCCAGCATTAGCACATCATCTGCCGCCAGAGCTGTTGTTTGGGGTTGGGGTAGGTAGAGACGTACGGATGCTCATCCACAAACGAACTAGCATTGTACACCTTATCGTGGATCACGACGTAGAGGTCCTTTTTGGACGTGTGTTCCGCTACGTCGGAGTAGGTGAGGGTTTTGGAGTCGGCCATTGTTGTCCGTCTGTCCTCTTCTCTTTCTCTCAAGGGCTCCTGCTTCTTCTGAAGGTGGGTGAGGTGGTGTTCGTCTGGAGTGGTCTCCACCGGTTGTGGTCTGCTCGCCTTAGCACGGTTCGATGAGTCGGTGTGTCGCGCGGATCGTGGAGTGGAGCGGACGAGGCTGAAGTTGAAGTGACGGTCGGAAAATCACGAGACTGAGTGGTTCGATATCGGAGTGGTAGACAGAGGTGAGGTGCAGTAAGCCAAATCCAAAGTTCCGTTGATTCGTTTCGCTCCTCTGTGTGGGGTCGGCTTCGTCGTCAAGATGTGCGGCTCTTCAACATGCCGGGATTTCCATTCCGCTTTCTTCCATCCGACACGGATACCTCCTACCGATATGAGAGCCCCATCAAGCAAGTATCGAATAGACAGACACGAAGGGTATATACCTTACCAAAAGCCTGACAACAACGGAGATTGGCAGTACGTAAGGTAAAATCTAGCTTCGCTGCCAACGCTTTTTAGAAACACACCACCTACTATACACACCCACGTACCCGTTATGCTCGCAAGTGCCAACAAGAACAAGAAAACAACAAACAGATCCACCACCAGTCTCCCGTCCTCCAAACCCCCTCTCCTCCCCAACCATCTCGAAGCCTGTGTCACTCTCGGCCATGCGACCTCTCCCTACGAGTTATTCCCCACAACCTCCAAAATCACATCCCTCGCCCCTTCCACCCCCTCCCTACTCCCCAAAATCTCAATCGCCTCCCCCCTCGTCTGATCCCGAGGGACCTGAATCCGGGTCCCGGTAACCTCCCGAATCCTCATAATCTCACTGCCCTTCGGACCGACAACATGGCGATACGCGCGCGGGTCGGGGAGGATGAGGAAACCGATGGAATCCTGCGTTTCTGCCTCTTTAATAGCGGTTTCGAGTCGGGATTGCGCGGCGGCGACGGCGTCGGACGAGGGGCCGGAGAGGACCCAGGGGATCTCGCCGGATTCCGAAGAGGAGTGGAGGGAGTGCAGTTCCCAGACGTGGTTGTTGGCGTTCGCGGACGGGTCGTCGGTGATCAGGGGCATAGCATCGCCGGCACCGGAACGACTCGGGGTAGGCGCGGAAGGTTTCGGCGGCGGGCGCTGCCCGGCGTGGTCGACGGTGACGCGGTGGTCGTTGCGCAGGCGACGGAAGAACTGGCCGTTGTCGGCGATGGAGTGGTGGAGGCGGCGCGGGACTTGCACCGTCTCGCCCTCTTGGTCTTTGGTGAGGTCGAGGATGTGGGATTTCGCCTTTTCGACGTTCTCCGGGCGGCCGGCGATGCGGACTTGAGAGCGTTGCGGGCCGGTTTCGGTTTGGCGGGGGACGTTGATGGTGACCCCGAATTGCTGCTCGAGTTGGCGGCGGGTCTCGCCGCCGCGGCCGATGAGGAGACGGTGCTTGTCGGGCTTGACTTCGGCAATGTCTGTAGTTTGGGACTCTTGCTCCTGGACGAGGGCTTCGATGGCTCCGCAGATCTTGTCTACGACCGGCTTTTGACCTTCGACACGAATGGCGTTGCCTTCAGCGTCCGTCTTCGGGAAGCGGATCATGCGGTTGTGCAGGCGTGTATCATCAGGACCACCAGCTTGCGTGATGATGTTGCGCAAATTCGAGCCTGCAGTCTGTTAGCACCTCCTATTTTGACCAAAAGATCGAGAGTCCATACCTTGCGCCCCAATAATCAACCGATGAAACCTCCTCTCCACCTCCAGATTCCTCGTAACCGTATTATCGAAAATCTTCGCCTTCTCCTCAATCAGCCTCTTCGCCTCCTCGACAGCCTTCTTCGACCCCTTGATCTTGATCTCCGCCCTGCCACCCGGACTCATCGCCTCCCTCGCATTCGGCACATCGATCTGCGCTCCCGTCTCGAGCCGCAGATTCTCCATCTCCTTGCCACCGGCACCGATGAGCGAGGGGAGCTGGTTCTGCGCAACCATCACGGTGGCAGTGAACGAGTTGTCCTTGACGTACTGCAGCAGACTCAGCAGCTCCTCGCGACAGGCGTCTGCGCCTCGGCTGGGGCCTTTGATGATGACTTCGTGCGGCTGCTGGTTGTTGCGACGTGCGGGGACGTTCTCGCCAGCTTCGGAAGCATCGTCGTGCGCTGCGTCTCGGCTTCGCGGGAAATTGACACGCACGCCGTAGCGATCTTGCAAACGGTTGACCTGCGTGCCTTGGTGACCAATAAGATCGCGGTGGAATTGTGGTGGAATGTTGAGGTGGTGCTCAGCTTCGTCCTCAAGCTTCTTCGCCATGTCGAGGATGTGCTTCTTGCAGGCATTGGCCTTCGCCTCCGGACCCTTGACCTCGCATTTGCCTTCGTTGATCTGAATGTCGACGTCGAACTCCTCGCGCAACCGGTTGATGTTCTCGCCTCGTCGTCCAACAAGGTGATTGGCGAACTTCTGCGGGAAATCAAAGCTGGTCGTGTATCCACGCTCGAGCTCATCCTGCTTCTCCTGTTCGATGAACGCAAGCAAGCTCTGCATCAGTGCATCGACCTCGTTCTGCGGACCACGGAGATTGACATTCGGAGCGGGAGCACGTCTTTGCTGCTGCGGTTGTCGCGGGCCTCCATACATGACCTGCGCTGGTATAGAGCCCTCAGGAAGCGAAGAGTGGTGGCGGTCAACGTGCCGTCGGATCTTGTCGTGGAACTTCACAGGCGCTTCGACTTCACGGTTGACGATCTGCTCACGTCCACTGATCATGCCGAGAATCTCCTGCTGTGCCTGTTGCAGCGCTTGCTGAAAAGCCTGTGTGTCTTGCGCCGATGGTTGTCGTCGAGGTAACTGGTACTCAGGCGAAGGTGTACGATCTTCAAAGACAAGCAGTACTGGAGCGTCATCGCCTTCCTCAGGCAGGATGACACGTACACCGTGCTGCTGTCGGATGTTGCTGGCAGCTTGTTGGCGGAGGTGTTCGTGGTAGAAGGGGTCGACCTCAACAGGGTGGAAGCGTGTCGGAGGATGCCCGCTAATCAAGTTCATGACGTCCGAGCGAGCCTTCATCGCGTTCTTGCCGTCACGAGCGTAAATCTGCCATGCGCCGGTGCTGTCTGGAACGATGCGAGCGTTGTGCATGCGCTCGAGCTCTTCGATGGCTTGCCGTTGCTGCAGGTACCTAGTAATGTCGCGTGCATGCGCCTGAGCACCTCGAGGCGCATTGGCGTGCTGCTTCGCGATATCCGCGCTGGCCATCGACATGCTCGAAGCGAGATCCATAATCTTATTCATGCCCTCCTCGATCCGCTCCGGCGGTCCAACAATGGTAAGCGTTTCGGAGTCGTCGCCCGGTGGAGGCATGATCACAGAACAGCCAGTCTCGGCGAGGAAGTCGTTGAGAGAAGTGCCCATATTGCCCACAATGAATTGGTGGCGGCCACGCTCGATCGCCATCTGCTCGAGCGTCAATTGTCGTTGAAGATCCTGCATTTGGCGTTCGATCTCAGCGCGCGCATCTGCCACAGCTTGTCGGTCGCCGGAGAGCTGAATAGGCATGCCTGCTTGGGGGTTGAAGCTCGCCGGCTGACGATTCGCAGGCGCTTGTGGAGGCTGGTCTTCCCAAGTGTGGTACTGCGGGATCTGCATCTTCAAGTCGCGGCTCTCCCGGAGCGCATTGGTGCGAGGGTGTGCGTTCAGGAACGGGTAGTATTCCGGCGGGATGTGCTTCAGCCGAGTGTTGACGCTGGAAGTGTGCTCGTTGACGATCCTCTCAATGTCCTGTCTTGCCATTTGAACAGCGAAGGGGTCGCCCTCGATTGTCACATCCACTGTAGTGTCCATTTCATCGTCCTCAAGGATCTCAGCCGCCTCTTGCTTGGAGATGTTGATGCGTGCTCCGGTCTTCTTGGAGATAGCCTGGATCGTTGCGCCTTGCTTGCCGACGATCTTGCCGCGGACGGAGGCCGGGACGGGAACTTGCAGGTTTTGCTACAATCGAGTCAGCGATGCCTCTTCTACTCATTCTATAGTAACATACCTTCGAACAAAGCTGGGTCGCAACCTCCTTCAGCGCAACCCGCACAGCATCCACCGGCCCCGTGCCCTCAAACACAACCACACCTCCCGGCCCAGCCTTCATCTCCACATTGGCCTTAGAGCGCTTATTGATATCCCTCAAAATATCATTCACCGGCTTCTTCAGCTGGTTCCGCGGCGTCATCATCGACGGATGCAGCTGGATCTGCTCGCTGTACCGCCCCGGCATCGTCATCTGCGGCGTCGGACCGCGCTGTGATGGCGCCGTGGAACTCGGCGTCATTATCCCAGACATGGGCGTGCTCGTGCGGGGAGAGACGTTCGAGGGTGCGGCGCTGCCGTTCGCCATGCCGTTCGACATTCCATTCGCGGCTTTCCCGACGGCTGCCGGCTTGCGGGACCAGGGCGTCGGTGCTGCGGCTGCTGGCTGAGCTTTGGGCCCGCCGAGAGCTGGGAATGCATCCTCGGACTGGGTGTCGATGGCTGGTTTCTTGGGGGCGGGTGCTTGCTGGGGTTCGTCGCGCATGGGCTGTTTCCCTGCTGCCTTGCCGGACAAGCCTTGCTCGCCGGATGGAGTGGCTACCCGAGACGGATCGTTGCTGATAGGGAGCGAAGCGGCGCCAGAAGGCGGTGGGTGCAGGGTGAACTCCTCGTCTGGGACGTCCTCGATGGTGACTTTGTGGGCTTCGTCGTCGGCGGCGTGTTGCTGCATGAGCCGTTCGGCTGCCGACATGCCGTCCCCTGCGGTGGCGGAGCTGCCGTTGGTGCTTGGTTCGGTGGCCATGGTGAGTGGGGGATGCAGGAGTGCAGATGTAGGTGTTACCAGAGAGATGTAGCCGGGTGGTGTGCAACGTTGGACGATGGGATGGTTTGCAGGAATGCTGGTCTCTAGCTTGCCATCATTCGGAGTCGACTAGTACGTGGAGATGTCAGTAAGGGAAGGCTCAGGTATGTCGTGCTTTAGTAGTCCGGGCGATGGCTCGGTTTTGTACGAGGAGTCCGTAAAGAGAAGCTGTCCAGAACTCAGAAGCGTAGAACAGAAAGCTCTGGAATTTTGCCGGCCAGCCGTTGGACCCCAGCTTCGAGGGTCCGTCCGCAAAGCTAAACACCACCACGCGAATGAGGAGGACCTGAATGGAAAGATATCATCAACAGGCTTCATGTCATGTCGTTCATTGACTTTGATGACAAAGTCGAAAGTGCATTACTGGAGAGAGGAGCACGAGAGCGGTGGAGTAGGTGTTAAACACTTGAAATTGTCAAGCTAACTAAGACCCCGTTCTCCTGGACAGCCCATATCTGATCCTACGCCATCGTAAATGCTCGTGACCTCCCCCGTCGACCGCCCGCTCCATTTCAAGATCCATTCCAAGCGTCGCGGGCCTTCCATCAACATCTCCATCCATATGTACACCCATCTCCTACCAACATCCTCCAAGCTCACTTCGTGATAAACCCCAAATAATCGGCCTGCAGAACCCACTCGTCAGCAAACCACATCACCTCGCATCTCGACGACACAGTCAGTACTCACCACAATCAACGTAATCATAGCATGCGGCGCAATCCGCACGTAATACGTCGAGAACCCGCGATAAAACCGCAACGGCCCTTCATTCCTAATCACCTTCTGGAAACAATCCACCATCCCGTTATACGGCAGCTTCCCGTCCGCGCCTCTGCTTTGCTTCTGCAGCCTCGTCTTGACAAAGTCAAAGGGCAGGGAGAAGAAACTCGCGAAGAAACCTGCGATGGCTGAGGCGCTTAGAGTCTGCATCCGTGGGCTTAAGGAGGTGTCTGTGAGTTGCGATTTAGCTTCGGAGAAGAAGGCGAGTTGGCCGAAGTTCAGTGCCATTGCGCGGACGACCGTAGGGTACGCGCCAGCCCACCAGGCGCCGATGCCTTCGCTTTTGGCGATGCGGGAGAGGGCGTCGACGACGCTTTTGTAGTTTGCTCGTTCTCCTTTGGGCTTGAGGCCGTCGGACTGCATGCGGATGAGGGCGAGATCGGCGGGGTTGCCGACCATGGCTGCCAATCCACCCGCCGTGAGACCCGAGCCTGCGCGTTCGTAGAAGGTGATTTTACGTCCGTTCTTCTCAGCGCGGGCACCGAGCGTCTTCATGAAGGTGTCGAAGAAGCCGAGGCGAGCTGTGGTGTAGACGGCTTGACGGAGGAGGCCAGCGGACAGTCCGGTGTATAGGTCGAGCACTTTGCCTTGGGCAATGACTTCGCGGGTTACGCTTATGGGTGTGGGTTTGGGCCCGCCTGCTGTGCCCTCGCCGGCAAGTTGGAGACGCACCTTGATCATGTCGATGGGCTGGATGCAGCTGGTGGCTACCATGCCTGCGGTGCCGCCGTTGATGAAGGGGAGGGCGGCGCGCATGAAGGGGGTATGGATGAAACCCTGTGCTGCTGCCTTTGGGTCCTCCTTCGCGGTTTGTGCGAGCTCTTGTGTCTTAGCAGCAGCTTCTTTCGCGACGACCGTAGCCTGGTCGGCCTTGGCCTTCGCTTGGTCCACCGTCGAGCTCATGGTGTCTTGTCGAGTGGAATGGCTTGAGTGTAGGATCAGCTGTCCTTCTCAAGCTGTGGGTGTTGTGCTCGCGAGCAGTTGGGGAGGTGAGCGTCTCTTTGGGTGCTTCTACAATGCATGTATCGTTAGTTTGGTAGGAAGCGGTGAACGAGTATGAGATGTTGCAGTTGACGTCGAGCCATGGTGAACATAGTAGACTACGAGTTGTCCCGTTGCTCCGTCGTCCCGTACACGCAGGTACCTGAGCAGGGTCTCTCTCGAGATCGGGTTGCTTGCGTCGCCGCCCGGGTCCTTGTTGAAGACTCATACGAGAAGGCTCAAGTACTCACAACAACAGATCCGCGTCCCCAGCTTGAGCTCCCCACACTCACATCTGCGGCCTGACTCGTCTCAGCCGTCTCTACAACGTAGGTGTTGGCGGTCAAACCCTTGTATAAGATGTACGGTAAGGCTGGCAGAGCTACACAGGTACATGTGCAAGTGCAAGCAGATTGCGAAGAAGGGGACAGGACGGCGAGCTGTTGAAGCTCCTCATCCTCCTCCCGCCCGCACGTTGCTCCAAGGTCGGGGGTGTTGTGCCCTCTCGCTGTTGCTCTCGTGCGGGGCAAGGCTGGCTGGCCACTTACGCTGCGTGTGACGGGCGATGGTTTGCCGGGACATGTTTGGGATCATCAGCTGCCCGTTACTGTCCGATGGCCTTGCCTTGTTCGCCGGGTTTTCTTCGTGCCATTCTGATGCCCCTTGATGGCCCTTGGAAAGTTGTGAGGCTGTAGACGGCGACACCGGTGCGCTGTCCCGGTCGCGTGCGTGCCAGGTAAGTCAAGTGGTTTGGACCAGCCGTTCAGCACCCATATTGTAGTCGCAAGGAGATAGCTGCGTCATGAACAGCCGTTGATGTGTTCTGGAGATGGTCCAAGGATGGGTGTCCTTCGAAGAAAGTGGATCGTGACGGCGACACGAAGCGGCATTACTTCGGCAAGCCGGCGCGTCACCCAGACCGCGTCTGGAATGCTTTCAACTTGAAGTTCTCAACACCAAATCCAACTCCGTCTATCAAGGACAAGGACACCAGCATGGCCACTAGAGTGCGCCAGTCAACTGCTGCTCCCAGCCGGGCATCGACAGTAGCACCGACTCCAGCAAAATCGGGGACACAACTGCCACCCTACGAAGCGCCGTCATTCCCACTCAATCCAGCAGCACAACGAGCACTTGACAACCTCACCCGCACCCACAACTTGAAGAAACTGGACGACAGCATCACAGATGCGCAAAAGGCACTCCAAGACGTGGCAGCCGGGATCAATGACAGACTCTCTGAACGCGAGAAGCAAGTCTCGAAGAAACGAAAGGCGCAAGCTCCAGATCCGACGCCAGACGATGCGGCAGAGGCGGGTGAGGAGGGTCAAAACCTCGACGAGCTAAGGGACAAAGTGCAGAGGATGACGACGCGCATGGATGAGAGCATACGGAAGTTGATTGACGGGCAGCATAGCGTGCAGGCCATCAGAGAATCCATTGCTGCTACAGCCACGGATGCGAGGGCGAGCGCTAGTACGCAAGCTAGCACACAGGCCGGTCCCACTCAGCGACGGAGGAGACAAGATGGCGAAGAAGGCGATGGCGAGGAGGACGAAGAGTACCAGGACTTCACCCCCACCGACCCCCGAGGCGGCACCCAAGCCCAGAAAACAGCCATCGAGACCTTCCGCTCCAAACTCGAGGACTCCAAAACCCGCTACCAATCCCACAGCCTCGCCGAGCGCTACGCAGAAAATAACACATACCGCGACTTCAGGCGCGTCGTCCACGACGCCCAACACCACGACGGCGACGTCCCGCTCGCCCACCACAGCGACTGGTTCGACGAGGGCCCAGCCCCCGCCCCAGGCATGACGACCCGTGCACGCGCCGACGCCGACGCCGACGACGATTCCGACGACGATCTCGCGGTTTCAAGGATGACGATCAGCACGAAGTGTCCACTCACCCTGACGGAATTCAAACAGCCGTTGACATCGAGGAAGTGCCCGCATAGCTTCGAGTCCGCAGCAATACTCAGTCTCCTCAGCACATCCGCCACCCGCGAAAACGGGCGTGCAGGGGAGAAAATCGTCCAGTGTCCCGTCTCCGGCTGCTCGCAAACCTTAACAAAGAATGACCTCCACACGGACGCAGTACTCGTACGGCAGATCAAGCGACTCCAACGCTCCCGCGAACTCGAAGAGGAAGACGGGGACGACGACCAGGACGGCGCGAACGGGGCTACGGTTGTCGAAGATGGGGATGATGCGGCGGATGTGGATGATATTGTTGAAGGAAGGACGCAGGTTAAGGGGGAGCCGCAGAGTGGGCGGACGCCGGCGGGGATGAGGAGGAGTACGGAGGAGGAGGTGGTTGAGGTAGGGAGTCAGGAGGATGAGGAAGCGGGGGAGGGGGAGGAGGATGGGGATGTTACGCAGGATGAGTGATTTGAGAAATGCCGATGATGTACAGATGTACAACATATTGCTTTCTTGTTCAAATGCCATGACCCCTTCCATTGCTGTACCTATCATACACTTCGTCCCACCAACATCCCAACCAACTCAAAGGCCAACCTTCACTTCCACCCATTCCCCCCCAACCTCGCCGCCCACCCCTTCTCCCTCCTCCCTTCCCCCTCCCTCCCCACCTCCTCATCCACCACCTCAACCCCCATCCCCTTCCTCGGCCCCACCTTCTCCCCACCTCGACTCCTCCCATCAACAACAACCCCACTCCTCTTCCTCCTCTCCACCGCCTCCTTCCTCCCCATCCCCGGCTCCCGGCCCGTCAACCGCCTACTCGCCCTCTTCAACGACGCCCTAACATCCCACTGCCGCCGCTTCGCAACCACAAACAACACAATACTCGTGATCCCGAAGACCGCTACCACGACGACCACGACGATGATGGCGATCAACCCGCCTTGGCTGAGGGAGAAGGACGAGCTGTCGGAGCCAGATGCGCCGCCCGCGGTGTCGATGTGGGCGGTGGCGGTGGCGGGGGCGTAGCCTGGTTCGTGGCGGGTGGCTTGGAGGAGGGTGGTGGGGGTTGGCGGTTGGGAAGATGCTGGCGTGGTGGTGGTTTGCGCGGAGGCGAGGGTTGCTAGGAGCAGTGGGAGGAGGGAGAGGGACTTCATGTTTGCGGGCGTTGTTGGTTTCTTGGAGGGAGATGATATGACAGCGCGCAGCGCCGTGGAAGCAGATGAAAGCGAGTGGAGTTGTGTAGAAGGAAGAAAGAACAGTCTTTACCTACATCAAGGACATATCACAATGCCCCATGCTCGAAGCGCCCTGCCCAGAACCTTCATATAGCCAGACCTGCAGCGACATGCCCAGACGTGACAACGGCGATTGTCCTTTTTTGAGTACCGCAGTGGTGCCAATTGCGTTTCACATCCCGCGAGGAGGGCTCTGTGAAGCGAAGGGGAGTGTTTGTATGGCTGCTTGGCGAGTGTGAGCGCTTAGGTGAAGTCGCTGCGGTCTCGTTGCGTGGTTGTGATTGGCTGGTGGGTGGGTGCGGATCGCTGTTGCATATCCATGGGATCGCCAGGGGGACTTCAGAGGTTCTCGCCCATCTTCCACTTCATCAAGGACTGCAGTACTCTAGGCAATTCTGCGCATCGCTTCTCGTGACAGTGGTGACTGCCAGCTTAGTAGGGCGCTGCAGAGCTTGACATCTGACCCTCGCTCGTGGCTGGCGAGACCGGATTTTCCCCAAAGTCCTACCATCAAAGGGCGCCCCTGTCGGCGCGGCTCATTCATCGATGCTGTAGTGACTCGACTCGGTCTGCGGAAAACCTCCAGAGCCACCGAGGGCCCTGACAATGGAAGGTTCTTGCTTCAGGCTGGGCGTCCAGTGCATGCTCCAAAGAACGAGCTCCTCTCACGGTACCAAAGCCACAAGAGATTGCTGTGGACGGGAAGACCACCTGCTCAGTGACAGCGTAGCAGTACTCATAATAGTGCTGAGGACCAGAGAAGACTCCAATTCTCCAGCTGAGCAAGTGGTCCTTGTGCTGGGGAGGAGCTGGTCCGAAACACACCCAGCAAGTCGAACGTGGTAGGCACTTGGGCGTGCGACTCGAGAAACCAGGTGAGTGCTTCGCTGGAGGATATGCTACTCAAACAGCAGGTGAGGCGTGCAGTTTGGTCTGCCATGGCACACCAGTACTGGTGTGGAGAGTGGAAGTGAACACGGCGTCGACACTCAAGAAGATGCCGGTTCTTATGGCCGAGAAGTGTGAGTGAAATGAAACAAGGCAAGTCTATGAGCATCACTTTTCGTTTTCATTGGAGCGGCATGCTGCGCGTCAAGATGGTCGTGGTCGTGAGGAAGGAGCGAGGGCACCTCATGGTTGCCTTCACTCTAATGTGACCTCACCTCTTCGACTGAATTTTCGTCTCATCACACCTTCACTCTACACCACACAACATCCCAAGACTTTCACTTTCGGCTCACTTCGTTGCATGGTACTGTGATACGAGGCATCAGCGGTGCTAGGCGGGCACGAGGCAATGGCGGCTCACACGTCCAGCGGAAAGGAGCCCGTCATGGCCAACGCCACGAGGCACGAGCACGACGAAGCCAGACGCGATGGATATGTTCCGCAACAAGCAAATACGTGGACCTCCGAAGACGGCACGCTGTACAGAGCGGGTCAGTATTCGGAACTCCACACCACAGAGATCGTTCCTGCGAAGACCGGCGATGAGCCCCACGTCAACGACCCAGAGCCATTCACCGACAGGCCTACCTCAGCAGGCACGGCATACAGTGGCACCATCGTCCTTGATGATCAAGAAGACGAGGAGGCCTTCCTCGGCACGATGACCGCAACGCCCGTGAAGGAGCGAGTGGAAGAAGAGAGGCACGATGCTGCGAATGGCCAATGGCTTTGCTTACAGAAGGAACCAATCGTAGTGCAAGCAACTCCCCACTTCTCGTGGTCCAAGGCCACACCCAACCAGATGGATCTCACGGGCGCTCGAAGGATACCTGGGAAGGCACAGCCACGGAACGAGCAAGTCCGAGACAATGCTCAGGTGACAATTCAGAACACAGGTATGGCTAAAAGGGTTGAATCTCGTGCAGATGCTGACGACTCTTACATAGATGACGACGTCGTTGAGATGCGGGATGTGGACGCAGACCAGATATGCAATCCGCCCCAAGATCAGCAAGGGCCAGTGCAGAAGCAACAAACGCCGGCAGCTCCTGCAGATGGCGAAGTGAGGATGCCAAAGAAGAAGCGCACCAAGCATCAGCAGAGACAGATGCCGGTGTTGGCGCAGGAGCAACCTTCTCTCGACTCAATCCGCGACCGTGGCCCTCATCGAGGAGCTGTCGAGCCGCCTCAACCGACTCAGGTGGCCACCGAAGCACAAGAGTCGCTCGCAGAGGATCGTGGTGAAGTGCAGACTTTACAGCATGACGATGTCCAAGGCCTTGCCAGCACATACTCTCCACACGACCAGCTTCGCGACGACCATGAATCAGCAGCACAAGTGCAGCATGCCGAGCAGGAAGCTGAGCAGGCCGTCTCCGCCACAACTCCACCGCCCACGGATCAGGGCTCTCTGGATGCACAGAGGCCGTCGCCAGCCCAGTTTTTTCCCCCGGGTCACTCGGCTCTCCGTGAAGCACATCAAGACGGCAGCGCTGGAGCTGTGGCTGCACCCACCAGTCACCCCAACGGCGGACATCAACAAAACTTGACGGCAGGCGCAAGGAAGCGCAGGGTTCGAAAGGCTCGAGCGCAGCCTGCGGTCGCCCCCGCCGAATCCTCCAAGATGAACGATCTGCTTCACATACTTGCATACGAGGCACGGCAGATCGAACAGAGAAGTGCCGCAAAGCTCGAGGCTGCCGAGATTCAGAAGGCCGAGGACCAGCAGAAGGCTCAGAGCGTGTTGCAGCAGTTGGAAGAAGACCTTGCCGCTGCTCTCGAGGAGCGAGACCAACTTGCGGCAGCCATCGACAAGCACAACCAGAAGCTGGAAAAGTACGACGCACAGCTACCCAGGTTCAAGATGTTCCTCGATGGCATTGGTACCGACCTGAACAAACTGCGAAACACTTCCAATACGGTCCGCCGCAGCAGTGAAGCATTGTCGAGCGGTTATGCGAGCACCAAGCAGGAGCAACAGACCCTTGTGGGACAGCTCAGGACATGTTCTGAGCGAGCAGTCAAATTGAGAAATGAGGCAATGCAGAACTGCCGCGAACTCCAAGCGGAGCTTGATGCAGCCAACCTACGCAGCGACTACCTCTCTCAGCAGCTCAACGAAAAGGCAGGGATGCTGGCTGAAGAGCGTGACCGTCGTGCTCTCTTCGAAGGCCAGCTCGCTTCCGCGGGTCGCTCGGACGACAAGGTTCTCGCAGCATTGAAGTCAAATGCTAACGACATCCTGGACAAACTGCACCTGGTCCATGCTGCGTTGGAAACGAGTCAATCAGACAAGACGATATCCGACCTGATACAGCAGACATCTGCGCTTGTGCAAGGCGTGAAATCCGGAACGACAGAGGCAGTTGACCACATCACGTCCGTCAAGGGGCTTGTGGAGACGTTGAGCGAAAGGTAAGATAAGCTTTGCGATCTATGATTTCCTTGCTAACAGGTCATCAGGGTGAACAATCACATTGAGGCGTCTAATGCTGCTGCTGCGCTCGAACCTGAGCACTTTGCCAAGACGTTGCAGACTCAGCTGGACGAGTCTTTTGGCAAGCTGAAGGCAGACATCAGCCAGACCGAGAACCTGCTGCAACAGGAAGCTGGTCATCGGGAGACCATCAGTGCCCTTCGAGAGCAGCTGAAGTCCTCTGATACTCGCATCAGCGATCTGGAGTCTCAGGTTTCTGCTACCCAGCAATCGGCAGCAGAGCTAAGGCAACAGAATGGCGTCCTCCAGAAGAAGCTCGTCGCGGTGGAGTTCACGCCGCCTCCTGCTACAGTCAACCAGCCATCGCCACAACACAACTCGGCAGTTGAGCTTGAAGCGGTGAAAGCTGCTCTCCAGTCAGCCAAGGCAGAAGTGGCCAGCAAATCCGAGGAGCTTTCTGCTCTGGTCTCTAAGAATGTCAGCATTGAAGACCAGGTCACCACTCTACAGAAACGCTTGGGAGAGCTTCAAGCCCAGGCGGAAGACCATGGCCGCGAGCGTGAGGATCTCCTTCGCAAGGCCAAGCACGACGAGGGCAACATTCGGCAAGAGATGCGGGAGCACGTTGAGCAAGTAGAGCTCAAGGCGAAGGCTGACGCAAGAAACGAGTTGAAAAAGCTCTCAAGCGAGCGTGGTAGACTGCAGGACCATGTCGACGCATTGAAGGAGAACCAGAGAGCATCCGCAGCACAGATCAAACAACTGCAACTGAGCCAGAAGGATGGCGATGCCAATCAGCGTGAAGTTGATCGCCTCAACAAGCTCATCGAGTCTCAGAAGCACGAAATCGCCACCCTGCAGAGCTCAACTACCAACCTGCAGGATGCTATACAGCGAGAGAGCACCGCTAACGAGAAGGCGACCACACTCTCCGAACAGCTTATAGCCGAGCAAACGAAGGTACAAGCTGCCGTTGCGGAACAACTTGGCCTGGCGAAGGAGGTCAGTGAGCTTCAGACCGCTCTCAACGACTCAAAGCTTCTCGAGCAGAGATCCAAATCCGAGCTGGAAAAGCTGCGTTCGGACAGTGACGCTTCGCATAAGGCCCTTGAGCGTGCAGCCGCCGAAGCCAGGGAGGAAGCCAAGCGGGCGGTTGCAGGTCACGAGATCCTCAAGGCGTCCTGCGACAGCACCGTCAAGGATACTATGAGCAAAGCTCAGCGCAATATTGAGTCGCTGCAGACGGCGCTAGCTGAGTCGAAGGCAGAGACTCAAGCAGCCAAAGCCGAAGACCTGAAGTATCGCGCCGAGGTTCAACATGGCTGGAAACAGGAGGAGGAGAATCACAAGCAACAGGTTGAGAATCTTGAGCAGAAGATTGCCGAAGTCGAGCAAGAGAGGGAAGAGGCCCAGGAGGACATCAAGCGAGTCCGCATCGAGACCAGTGCTGCCATTGAATCTCAACGTAAATCGCTTCTTGACCAGCTGAGGCAGTTGCGCGAGCGTGCTGAAGCAGCAGAGGCGGCCAAGGCAGAACTTGAAGAAGCTCAGTTGGCTGCCTCACGACTCGAGCAACCGATGAGCAGTGGTATGACTCCGAGTGCGACAATCAAGCCCAGAGATCCAAACCGACCACGGAAGAAGGCAGATCGCAATTCCAACACCCTGACTCAAGTCAGTCCGATTCCAGCACCTGAGGACATCCGACCGCATTCCAACAGGGCGGCTCCGACGGGCAGCAAGCCGCAAGCCTCAGGTCCAGTGGTTGAAGATTCGCAGGTTGTGTCTGACCCCTTTGCCGTCCAGCTTGCCGCTGTGGAGAGCAGGCAGTCGTCTCTGTCACCAGAGGACTACGATATCCTCACCATCCGAGAGGAAGGGACGGCTCAAGCACCGCAGGTTGTGGAGGAGACGCAGTTCTTCGACGTGCAGTCAACTTTCCCTGAATTCTTCAGCGAGCCTGCATCCCCAGTGCAGTCCCAAATCCAGCAATCAGCCTTGAACGCTGCCTCGACGACCCTCCTATCTCCACTGGGGAGGACGCTGAACAGTGTGCATGCGGGTGGAAACTTTCAGATCCATGAGGACAGCCAACCAGACGCTGAATCGACGAAGGGCTCAGACCCAAACAAGGTTACTAGCAGCTTTTTCATGAGCCAGGCTGAGCAGGACCAGTATACGTATAAGAGGCCACTCCCACCGCCGAACAGCTCCTCGAAGCGAGCACAGCCACCGCCTCAGTCTTCGCACACGCTGCAGGGCGACTCGTACCCACGTGACAATACCTCCGGCGTCCGTCGTTACCAGACACCTGTTACCATGGGCGCACCGAATTCCTCTCACTCAAGCTCACCCGGCTTCATGAATGACAGCCAGACCAATGCTCGTAAGCTGAGTACCTACCAAGCGCCTGGAAACAGCGGCGGCAAGCACAGGCAGTCGCAGTCTCACTCCACCACCACGGTTGATCCTCGACTCGCGGCTCGCAACTCCTCCACGAACCAGAAGAGAAAGTCTGAGGGTCAGATCGTCGAGGGCTACGAGCCGGAGCGGAAGAAGAGAGCTTCTGCCGCTACTGGTGCCGGTGGCCGCTCCACGCGCTCCAACGCTCAGTTATCTATCGCGTCTATGTCAGCTGGGCCACGCGGATCCTCTCAGTACGAGTCGAGCGTCCCTCGCACCTCGTCGCACATGCGCACGCTTGGTGGCGCGAGCTCCCGCACTACTCGTGCCAACAGGAAGGTTTCGAAGAGTGAGTGATCTCCCCTCCAGGTTGAAAGCACATACTGACTTTCACAGACGACGAGTACGCTGCCCGCTTCTCCCAGGAGCTCGACGGCCGCTAAGCAGCATCATCATCCACCTTCGACGCTCCTTGCTGAAGTACGACCTTCGAACGCATACCTATCGCAGTCATCGTCTCGCTTTACGTTCGCTTGCTGGAGTTGTGAAGAGAGGAATGTGGTCTAATTTGCTTCACCGTCTTGGACTGAGTGTTTCGAACTGGCTGCTGATGGATCTGAGCTTCGATGTGTATATCTAGCAGGAGCATGTATTCTAGCTCATGTCGTGTATCAAGTCTTGGCCATGCACTGCATCCTTCCCTATAGTCTGCCTCCCGCAGCGCGCATCCGTGCAGTGACTTGTGCTCAGGCCTTGTGCCTGTGCTATGACTCTGCAGGAATTCTTCTTGCTAATATCGCGGAGCAGCCCCTTCTTTGCGTGCGCCGGAATATCCACCCCTGGCCTTCTTTCTCCCCTCCACGAGCCGTGGCAGTTTTGCTGTGGAGGCCGGCGCTGGCGTATCGAGCGGGTCGTGCGCAATGAATGGACTTCGACAGCTCCAACGGCGCCCTTCTGATGAACATGATCAAGCTGTGCTCATTTCCCTCGCTTCTGCTCCAAGAACAGCACTTTCTTCTTGACTGCTAACATCTCAGTCCCCAATCATTCCTGTCGAACCTGTTTGCATTGATACGTACCGACTGGATCGTACTTGAGCATACTAAGCGGGCGATGGACGCGCGGGCGCGAGAAGGTCTTGTAGTAGCCCGTCATGGCCATGGAGATGAGGCGGACGGAGATGGTTCGTGATTTGGCTATTGCGCGCGGTTAGGGTAGAGATGGAGGATGGGGTGGGGATGTTGCGTACCCTTCTTTGCCATTGTGGAAGATGGTGCGACGACCTTGGGAGACGGTGTTCTGGTGAACGAGTTGAAGGTGAAGCCATACCAGTGCTTGGCAGGCTATGCTCGATTAGGCCGGACGTTCACATGCCGAGGCCTCGGTTGTTGGCTGACGGCCTCCACGAGAGTGATGTGAGCATGCTCTCTCACCTGCTACTGACATTCACGAGTTACGACTTCACCTTTGTACCTAACCCTCCCACCTAGAAGACCTAATACCACCTACAACTGCTGCCAGGAATAGGGTTCCCCACCTTGATCAAGATGGTCGTCGACGCCCTTATCTACCACCCGCTGGTGTCGCATTACAACAAGTTCGTCGCAACAACCGGTAAGCTCCCCCTCCTCTCCCTCCCAATCCCCCGACTCACGCTGTCCCATAGTCGGCCGCGACAAGACCCTCCGCACGATCCAATACTTCTCCCGCTTCCTCGCCTGGTACACCTACCGCACCAACCACCCACAAGCCACCGTCGCCCTCTTCGACAATCTTAAGAAGAACTTCAGCAACGTGCGGAAATGCCTGCGCCTCGGTAAATTCGTCGAGCACTTCAAAGCGGCCGCCGTCGCCTCGGACAGCAAGTCCTTGGACCCCGTGTTGAAGTACCTGGCCGTGGGCCGGCAGCTGGGATACGCGTTTTACCTGTCGTTTGATGCGTTGACGTATGTGGATCAAGTGGGGATAAGGAAGTTTGAGGGCGCGGCGCGGTTGCAGAAGGAGGCCTATCGGGCGTGGTTGGCGGGGTTGTTGTGTAATGTTGCCGCCGGGGTGTATACGTTGTACAAAATGCAGGGAGAGATGAAGAGGCAGGGGGAGAGCGGGGATGCGGAGAAGCATGTGGAGGTGAAGAGGCTTGAGAGGTGAGTTGGGCTGAACGGTGTGGATGAACAGAATGCTCACCATGCGAACAGAGAGCGGACGGCGACACAACTCCAACTTGTGTCTGACCTGTGCGACGCAACTGTTCCGAGCAGCGCGCTCGGCTATGCCAACTTCGACGACGGTATTGTGGGATTGGCTGGGACGACGAGCAGTTTGATCGGCTTGACTGCTCAATGGGCGAAGACTGCGTAGGCGTGTTCGTGCGACGACTGGTGCGCTCCATTGGAGGTGATGTGACGGAAAGTCAAGCTCTTGAGGTTTGGGGAAGAATTGATATCTGTCTCCTATATGGGCGGGTTGTCGAGGCGTTCGAGCGGTCAGGATACACTGCAATATCTTGTTCTTTCTACTGGCAGACCTTCGAAGCCCCGCCTTCTCCAGTTCCGCTCAAAGCCTCCAAGCCAGTTCAGATGTCCTTTAGCTCATATCCGACGTCAAGCAGAAGCAAAGCATTGCATTGGTGGAAAGGACTCGCACATTGTCTCATGGAGCGGGCAAGTAGCAAGCCACTCTTCTCCGTCACGTCAACCTCAGAGCCGGCATCAGTGTCACAGCATGACAACTTGCACGATCGTACGAGCTCTCGGAGACCGCGGACAACGACCCGCCTGCTGCTGCAACGTCAATCTTTTCCACCTCTCGTTTTCAAATCCCACCTCTCCTGATGAGCCAGCCTCCCAAGCAGCACAGCCTCCAGTATCTCTCCGATTGACACCCGAACAGAGGTTAGCTCGTCGCAACCCTCCCTCGATAAAGTCCGCAATCCGCGGACCGCCGTATCTTCCCAGCTCCCAATTTACGAACAGCAGTCTAACCTCCCCTCGGGCCCTATGCGAAGCCCCGTCGGCCGAGAGCACCACTTATCAGATCGTCCAATTCGCTCCTTCGCCCTCCATGATGCCTTGAGTCATCCACAACGTGTCCTCAAGACCTTGTCGTTCGACTCCGCCCTGCAACGCATGCGGGAGCCTAATGATCCTGGTGCATCAGGAGAGGTGGTGTATTTAACATCGTCAATGGTCGCATCCGCGATGCTGGAGCATTTTTGATGACTTGGCGGTCGACGGCGGATAGATTTCGTTTCCGACTCCGTTCTGCGGTGGACTGTTCGTGCCAACGAATCATTTTGCTGGAAGCGCGACCAATCGCTTGGATCCGAGTTCTTAGTAAGAGAAGGCAAGGAGCAGAATCCTACCGCCTTGGAACGGGAGCGGAGCTTGAGAGATTTCCCCGACGCCGGTCGTTTCTAAGCAGACATCAATGGGACAATGTCGTTGCCAAACATCGATTGCTATCCTTACAGAATGTCCGGCGTGATTGCTCCTATATACTACCAACCGCCCGAGGCAATGCAGCAGGCGATGGAGGTTGAACAACCCACCGCGCCCGGACTCGGAGGCCCCATGGATGCTAAGTCAGCTTCGAGGTCTTGCACAACTTGTTCCAAGGCCAAGGCGAAGTGTGTGAAGAAGGCAAGGGAGGCGGTTTGTGAGAGGTATGCAACGCATCTTCGATCGATTTGGGGTCAGGTTGCTGATGTTATTATAGGTGTGCAAGGTTAAGGAAGGAATGTCATTCGAGAGAGCCGGTGCTTAGGCGGAGGAAGGTCGTTAAGACAACGTGAGTCTATTCTCCTGTTCCTTCCTCTCTCAGCTATCATGTGATGGCGGAGCCGTCGGACAGTATCTCGGTTCCGTAGACCGTGTATGGTTTTTGGTCGACTCGTTGTTCCAAGGAAGCTACATCATACATGTTGTAATGACCCCTGCTGACCAACTCTAGCCGTGCTGCTCAACTCGAGAAGCTCGAGAACAAGATCGAGCATCTCGTGAACGCACTGGCAACAACACAATCGCACCGAGGGTTCAGCGTGGACCTAGGCCAACCCTCACCTCCCATCTCGGCAACCTCTGAAAGGGTCAGCGCGGACAAGTTCTACGAGCAGCAACGAATCACCGACGATAGCTTCAACCCACGCCAGCATGCTGTGCTCAGCTCGCTATGCGATCCCATAGATGGCAGAGAGGATGGTTGTACGAGTTCCTCCTCGTCGAGTCCAACTCCTGACCCGACGACTGCCTCGACTGCTGCTACATCCCCTGTTGCTCAGCTAGCAGATTATCAGTCCGTGGGAGTGTCCATGGCGGAGGCCGACGTGCTGCTCGACAGATACCGACGGTTGCTAGCTCCTGCAATGCCCTTTGTCGTCCTGCCGCCGAATACCACCGCACAGCAGCTCTACGCTGAGAAGCCTGCCCTTCTCCACTCCATCGTCGTTGTCTCATCTTTTCACGACCTTGCGAAGCAACAGATGAATGTCAAGCGATTAATCCGTAACCTTAGCGAAAGGATCATGATCAACTGCGAGAAGTCCATTGACGTGCTTCAAGCCATCATGGTCTTCGTCGGCTGGTATCATCCTCACATATTCTGGTCCAACCAATGTACAAACCTCATGCATCTCGCCATCGCCATGATCGTCGACCTTGGCCTCGACAGACCTCCTCAACAATGCGGCGACTTCAAGGAGAAGACGCACAAAGCCGTCAACGGACCTGGGATTGTCGAGCGGCAGCCATTGCCGGAAGAACACCGCATCTTGGCAGGCATCTTTTACCTCTCCTCATGCCTCTCATCGTCCTTCAAAAAGATGGACGCCACCCCTTATACGCCCTACCTCACCAACGCTCTCGTTACCCTCGAAACAGCAGCCAACTACGAATCCGACCTCCTCCTCGTCCAGATGGTCCGCCTCCAGCACCTCGTGGAAGAGGCCTCCGGCTTAAGCGCACCACAAGCGCCCATAGGAGTCTACACCAAAGGCTTCGAAGCCGACCTCGCCCGCCTCCGCAAAGCCGATCCCAATAAGGACCTCGACAACTTCTACCTCCAAATGCAATACCGCACCACCGAAGTCCTCATCTGGGAAATCGCCCTCAACGACCTCCAAGAAGGCAAAGGCGTCAGCCTCCGCTGCCGGCTGGAAGACCTTTCCCGCCTCATCGACGCAATCAAGAACTTCATCGACCTCTTCTTCACCATCGACATCTCCTCGTACCTCACCATGCCCTTCTCCATCTTCGCTCAGTTCGCACACACCTTTATCGTGCTCATCAAGATCGCCTCCCTCGAGGTCGACGGGTGGGACATCCGTATCCTCAGCGATCGGATCAACTTCCTCGAATCAGTTGCAGAAGCCGCGCGGCGCTTCGAAGCTTCTCTCACATCACATCCTGACGGGCTGGACATCAACAACGACCACTTCGGCAAGTGGGCTGTGCGAATCAGATGGATGATGCAGGTCTATGAGGCGAAGTTCGTGCAAGGAGAGGAGAAGACTGAAGCAGCGAAAGCTATCTTGCGCACGCCCGCGGCGAGCGAGGAGCAGTTCGCCGCTGATACGCCTGCGACTTCTGCCGGTGGACAGAGCATGCAGCAGCCCACGCCGCCGGACGACGTGCTGAGTGGAGATTTCTTTAACTACCTGGACGAGAACTTCTGGCAGAGTTTCGCTGGGGATTTTGATTTGGGGTATCCGGATGTGAGCATGGTTTGAGACTGTCCTCACCATGCGAAGCGTGATCGACGAAGGGAATTGTACGATATGTTATGAGGGACATCCCCTGGCGACGGGGTCTCATCTACACTCATAGATGTGTGTGGCGGTCATTTATTGACGCCGAATAATGACTAGATTTCATGCCCACCCTGCTTTCAGGTGCTTGATCGCTTCTTCTTCGCTCACTACGTCGGCCATTTTGGCGTCCATGTCGTGGATGTTGGCGTCGTGGATGGCTGGGCTTCGATCGCCGCAGGCTGTTTCGACGACCTGTATCGCATTAGCGGACTGCTAACGATTGATCTCATGTGGATGGAGAACGTACCATAGGTCTGAAATTATAGCTCAGCGCATCCAACGTCGTCGCCCTAACACATCCACTCGTGCTCACGCCACAAATCACCAGCGTGTCCACACCCAGCAGGATCAATTTCGAAACCAGCTCCGTCCCAAAGAACGCTGATGCATGTCTGGCCTCCTTGTCAGCAAAATACCCTCTTTCCAAAATGAATCAATCCAATCAAATAACATACCTCTTCTCAACAACCTCCTCCCCCCTCCCCGGCACCAACCCTTCCACCCACGCCCCCAAACCCCTCTCATCCCCTTCAGCCCAAATAGACAATTGCTTCGCCTTACTATAAAACAGTCCCGCATCGCTCATATCCGGTTTATACTTCACCGTCGTCCAGATCACCGGGACTCCTTTCCCACCGTGCGATGCTCCTCGCGCGGAAGACAAAAGACGACGCATCACATCCACCGAAGCCACAGAAGCAGGATTTGAGGAGGTGTCGAGGGGAGAGCCGGGGGTCCAGTAGGCGGTGCAGACGTCTATGAGCAGAAGGGCAGGACGGGCGCCCCAGCCGATGCGGTTGCCGAAGCCGTTGGCGCTGGAGGCGGTGCGGTAGTCTTGGTCTGCCATTGTTTCTGGAGATGGATGAAACCCCGTGGATGTGTTCTTATGGTCTTTCTGCGGTAGTCATGATATGGTTTAGGCCATGGAATGAAAGCCAAAAACGTTGTCTCTTCATGTCGTCGGATAAGCCGAAGGTGAGGTCGACTGTTCCGATGCTTGGAGACGTGGTGGAGCATGTTGGCCTATCGTTCGCCGGAGTATTGGCGCGACTCCGGCTTGTTGTCGTGTTGCGATCATGTTCAAGGCGTCATTTGTGCTGTCTCAAAAGGAGGTGATGGAAAAGCCTTGGAAATATAGTATACAGGTCGCTACCTCTATTACTGGTTCAAGCAGCCGACGCTATGCTTATTCGAACACTGCTGCAACAGCCTCTCACACTACAGAAGCCCGTCCGCAAACGCAAACCAGCTTTTCATGGAGCTCAATCACCGCTCACTCCCCCTCAATCGCACCACCTGCCCGTACTTCTGCACTTTACTAATCAACCCATCACCGACGCGCATAACATCCCTGAACTGCCCCTCCTTCTCTTCGCCTCTTCTCGTCTCGATCACACCCCTCACACGATCGATCACACATCCCAGGCGCCCGCCTGCGATGAAGACAGCCATGTCCCGATCCAGCCACTCCACGCTCACACCGAACGACTTGGCCATCGAGTCCAGGCCTACGATGCGGTAGCTCTGCAACAGCTGGCTGTATGCGCGCAGTCGCATCTCGCGGACGTAGTAGGTGCGATGCTCATAGAGGTAGCGGTCAGTGCTGAGGAAATTGGTCTCGACGGTGGCGAGGGAGGTGAAGAAAGTGTTGTAGGTGCCGGTGTAGAGGCTGTTGATCATGGTGGCGAGAGGTCGGAAATCGATGGTCGGTTCGGCTTTGGCCTGAGCTTCGGCATCCGCGGAGCCAGAGGCGAGGGTGGTGAGGTTGACTGCGGTAGGTTTGGGAGTGGTGGAGGTGGCGTCGCCCATGTCGACATCTGCTTCTGCAGGGTCGGCGTCAGTGCCGGCGCTTACAGAACCAGAGAGAGCAGTCATGCGATCAGCGTCTGAGCCAAAGATGGCGCGGATTTCAGGCGCGTCGACGACTTTGCTTTTGAAGTCGCGGCGCGGTAGGCTGACAGCTCCTGCAAGAGTGGCGTAGACTACCAGAGAGGAGTACGGGCAGAGCTCAGTCGACGTGAAGGTGCTGAGTGAGTCGAGCAGGAGAGGCGCTGCGAGGGCGTATGCGCGGATGGTCAGAAGGTGCAGGCCTTGGTAGGACTTCAAGCGATTCCTTCGGTCCCAGTCTCCGCCGCTCTCGACAAGCACCAACGCGCGATCGACACTCTTCTTCACCAGAAGCTTGTCGTCAAAGAACATGCCGATGCGAATGATGGCGAGCACAATATCGATCTTCGTCCCGAGAATGCCGGTCTTTTCAATCAGCTTCTCGAACTCTGCAATCGCCTTCTCCTTGTCACCAATCCTGGCGTAGTACTCTGCCCGCTTCCCTCGTGCGTTTTGAATCTCCGTCTCGCCCGCGCTCTCCACAGCGTCATCCTCTTCCTTCTGGATGGCAGCAAGTTCCTTCTCATTCTCTGCCTTCAGCTGCTCGTACAGTTGCTCATCCCACGGTAGCTCCACGCTCGTGTCCGTCTTCCCACCAAGAACACCGACCATGCTCGGAGCGCCTATTGATGTCGTTCGCCTCAGCATATGCTCCGGACCAGGCATATTCGCCGCTGCGTTCTGGCCAGGTAGAGTATTTTGTCTGCTGAGCACAGGCGACATCATCGCACTACCGCTCTCCCCACCCGGGTTGAGCTTGCCGTGCTGGGGATGTGCGAGGTAGGCGTATAGAGGAGCCATGTGATTCTCGCGGATGCCATCTTGGAGTGTTTGAAGAGAGGTCTGTTTCGTCTGCGTAGATGTGTATGGCGAGGCGAGGCTGAAGACGGATTGCGCGAGAGGTAGAGAGGGGTATGTGAGGTATTGTGGTTCTCCCATCTTGGCTGTGTGTTGGTCGTGGTGATGTAGTGATGGAGTTGTCGAGAGGGTGTTTCTGTGTTTCTGAGGCACCTTGAGCCGCGTCGCTGCACTTGCCTCAAGCTGCTGGACGACTTAGCGTAAGGAACGGCCCATCAAGCTTATCTTAGCGCATCACTAGCTTCAAGAGTCACGTGCGTTCACTTGACCTGCCATGTGCTTGGGTTCACCTTCACAAACACAGTCTTCTCACCACAACTCCCACCCATACCACCTACCATGGCACCTCCTGCCACCACAGACCCTCCGCCCTCCAACGTCTCCGAACGTCGCGTCCCTACCAAGCGTAAGCGCGAAACCGCCCGCCCCTCTAACAACTCCACGCGCACATCAACCCCAAACGCCTACAGCAGACGATCACCACCTCGTCAAGCACCACCCAAACGACCGGCCGACCCTGAAGAAGACGAAGGCGACCGCTCACCACCTCGAAAGCAGAAGAGACCTGGTGCTGGCGCCCGAATCAACCGCGAAGCACTTGAAGCTGCCCGGCTCGAGCGTGAGCAGGAGAGGCGCGAGGCAGCGGAGCGACAGCAGAAAGTCGCAGCATCTGAATTGGTCGGTGACTTCTACAACAGTGTACCGCAGCGAGGGCGAGAATGGAGACAAACGGACTCCAAGATCAAAGGATTGCGGAGTCTGAACAACTGGATCAAAAGCACACTAATCCAGAAGTTCTCGCGCCCGGAGACGGGTGTCATGAATCACTTCACAGTGCTGGATATGGCTTGTGGAAAGGGTGGTGATCTGGGGAAGTGGGAGAAGGCGCCGACAGTGCCGAATTTATACGTCGGCTGCGACATTGCAGACATCTCCATCACGCAGGCGAAGGAACGGTGGGCGGAATCACAGCAGAGGAGCCGTGGTAGACATCGAAGGGATGCGGCTATGGAGGCGCAGTTCTACGTGCAGGACACGTTCAGCAAACCACTGGGGGAGATTCCGTTGATACGTCAGGTGGGATTCAACCCCAATGCTGGTCCTGGGTCGGGTGTGATTCAGCCAGGGATGATGATGGGAGGCTTTGATGTCGTGAGCATGATGTTTGCTCTTCACTACTCGTTTGAGACGGAGGAGTTGGCGAGGGGTATGCTCAAGAATGTTGCGGGTGCACTCAAGAAAGGGGGAAGATTCATTGGCGTTATGCCCAACTCTGATGTGATATCTGCGACAGTGAAGAAGCTACTTCAGGCGGAGAGCAAGGGCAAGACAGCCAATGGCAAAGTCTCGCCTGGACCAGCGCAGAAGGAGAAAGAAGGTAGCGAGGACGGCGAGGTTGAGGATGAAGAGGACGACTGGGATCCGGAGAAGCCATCGGAAGCTGCTAACGGAGCTACCGCAGACGGCGACGACGAAGACGACTGGGATCCTGAGAAGCCTTCCGAGCCCGCGCCAACTGCAAATGAGACCAACGACGAGGACGAAGATTGGGATCCCGAGAAACCCTCTGAACCCAACCCAGCGATAGCAGATGTCGCTGGACCCTCACAGCCTCAAACCAACGGCACCACCCCAGCTCAACAAACGCCCGCCGACCCCAATCTCCCACCTTTAGAATGGGGCAACTCCCTCTACACCGTCCGCTTTCCCCGCGCCCAACCCCTCACCAAGCGCCCATTACCCCTCGACGGCATCTTCCGCCCACCCTACGGCTGGAAATACCACTACCAACTCGAGGAAGCCGTCGACGTCCCCGAGTTCGTCGTGCCGTGGGAAGGGTTCCGCGCGCTCGCCGAGGACTACGGGCTGGAGCTGATGTACAGGAAAGGGTTTCGCGAGGTGCTGGACGAGATCTGGGACGGGAGTGCGAGTGGCGGGCTGGGAGACGAAGCGGCAGATGGGAAGTTGCAGCGGGAGTTGGGGATGTTGGCGGAGAGGATGGGCGTGTTGAGTCGGGATCGGAGTCAGGGGAAGAAGGGGCTGTTAGTTGGGGAGGAGGAGATGGAGGCGGCGGGGTTCTATCATGCTTTCTGCTTTTACAGGACGTAGGTCGAAGGCATTGCGACAGGAGGGAGGTTGTGGCTGCTTGAGTGGGATGGCTATTAATGGCTGTGAGGCCTGTGAGTGACAGCCTGGGCGTGAATGGAAAAGCGGCATTGGCCTCAGGGCCGGAAGTTGGACTGATTACACTTGCTATGTTGTGTTTATACTAGCCTTACCACAAGGCAAATCTACTTGCCGGCTGTTGAAGCTGGAGATCTGCAAACCTGTTGCTTGACTCGGCTTCGGAATGCGAGGTCCAACTCTACAACCTTCAGCTCAGCTGCCTCAAAATCCCTTTGCCAGTATGACACAGCATATTGCTGACAATAGAGGAAACAAGCACCTGAACGACGTCTTCAGCTTCGAAACCATAAGGACGTAAGCATTGCCATCAAGAGGCGAAGACAAGAGTGAAGACAGTCACCTTAGGCGCGGCATGTCGTCGATCGCGGAATGGCCTCGCAGTGCGAAGCTGAAGACGGCTCAGCTGGGAAATGTGCCACCTCGCAGACCCCCTCTTCCTCTTCACGTCCGTAACTGATCAGCACTCTGCCTTGGGGCTGTTTACGCGCAAGACGAATGGTGTCGTACTATATGGAGATGCTTTAACGACCCATACATATGGATGATGGCATTGAGGCTGTGATGCGAACGCGCAGGTGGAAATGAAGGCGAGGTTGAGGGTATATAGGACGGGAGGAGGACGGCAAAACGGGATGGAAGGCAACAAGATCATTGGATCCATATCCTCTCTGCGGTTAAGACAGCAACACCACCTCTTCGCCTTCTGAACGGACGGACACTCTAAGTACAACTTCCTGGCATGACCCAACCCAACGCCTACACTACCCTCACACCAACCATGGGCCACAACCCCTCCCTCAACGGCGCCGGCCTCCCGCGCCTCCCACTCGACCTCCACCGCTACGAAAAGAACATCGCAATCTTCTGGTCCGTCCTCATCCTCTCCTCCGGCATCCTCCCCATCGTAGGCTACTTCGCCCTCCACTACGGCACGGACCTCGAACTCAACATCGTGCTCGCGCCCTTCCTAGGGTTCACAGGCGTGACGTCCATCTTCTCGCTGATCAAACGATCTTGGGAACTCACGAAGAAGGATTCGAATTGTCGACCGTTAGGGCAGCAGAGTCGCTGGGGTCTTGATTTCTTCGGCTGGAACTTTCTATTCGGGTTTATTGCGCTTACAATGCTCATCTCGCTGGGCATTGGACTGGAAGTGCTGAGGGCTGTCTCACTCCCGCTGAGCGTGCTGGTGTTCTATGTCTGCCTTGAGCTGCTTCTTGCCCAGGCTCTCATGGCTGCGGGTGTGAGGGCGCCTTTAAGGATCTCATCTGTTGCGAAGGGGCAGGTACTGAGGCCGGGGTCGTATGTGATTGTAGAGGATGTGGTGGCGGTGGATGGGGGACAAGGGCAGGGGTTTCGACGGGCGTGGAATGAGCGGTATGAGGCTAGTCGAGCGATGAGGACGCATCTGAGGAAGATGGATTTGATGTGGGCAGGGAGTGGGATGGTGTTGGTGGCAGTTGTGGTTGGGGTGGTGTTTGGGGCTGAGGAGAGGGAGGTTGGGTACGCAGTTGGTAAGTGTTGGAATGACTGCTGAGGGTAATTCGTTCGATGCTGACTGTATGGCAGGGTGGTCATTACCTTGGGTATGGGCGGGCACGATGGCATACATTACTACTCAGCTATCGAAGGCCATGCTCATAAAGGAAGCCAGAGAGCAGCAGCACGCTGGAGTATAGCAGCATCTGATCAGAGCAGTGTATACAGCGAATCGTCAAGGCAATAGAGTATCTGTTTGCGGCTGCGGCAACCCGAGTTGCAAAACAACAGCTCCTACCAAACACAGATTCTTCAATGGGTCGTTCACATGCATTGTCACATGCACTGTCATGTGCAATACCCATACTTGCTGTTTTCGATGATTGCTCGACGTTCAGTGACACAATGACTGCAGTGTACGGCAGATAGCAGTACAACGTAGTCATATCCATCTTTCCATCGCCAAGTTGACGTCTTGAGCGATGGATCACAGGGTTCCTGAGGGATTGAAGCACATATGTCAATCAAAAGTGGGGCACAAGTGAATGCAAAACTGCACCTTGAAGAGTCAAGCTACGTTCATGTTTCGCTACATCTCTCGTCCTTACACTCTTCCACTGACCGCAACTCGTCGTCGTGTACACATTGGCTTCCGCAAGATGGCAGACATAGCAGACCATTACGATGGTAGATCTAACCACACCGTTACCTCCATAGCACGACTAAAGTGCCTGCAGATCCCATCCGAATAGCAGTCATCGGCGGCACAGGTCTCAGCTCCCTCGCCGACTTCACCCACGTCGCCAATCTCAAACCAACAACACCTTGGGGACCCCCCTCCTCCCCCATCGCCGTCCTCCAACACCCTTCCCCAACCACCGGCAAGCCTATACCAATCGCCTTCCTCTCCCGCCATGGCATCCACCACGAAACCGCACCCCACGAAGTCCCCAGCCGCGCCAACATTGCCTCCCTCCGTAGCATAGGCGTGCGCACAATCATCGCCTTCAGTGCCGTAGGCAGTCTACAAGAGGAAATCAAGCCCCGGGACTTTGTCGTTCCTGACCAAATCATCGATCGCACAAAAGGTGTGCGGCCTTTCACATTCTTCGAAGGCGGTATGGTGGGGCATGTAGGGTTCGCAGACCCGTTCGACAATGGAGTAGCCGAAGTAGTGCGGAAGTGCGGACACTCATTGGCAGGCGAAGGGGTGCGACTACACGACAAAGGCCTACTGATCTGCATGGAAGGACCACAGTTCAGCACGCGGGCAGAGAGTAATCTGTACCGCTCCTGGGGCGGCAGTGTGATCAACATGTCCGCTCTCCCCGAAGCGAAGCTCGCGAAGGAAGCGGAGATTGCGTATCAAATGATTTGTATGTCGACGGACTACGACTGCTGGCACGATTCTGGGGACGTGACGGTGGAGATGGTGATGGGGAACATGAAGGCGAATGCGGAGAACGCGAGGAGGTTTGTGGGGGCGGTGTTGGATGAGTTGAGTAAGGAGGAGCATGCGGATTTGGTGTTGGCGAAGCATTTGGAGGGGCAGACGAAGTTTGCTGGGGCGATCACGGCGGTACAAGGGAGGAGCGAGGAGGCGAAGGGGAAGTTGGGGTGGTTGTTTCCGGGGTATTTCGAATGAAATTGGAGGTGGAATGGGGCGCGGACAATTCAACAACGATAGATAGACGATGTAGATACCCGGCTATAAGGCCTACGATGAGAGTAATTTTGCTTGTTAAGATTCAGAAAGCACCCATGATATCGTTGTCAGCCATATACTTCATAATCGCATCCTAGAAAGAAAGTCAGCTTCGTCTACCATCATGACTCCATTGGGAAGAACTCACCCAACTCTTACACTCATGAGTAATTCCCCATCCATCAAAAGCAAACCTCCTCCCGTCTTCCTCCTCCCTCGGCCACTCAATCGTAAGATCACCCGCACACATCAGCGCCTGCCGGATATAATCCAGACAATGATACATATGCGGAACCTCTGGATCCAGTAAGACCTTCTGGATCTGCTCCGTGTTGTTGCTTCCGAGAGCGCCCGTCAAAAGGATCATGTGCTTCCGGATGTTGGTCAGACAGTGTAGTTGGTGGAAGAGGGAGACGTCGTAGACTTCGCCTTTGGAGGTCTGTTTGCCGGGTGGGAGATTGTAGGTCCGGGGGTTGTCGATGATGAGGAAGCCGTCGCCGTCCTGGATCCCTATAAGCTGAGAACTGATATGGAGGGTTAAGGGTCACTTACTGGTGTGAGGGACCCCCAGGCTTGATCGATCTCCTGGGTCGAAGGGCCGGCGTACAGAGGGTTCTGTTCGAACTTGACAAATTTCTTGGGCACTGTCCGGCGTTAGCATGATTCCAGCAACGCAGCTACGATGCGTGATTACTGGTTGGTATGGGTGATTTGATCCCTCCATCTGATCTTGTGGCAAAGTACAACGCCGCCATCAAACCAAGACACACGACACCAAGCATGACAGACAAGATCACCAGGTACTTGTTGAATGGACGTTCGCGAGCAGCAGGTGCCTCATATCGTCTTGCCCCATCATGACTTCTGCCCTCTTTGGCTATTAGATGGTCCTCGTCGCCGGCTGTGTCGTTCTCATCGAATGCCATGTCGTCCTCCCGGGGTCGTCCACTCTCGTTCCTCGCAGCCATCGTGAAATCGTGAACGTTCAGATCGCTCCCCTGGCACGACACCTTGGTACACCTTGGGAAGACGAAGTGGCGTGTCCTCAAACCTCACCATCCCTCCGGAGAAGGGAAGTATCCGATACGTGACCCAGAGCACCCCGCCCAGACCACCATTTCCCTGCAGACATCGTCGCTTTTGGCACACTCGGTGCGCTACCCGGAAACATCACTGCAATCGACAACAAGGTTTGCCTCGGTTTGCGCCTGAAACTGCCTCCTCCGATGGCGAGTCAGTCGAATTGCCCAATCAAACGTCTGAGACGTTTTGGACGACCTCGGTCGAATGCTCGATGATCTACATTGCAGATGCGGTTGATTGTCTCCACCACGATCAGAAGACTCTCGTATGTGCGCAAAACTTGATCAGGACGAATGGGAACGTGTGTTGTGATACACATTTTGGCCGAGAGCACGTACGCTATATGAGCCAAGGAGTTTCAACGTGTGTCGTCTCGGTCATCACTCCCCGGTGAGGCACTTTGCGAGCTGCCTCCAAGTCTACCATGCAATCTCCGAGAGGTGTCACTTGGTGAGCAGCATCGTTGAAGCGATATCTGTTTCCGTTCGTCAGTGTGACAGGTGCTCAATGTGCGATTGGGGACGAGTAGATGGTTGGAACATGTGATGTCGATTTCTGCAAATAGTCATCAGTCACAACATCGAGACCTCTTATGCCAGTGTCAATCAACATGGAACCAGCCTACTCGACGCCTCGCAGCCACACATCGTAGATCTGCCCCAACCTTAAATTCGTGCTTCTCCAGATCGTTGCGCACCGGATCGTGGCTGTTGACACCCTGGTCTCCGCCAGCACAGTCTGTGGCGAAGTTTCCGAGACCGACACGACCGGTTTCACGGTGCCATCCTCAAACAACGCCTCCACTCAAGGCAAGATCGTGCCCCTGAGAGTGGAAGCTGAGGCGCGAGCATTGATCGTAGAGATCGGAAGATGCCATGGACCAGGTTGTGTATAAGAAGGCCTGCTGTATCCCTCATCAGTAGAGAGACGTGACAACATCGATTCCAATCATCACACATTCGTTCTTCGCAGACCTGGTGTCTAGCATTCCGTCTTTATCAACTTCAACCCAACCCTCGCTCCTAAGAATCATCCAAAATGCAGCTCACCGCTTCCAACTTCGCCTACCTCTTATACTGCGCCTCTGTTGCGCTCGGGGCTCCCACGCTCAAGCGTCAGTCTGGCACGACGTACAGCGGTGGATCGACGGCCAACGATGTCCAGAACGGAGGTGAGTAGGAATGCGATCAGTAGTTGGCACTGGACACTGACAAGCTCTTTCCAGTCTGCGCACCCGTGACCCTCATCTTCGCTCGTGGCTCGACCGAGACGGGCAACATGGGCAGCTCTGTGGGTCCAGCCCTGGCTCAGCAGTTGATCTCTACGCTCGGCAGCGACGGGGTCGCCATCCAGGGTGTCGACTACAGCGCCACCATCGCGTCCAACGCTTCCGGAGGCGCGGACGGAGGGCCTGAGCTCGCGGACCTTGCCAACCAGGCCCTGCAGAACTGCCCGAACACCAAGATTGCCATTGCAGGTTACAGTCAAGGTGCAACTGTCTGCCATTACGCTGTTAGCCAGGGTGGTCTTTCCGCGTCTGACGTTTCATCCGCTGTGCTCTACGGTATGCCTCTCGACCACAGTCCAGATCGGAAGAAGTATCATTGACACCTCGCAGGTGACCCTCTCGACGGCCAGCCCGTAGGCGACTTGTCCTCTGACAGGACTTTAGAGTTCTGCGGTAAGTTCATGGACTCCCTTCCAGTCTGAACATGGTCTGACTTTGATCGCTTAGCCTCGGGCGATGGCGTCTGCGAGACAGGCGGCTTCGCCATCACGGCTGCCCACTTGTCCTACACCACCGGCAGCGACATCCCAGATGGTGCTGCCTTCATTGTGCAGAATGCCGGGACCTCGACCAGCGGTGGCTCGTCTAGCTCGCCAGCAGCCTCAGGTGCGCCGTCCTCCGCGCCGTCTTCCGCACCGTCGTCCGAGCCGTCCTCAGGCTCTTCCTCAAACCCATTCGGCATTCCGTCTTCTGGCGGAGACTCCTCCAACCCATTTGGCATCCCATCTAGCGGCTCATCGTCTGGAGGCAGCTTTGGCATCCCGTCCAGCGGTTCTTCCTCTGGAGGCAGCTTCGGCATCCCATCCACTGGTACATCGTCTGGAGGCAGCTTTGGCATCCCATCCACAGGTACATCGTCCGGAGGCAGCTTCGGTATCCCAACCGGAAGCAGCGGCTTTGGAGGCTTGGGCGACCTGTTCAGCTTCAAGAAGGATGGCAACAAGGATAGCAAGAAGAGCAGCGAGTAAGAATGCTGCTTCTTTGGCAATGACTGGGGGCAGCTGATCTGGTGATGATGGGGATGATGAAATTTATGGTTATGATCGGAAAGAGCAGCATTTGAGGTATTCTTTGCAGGACAAAGAGGAAGAGCATACATAGGAAGCATACAGTACCATTCCCTATCTTCCACACTCGACCTGCCTGCCGTGCAATTCGCTTGAAGGTGGTACATGTAAGCAGGTCATCCTTTTGCGGCTTCGGCTCCTGCCATGCGGTGGCACCGTTCTCACATTGCTGACTTGAAGGTCGCTGCTTTCCTCAGACCGAGCGCCCGACATCCTTCCTCGAGGTCAGTTAGGTCTGATAGCTTCTTGCGTTGAAGTGTTGGAGAAAGGATAGAAGTGCGGTCAGGAACAACCACAGAACGCAGACGAGCCGCATTACCCGGTTAAATCCGCGCGCGAGTGCCGAGAGGAGAGTTTTGTGACGCATTGCCTGCTAGTACTCGACATTTTTGAGGAAGCGATGAAGCGAATGCTTTGTAAATGTAGGCGTGTCGCGGTAGGTGTTTGTCCCATTTATACAGACTGAGCGGAAACATGCTTCAACTCTTTCCCTCCATTGTCCCTACCAGCCCAACCCCACGATGAGTGTTCCATCCTCCTCGAACAGCTCGCCCGTCGATGGGGGGCTGGAGAAAGGCAAGCTAGACTATCCTCGAGAGGAAGAAGAGAAGGACCACGAAGAGACCGAAAGCGACTCGATACGGCACACTGGACGCCAAAGCAATACTCTCAACACACCACTTTCGAAGGCACGATCGCATTCGTCGGCTCGATCAGCGCGCTCATACACCGATGGCTACACTCACGTCGAGCATGAAGAGAAAGAGGTTCAGGGAACCGATGGAAGCACACAGCCCAAGGAGGAAGGCAAAGAGTTCGAGGTCCAATTCGATGGAGACGCGGACCCTTTCAATCCCAAGAACAAGTCCACACTGCGGAAGTGGAGCATTGTGCTCATAGGCAGTGCATGTTCACTCTGCGTGACTTGCGCTTCAGCATTGTACACCAGCACGTACGACCAGATGGAGCAGGAATTCCATATCAGCCGAGAAGCAGCGACAGTCGGCTTGACGACGTATGTCTGCGGGCTAGGTCTTGGGCCTATGTTCTTGAGCCCGCTGTCAGAGTTCTATGGTCGGCGTATCATCTACATCTGCGCTTTTGGGATGTTCTTCGTCTGGTTGATTCCGTGCGCCGTGGCGCCGAACATTGCGTCGATGCTGGTGTTTCGCTTCTTGGACGGGCTTGCGGGCAGCGCGTTCTTGTCTGTCGCTGGAGGGACGGTCGGAGACATGTTTCCCAAGGAGAAGCTGTCAGCTCCGATGATGATTTACACTGCTTCGCCATTCGTTGGACCCGAGGTAGGCCGTCCAGCTTTAGCCAGAGAGTATGAGCATGCTGACAATACAAAGGTCGGCCCCGTGATAGGCGGATTCATAAACCAGTTCGCGGACTGGAGGTGGTCGTTCTGGGTGCTGGTCATCTGGGCAGGCGTACTTGAAGCTGCAATCGTGTTCTTGGTGCCAGAAACTTACGCGCCTGTCTTGCTTAGACGGAAGGCCATCAAGCTTCGCAAAGAGACAGGCGATGAAAGATGGAAAGCACCAATTGAGATCATGGACCGATCGGTAGCGAGAACAGTTCTGTGGTCTTGCATCCGGCCGTTCCAGTTATTGTTCTTCGAGCAAATGTGCTTGAACTTGTGCTTGCTGAGCGCAATATTGTTGGGTAAGCAATTCTAAAGACTTGTACTACGCGGCTAACATGTGATACTCACAGGTATACTTTACCTCTTTTTCGGAGTACGTAGCACTCTCGACCGAACACCGGCGACCACGTGCTGACCTGGAACAGGCATTCGCGCTCATCTTCCAGAACAACCACGGGTTCAACCAATGGCAGACTGGCCTTACCTTCTTAGGCATCTTCGTTGGCATGGTCATTGGTGTCAGCTGCGACCCAATAACGCGAAGAAATTGTAGGGCAAACGCCTTTCAGGAAAGTATTGAATGACAACAGCTGACTGTACCACCAGACCAGAGGCTCGTTCGCAATAATGGCGGCGTATCCGAGCCGGAGTTCAGACTACCACCGACGATCTTGTGAGTGTCCCCAACGTGCGGTTCATTCTCGACCACGCTCGCGAGGGACGTTGGACGAGGTCTCGTGAAGAGAACTAACACGTGGTACCAGGGGAGCATTGCTAGTGCCAGTCAGCCTGTTCGGTGAGTCCAGATGGTGTGCGAGCTCGAGCGTTGTGTCGCTCGTGCCTGGAGATCATGATTTTACTGATGCGAGATCTATGTAACCAGGCTTCGGGTGGACGACTTTCCCATGGTACTGTATTCCCTCCTGCATCGCTAATTGCGTGGTGGGGCCTGCAGAAGACGCTGTGCATACTGACCAGAGTCTACGATCACAGGGTCCACTGGATAGGTACGATAGATTGCATCTCGATTAGGTGCAGGGAGAACAGACTGACAATGCCAGTGCCGATCATCTTCAGCGCTCTTTTTGGGATCGGGAACATACTCTGCTTTGGTGGAATCTTGTAAGTGCTTCCAGATTGTAAAGGCGACCCATGCGCTGATCTGCTCTGGAAGCACGTTCCTTGTCGAATGCGTAAGCTTGTTTAGAGCCGTCCACCCGGCCCGGCGTACCTGCTTCTCGGCCTTCTGACTGTGCATTAGTATCCTTTGTATGCTGCAAGTGCTTTGGCTGCGAACTCCTTTGCGCGGAGCAGCTTTGCGGCCGCATTTCCGTGCGTTTACCCAGTTGCTCGAGATGGCACGATGTGGCTAACATGGCGTGGCAGTCTCTTTGGTGTACAGATGTACGACTGTAAGTTGAGCGCTCAGACGATGTCTCGCCTAACGAAAGAGCGGTCACTGATTGTGAAGATCTTGGCTACCAATGGGCGAGTTCGTTACTCGGCTTCATAGCGCTTGCGATGACACCCTGTGAGTGAAGCGATCAGATCCCAGTACCACGGGCGACCGATGCTGATGTTGACAGTCCCAATCTTGTTTTTCAAGTTTGGCAAGCGGATCAGGGGCAAGTCCAGGTTCGCTCAAGCATCGTAGCTCGATCAGGCAGGGTGGCCAGGAGCGCAGCAGGGCAGCACATAGAGGAAGTTTGGCTCAGTGTCCACAAAAATAGCCCTGCACCACCTCGCGCGTGCCAACCAGATACCTTGAGGCGCTCTGCGTCACCACGACCACGCTCTCCTCCACGTGATACCGCACCCAGATCTCTGTGCGACATATCCAGAGGGCCAGTCAGATCGTGGAGACGCGGCATTCCCCTTGCCTTGGGCCTCGTACACTTCCAGGGCCCGAAACAGCGGTGACAGACAAGGCTCTTGCAACCACAAGCAACGTGGCAGACAGCTCCCATTCCTGCGGGCTTCCACTTCAAGCCGTGACTTCCAGATGTGGTAGATGCATGTGAGTGTTATAGAAGATGAAGTTGAGCAGTCACATGTACATCAACTCTCGCTAACTGGCGATCGACGGGCTCGGCACGCGGCCCGCACCTTGAACTTTGACCGAGAAGTGGAGAAGATGCCGACGAGTCAACCTCTCATTCTCACCAGCGGCTGTGCTTCACCGGACTCGATTCTGTCGCTCGCAATACGAGGCTGTATATTGCAGGCGGTGCGTGTACCGCGATCACTCGATCGTCGCGTGGAGACCATACGTCAGGCGCTTGCTCGCTGGGACCGCGACACGACACACCCCAGGCCCACTGACATGGATGGTGGAGTGCTATGAGTGGAAGCGATCGTTGCACAACATCGAGGAACACACAGCCGGGTCGCCCAATGTGCAGTCGTCGCATGCGAGCCTGCTCCCACGCACAGCAGCAGCGTCCCATCCCTCTGCATCGGGCTCGCCTACCGCGCATGCCAGCATTAGTTCATTGAGGAGCTGCGGTCCCACTGCGGACTAGCCTTTGGGCGAAAGAGAGCCGGGGAGCGCGTCAGGTTGCTACAAGTCAAGTCGCCAAAGTCCAGCGTTGGGAATATTGGGAAGCTGCAGTTGGTAGCACAGCGTAATCACTTTCTCGCGTGATTCCACGCCAGCGGACCCCATTCCTCAGCGGTGCCACTCCCGCTGGTTGGTTGGCGGTGCTATTCCAATCCACCGGCTGGAGCGCCGTGAGACGGTATCGACGGCGTAGTGCAGCAGCAACGTGGGTCTGGTACGCCAGGAGGCCGTGCGATTCCACCTGCGCATAGGGCAAGGTAGTATTGCCTGCAAAACGAAAGGATAATTAATATGTCGCCAAACGACGCTGGGGATGTCCCCTCCTCGCCTGAATCTGACACCGAGCAAGAATCGAGCATCATGGCTGAGGAAAAGTACAATCGTGCATCTACTGACGAGAAGTCTCCTGATCGAGCCAGCAATGGCAACAAGCCTGCTAAGAGCAACGCCAAAGATCCTTCACGGCCTCGAAGGAAGAAAGCGCGGCGCGCGTGTTTTGCTTGCCAACGAGCACATCTGACTTGCGGTATGGGATGCAGGTACAGCTTACGTGGGTACATCAGTACTGACCTTGCTATATAGGTGATGAACGGCCGTGCAACCGATGCATTAAGCGCGGTCTTCAAGATCAGTGCCACGATGGTGTTCGCAAGAAAGCCAAGTATCTACACGACGCGCCACCGGAAGCACTATTGCCTGGATATCAAAGCACTTACACAATCAATGGCGGGCAAACAATGCCAACAGGATCAGCCCCTTCTATGAGCTCTGGCAACATGTCTGCGCCGCAGGCCAGCAACTACTATCCCTCTGCACCCTCCTTCCCACAGTACGGACCTGTTGGCCAGCCGAACCATCTAGGCCATCAAGACCACACCAGTAGGACGGGCAATGCACATCAGCCACCGGCCATGAGCTCGCCGATGCAGTATCAGCAACAGCAACCAAATAGTCAGCAAGTCTCACCGGCTCACGATCTCTCGAACACAGTGGATCAACCGTCAGCGATAGGCAACATCAGCAACCCTTCATTCGAAGCGTCGCTGTTCGACCCAGCCGATCCAGGAATGTTCTTCAATCTTGCAGACATGAACTTTGGCAATCACTACGGCGCGCTGGAATTTGGCATGCTAGGCCACATGACCTCCGGCGCAGTCAATACCCCAGACGTGGACGTGCTTGACTCGATGAACAGCTCCGGCAGCTTCTCGTACGACGGCACGGGGGGATTTCCAATTTCAAGCTTTCCTTACACTCAGGGGTACCAACCTTGGCAGACATCGGGATCTAGGCAAGGCAGTACGACGAACCTGTGGGCACTGCACCACAACGGCATGGATGCGTATGCTGTCGCGGATACCACAGGCTCGTTCACCGACACCAGCCCACAATCGCAAAGTCAAGACTGGAATATGGACTATACGTCCAGCAATGTCTCGCCTCAGACCCAGTTCGTCCAACCTGATCACCAGCGTCAGCACGAATCACAACGTCATCGTCACCGGCAATCAGCACCCTTTCCCGACGACTTCGGACCGATGATGTCGAAAAAGGCCCGGCGGAACACCAAGCATATTTACGCCTCAGTAACCAAGCCGTATCCCTACACCCAACGATTCCACAGCCTCTTCGCGTTCATGTACAAGCGCTTTTCCTCGGAAAGCCGAATCCGAGTGGCAGAGGCTCTATCTTTGATCCGGCCGTCATTCATCTCTGCGACTAAGGATCTGAGTGAGGACGACCTGATCTTCATGGAGCAGGGGTTCCAACGGCAGCTGGTGGACTACGACGATACCTGGCAGCAGACGGGAACTCCTAGCATCATCTGCCGCCGCACGGGGGAGGTCGTCTCCTGTAACAAAGAATTCAGCCTGGTCACCGGTTGGCAGAGGGACGTACTGCTGGGCAAAGCACCAAACCTGAACGTCAACTTCGGCAGCAGCACTGGCACGCACACCGGCAGCAGTACCAGGGGAGCCGTCACGCCCGACACGGAGAGCGAAGCCACACTTCCAGAACCCGTCTTCATCGCCGAGTTAATGGACCAGGACGACGTCGCCGGCTTCTGGGAGGACTTCGCGGCGCGTGCATTCGGCGCTTCGACGTCCTCGATGGCTGGTGTGACGTGTTCGCTCATGAAGTACAAGACGAAGAATGATCCGGGCTGGGGTCCTGAGGACCGGTTGGGTGATGGCAATCGTCGGTCTATGAAGACGGAGCGTGAGAAGGGCGGTTCCGGTGCGTTGGGCGAGCGCGACGGCAAGCTGGATATGTCGATGACTTGGCTGGTGCGGCGGGACATGTTTGACATTCCGATGATGATTGTGATTAACGTGAGTTGTGCCAACAATCCACCTTTCGGTTGGGCAGGTGCTGACTTGCTGCAGTTCCTTCCTATGATTTAGCGACATGGCGTTCACGAGGAGTCATCGGGGCGATTGTGTCTGGGCACGACACGGGACTACGTGATGCTGGGCGCATGTAGATGACGGGAATGCATGGGGGACCGGGCTGGCGAGGTGTAGACGGTGCGCCAGCAATGGCTTTACATCGTTGTACTCGTATGGGCATAATGCTGGTCTGTCATGGTTGGCGGGGGGGACTTTGTCGAGGCGAGTGACAGCCTCTCAGGGAGAGTGGGAGGATATCAATGACTGCGATTGAAACCGCCATTAGAGGAACTGGCTCAGATACTTGTCTGGTCATCAAATAGTCTGACTGGCAATGAAGTGATTTCAAGATCGACCATTTCACTTCTTTCCCGTTCACCAGCGCCTTCTCAAGCAATTCCACAGGTGCATCCACGTCAGTCTCATCGAACAGGTTGATCATTGAAACCCCCTTAGACGTTGTCGGAAGAGCTCTCTTGTCCAGAAACGCTCGTAGCCGCTCTGAGCAGCTCCAAGTTGCTATCGATAACGACGCGATGATGTGACTCCGAGCCTAACTCCAACCCACCTCTTCTCCCTCCAAAAACCCTCACCATGTGAACAACAACACCTCCGCAACACCCGTTGCAACGATGCCACCACCAGACGGACCCCGTCCAGAAGTCGTAGGACCCGAGAGCGGCCCAGCACCGCCTTTCCCGCTGCGATTGAATGGGAAAGTGATTAAGGGCTTTGGGAGGGGGAGTAGTGAGGTAAGTGATGATCGTTATTCCTTTCGTCCTGGAGAAGAAGAAGATGAGCCAATAGTGCTGTGAGGCACTGCGGCGGGACTCGTGTTGGTGCTCCTGCAGCAGAGGCGATATTATTCCTGGACATGGAGGGACAGGACACGAGGCAAGGGAGCACCAGGAACATGATCAGCCCTTGCTGAACTGTTCAGCCCTCTGTGCTGCAATCCACGTTCGCCGTACTATTCTATCCCAGTACCACGGACACGAGTGTTCCCAGAAGCGTCACGGCATCATGTACGCTGACACTTCCACTAGCTCGGCATCCCCACGGCCAACATCCCCATCTCCGGCCTCAGCGTCGGCGGGCACGAGGACGTCGAGTCGGGGGTCTACTACGGCTGGGCCGGCCTTTCCGCTTCAAAGGCCACCTCCTCTCCTGCCTCCGAATACACGCTCATGAGCCCGGACGTCTTCTCCTCGCTCCAGAAATCCCTCCCCACGTCAGGAGGGAAAGAAGGTGGAGAAGAAGGAGAAGGCAAGGTATACCCAATGGTAATGTCGATCGGCTGGAACCCCTTCTACAAAAACTCCGTGCGCAGCGTCGAAGTGCACCTGATGCACGGCCTCTCGCACCAATTCTACGAGTCGCATATGAATCTGGTCGTGCTGGGTTTTATCCGCCCGGAGTACGATTACGTGAGTAAGGAGAGTTTGGTCGAGGATATACGGACGGATATCGATGTTGCGGGGAGGAGTTTGTGTAGGGAAAAGTATAGGGAGTACGCGGGGGAGGGGTATTTGAGAGAGTTTGGGGGGAGGAGTGAGGTGGGTAGCTAGTCATTGCGAGTGGATGGATAGATATGCTGTCTAGATGGATATACCCTGATTGTGGTTGCTCTTCCTGGTTGCTCACGCTTTGCTCATAGGTATCGCTAGTCTTCCGAGTTGATTGCCCACGCTTTTCCCATGGCGTTCATATCTCCCATTTCTCCAGACGCCAAACTCCCTAGCATCCCTCCCCTCCCCACCATCCATTTGAAAGACGAAAGACCTTCAAGCCCCACCCTCCCTCTTAGCATACTCGTCCTCCATCGCTTCCTCATACCGCTTATCCGCGTCGGTCACATCCTCAATCCTCGGTCCTTCCCCACCCCCTATCCTCCCCGCTGCACTCCCCTCAATTCCCGCCGGCATCTCCCGTCCCTGACTATCATAATGCCTCTCCTCCCTCACCACGGGCTCTCCGAGCCGCTGCTCCTGCGTCACGGTATGCGAGCCGCTGGGGTCGGAGTAGGAGGTTTGCGCTGAGCGGGAGCCGGTGACTTCTTGGACGCCTGGCTGGGTTGTTGAAGAGGAGGTGGAGGAGGTGGAGTAAGAGGTAAAGGTTGAGTATGAGGAGGAGGACTGGGAATTTGAGGACATGGTTGCGTTGTTCTTGTGTGGTGTGGTCTTCTGGTGAGTCTGGTTGTGATTTGAGTTGTTGTGTTGGTTGTTGGTACAAGTGTTGAGGGTTGAAAAATATAAAGGAGTAGTCGAAGAGAGGGAGAGAGCTCTGAGGTAATGTTCAACTTGACCTTCACATTATCCAACTGTGGCGCAAGAATGACGTCGCTGGCCGCACAGCCACACTTCCACTCATCACGTGACCCTCGTCTAGAACCTGCCCGAACCAGCGACACTGACACTCCCCTGCCTCGCCCCCTCCGCCGCCGCATCCCCTGCCGGCCTCTGCCACTCCCTCACGTGTCCTGTCATCGCGTTAGCATCCCGTCCATAACCCCTTCGATAATGGGTAAAAGGTGTACTCACCCTCCTTACAACTCGTCAAAATACAGCCCTCCTCGAACCCCAACCAACACAACGGATGCGAGTCCGCCGCCTTACTCATCACAGGCGGTAGCTGCGCCGTAATCGCCATCGAGTCCACCGCGTGCACCACTTCCACTCCATCCTCCTCCCCTTCCGCACCACCCTCAGCGGAGCGAGAAGAATTGCTCCGCATCCGATTCCCAACTCCCACCGTACTCTCCTTCCTCCCCGCCCCGGACACACTACCCCTAGTATTCCTCGGCTTCGGCCGCCTCAACATCCCCACCGAGAAATCCCATAGCAACAGCTTACAATCCTCCCCCACGCTCCCGAACCGATAATTCCGCTCATCGCACCGCCACGGATCAAACTTGACATCCGTCACCCAGCTCTCGTGGCCCACACACCGCGCCACGAGCTCCTGGTCCGCCAGGCTCCAGATACTGACCAAATCGTCCTGGCCGCCGGTGAGCACATACCGGCCGTCGGGAGACCAGGTCACGCAGAGCATGGCGCCGTAGTAGGAGCGGTAGACGTCCAGCACACGCTCATTGATGTAGTCGAGAATGGTGAGGGTGCCGTCTTCGCACACGGTGGCGAGCATGGTGCCGTCTGGGGAGAAGGCGATGTCGTTGATTTTGAGGTTGGAGACTTTCCAGACGGCGAGCGGGTTGGTCTTCTGCTCGCGGGACTGGACGGATTTCTTGACGCGGAAGCCGGGTTTGGTTGTTGGGGTGGTGCCGTTGGTGTGGCCGTTGGTGGCGCCGTTTTCGGTGGGTGCGGAGGATTCGTCGGGAGTGAAGGCGGCATCCTCTTTTTCCTTGTCGTAGACCATGAGGGTGCCGTCGAATTGGGCGGTGATGAAGAGGTTCTCTTTGTTCGGAAGCCAGAGGATGCGCTGGATGGGAGAGTTCGAGATCTGGCCGTTCTTGTTTAGACGAGCGTACTTTTGCGACATCGGCTCGTACCAGATGATATCGCCTGTGTTGAAGCCCATGATAATGTCGAGGTGGTTGGAGGATTTCGTGAAGTCGTTGACATCGTGGCATAGCGCATGCGCCTTGGTGAACAGCACTTTCGTCAGGTTCTCAGTCTTAATGTCCGAGCTCAAATCCAGCCACATGTATGCTCTGTTGACATTCGCGAAAGCAAACAGTCCCTCAGATGACCGCTCTGCCAGGCGCTTCGGCAGTGCTTCGTGCGGTATCACCCGCGAGACATAGGACGAGTTCGACTTGACAATGTTATTCTTAGGCTTCGCACGCCCCTCCTTCTTGCCCTTAGCAGGTGTTGCGGCGCTCAGCGCTGGGTTGTTGTCGCCGAAGCCTGACGCCTGGTTGTAGTAGCCCGCCGAGCCGAAGCCGTTCGTAGTTGAGCCAGCATCGCTCCTCGGACTTTGCACCTCTTCTTGTATGCTCTGCGGCAGACCCGAGCGCGCACTCTGCGCCGTTGTCGTTCGAAAGAGATTCTGCGGGGGCGCTTTTCGAGGCGATAGACAGACTATGGAGAGCTTGGTGCCGGCCGTCTGTGGCCCTATGGTAGTAGCAAGAGGGTTGTTGTTCGGCTGCGGCGCATCGCTGGGGTGGGGTGGAGGTGTGGCGAGGTGGAGGTCATCTTTGAGAACGTACGTGCCTTCGCCGACGACTAGTTGATACTCGGGTCCGGTGGGGTGGCTTAGGATGTTCTGTTCATCTTCTGTCAGCTTCTCTAAATCTTTGGAGAACTTCTGGCCCATTGCGGAGACAGAAAGGGCTGACTGGTATGTGTGCTTACATTCGTCTCGAGCAGACCACCTCCAGGTATGCCTGTGCGATGGTTAGCAAACCTCAGTCGAGTAGTATTGCCTTTGCGACCTCACCTGTATACAGGTTGCCATTCTAGCGATCGGCTGTTAGCACAGAGTCCTGCGTTGCACATGGTCGATGGAGACGTACTGGATAGCGAGGCGGAGGAGGTAGGACGCTTTGAAGAGAATCAGCCAAAGCTTGTCTTTACACTGTCGCGAGCTCGCATGATGAGATGGAGTTGAGCCGCGGCGCAGGGCAGTGGAGCGCTTACAACATGTTGCCTTGCTTGTGCTGCTGGTCAGGTTGATGTTGCTATCCCCATACCCTCATCATCGAGATGTTGTTGTACAAAGAACTGCAGACCATTCCACGGGACAGAGCACTCTTGGAGCAAGCAACACAGTGCGGAAGGATCGCAGGGACATGGCGGGCGGCGCAGTAGTTTGCAGATCATTCATGTGGCGCTCGAGTGGGGAAGGGCGACCGGCTGAATAACGATGAGACGGAGGGACAGCCATAGTGAGCGCCGCGTAGGTCATCACGTCGGCGACAGACCTCCCACATCCGCCGTAACGGTCATCAACAATCTGGAGAGTTGAAGGAGAGAGTTGTCTGATTCTTCCGTCCTTGCCCGATCTGCAGCTGCCCACGTGGTTTGTGGAGCCTCCGCATCGGGACCCTTGCCGTTACGCCGGCCCATTCTTGACTTTCCAGTCAACCTCCAGCAACATGGACGATGGCTACAGGTATGTCTTCTATGCAACCAGTTGATATCGTGTTACTGACCATGGAACACAGTCCGAATATGCATCGTCGGCGACGAGTCAGTCGTGAGTATACCAACCAACGACCAACAGCAGCACCTCAATTAACACCTCCACCACCAGGGCAAGAGCTCGCTCCTCACAAGTCTGGTCAAGGATAGCTTCGTCACGTCCAAGATCCAGTCCGTCCTGCCGCCCATCACCATCCCGCCTTCGTCGATCACCCAAGAGAACGTCAGCATCACCCTCGTCGACACCTCCGCTCTCCCACAAGAACGAGATGCGCTCAAACGGGAGCTACGCAAGGCCAACTGTATCCTACTCGTCTACAGCGACCACTACAGCTATGAGCGCGTCGCCCTCTTCTGGATGCCGCACTTTCGATCACTAGGCCTGAATGTCCCTGTGGTGCTGTGCGCAAACAAGAGCGACCTCACTGCCGCAAATGGCGCCAGCACGGCCCAGATTATCGCGGAGGAGATGATGCCGGTCATGTCGGAGTTCAAGGAGATTGACTCATGTATACGGACGAGTGCGAGGGAGCATCACAACATCAATGAAGTCTTCTTCCTGTGTCAGAAGGCGGTCACGCATCCCATTGCGCCGCTGTACGATTCAAAGGAGGCTGCGCTGAAACCTGCCGCTGTGGATGCCCTCAAACGGGTTTTCTATCTATGTGACAGGGATCAGGACGGTCTACTGAATGATAAGGAGATCCACGACTTCCAGCTCAGATGCTTCGATAAGCCACTCTCAGACGAAGACCTAGCCAGCATCAAACGCATGATCCAGCGCTTCACCCCCCAACATGCAGACTCTCCCCAAGAAGGCATAGATATCGAAGGCTTCATCCTCCTCAACAAGATGTTCGCCGAGAAAGGCCGCCACGAAACCATCTGGATCATTCTCCGCAAGTTCCAGTACTCCGACAGCCTCTCCCTCAAAGACACCTTCCTGCACCCCAAATTCGACGTCCCGCCCTTCGCCTCCGCCGAGCTCAGTCCAGCCGGCTACCGCTTCTTTGTCGACCTCTTCCTGCTCCACGACAAAGACAACGACGGCGGCCTCAACCCTTCCGAGCTCGCCGCCCTGTTCGCGCCAACCCCGGGCATCCCAGCTTCATGGACCGACTCCGCCTTCCCCTCCTGCACCGTCCGCAACGAAGCTGGCCACATCACCCTCCAAGGCTGGCTCGCCCAGTGGTCCATGACCACCTTCACCGAACCCCGCACCACCCTCGCCTACCTCGCCTACCTGGGCTTCGAGTCCCCCAACACCAAACCCCCAGGCACCCCCGCCGCGCTCAAAATCACCAAACCCCGCAAACGCCGCCCGCGTCCTGGGACGGTTGAACGCAACGTATTCCTCTGCTACGTGCTCGGCGCCCCAGCGAGCGGGAAGTCATCACTCCTCAACGCCTTCCTCAACCGCCCGTTCAGCGGCACCTATCATCCCACCATCAAACCGCAAACAGCAGTCAACTCCGTCGAGCTTCCGGGAGGGAAACAATGCTACCTCATCCTGCACGAACTCGGGGAACTCGAACCCGCCATCCTAGAAAACCAAGCCCGCCTCGACGAATGCGACCTCCTCTGCTACTGCTACGACTCCTCCGACCCGGACTCCTTCTCCCACATCCTCGACCTCCGCACGCGCTACCCAGCCCTGCACTCCCTCCCCTCCGTCTTCGCCGCCCTGAAAGCAGACAAAGACCGCGCAGTCCAGCGCTCCGAATCGCAACCGGACGGCTACTGCGAGTCACTGCGCATCCCGAAGCCCCTGCACGTGTCGGTCAAGTGGAAGAGCGCGGGGGAGTTTTTCGCGCAGGTGGCGGAGTCGGCGAGTCATCCCGCGTTGGCGCTGCCGAGGGTTGAGCGGGATGGGGGGGAAACGGGGTTACTGGGAGTGTGGCTTGCGGTTGGGGCGGTGGGGTTGGCGGGGGTGGGGGTGGGGTGGGTTGTTTGGCGGAGGGGGATTTTTGGGGTGGGAGGGGGTGCTTAGGGAAGGATGGGATTGGGAATTGTGGTGGTGGGCGATATATACCCTGCTCTTTTGTAGTATACGCTTGTGTATAACATATTCGATGATCATGGAACAATGCTCGAAGCCCATTGGCACAGGGACGACGACCTTGTGGAGCTTTCAACTGTTAATCCGGATCGGATTTATACGAGACTAATAATACACTACCCACCACGCCCCTCGAAACCTGCTAGTCCTCCCGAGATCTTAGCCCCAACCCCTACCCGCAGCGCCGTCACCCCAGCTACCCATCTTACTTCACCCACCCCTTCACCTTCACCTCCCTCAACCCCTTCCCCACCCGACAAAAATCCGTCATCCGCCGCTGCGCAGGCGACCGCTTCTCCCGCTTCACCTCCCTCACACAACCAACCGTGCTCCGTTTCCGAAACGCCGTCGGCGGCGACGACGCCACGAGCCTTTGAGGCGAGGCGGCGAGTTCGTGAGCCCTGTTCGCCGCGCTTTGGACTATAGCTGCTAGAGAGGAGATGGGGATGAGGATGGGGATATTCATCTCCACCGCCGAAAATGCGCATTTAGGGAGCGCAGAGGCTGGTAAGACGTCCGTGGCGGAGAGTCGTATAGGTGAGACGAATGCACTAGCGTCTGGGTCGTGGAAGGGGAAGGAGTGGTCGATGCGCGATATGCTCCCAGGGGATGAGAGGCGCCAGATGGATAGCGTGGCGGTTGCGTCGGAGGAGGAGTTGCTGGGTACTTGGAGTGGGAAGGGTAAGTCCAGACCGACGACGCATCTGATCCCCCCGCCGGAGTCGAGGAGGTAGCGCTCTGCCAGGCGGGAGAGGGCGGGCTGGGATTGGGAGTAGGCGACTTCCAGCACCAGGGTCGGTAGAGATGGTTGTGCGGGATCTGGGTGCATCGTCAGTAACCATTCCTTCCTTCGTACGTCGATGCGACGGCGAGAGGGGGGGATGTGAGCGTACGGTAGAACGTCCCGTCCGGCTCCCTCCTCGTCCTCTCTCCCTCCGAATCGATCAGGTCGACCACACCGCTGCGTCCCTTCCATACCTTCCCCAATTCCGCCTTCGTCTTCTCGAAGTGACGGGAGGGATACCGTCCCCTCCACCTCCTCCCGGCCGCGCGATCGATTGAATCGGCGATAAGTGCTTCGAGCCCATCAACCACCGTCTCATGAACCAAACTCGGCATCGTGATCCCGTCTTCCCAGTTGCCCGTAATATCGTAGTAGTCCTGCCATGATGGCAAACTCCTTTGCGCGCGACATAGTAGACATCGCCGTCATCGCAGTCGCGTGTCACGTCCTCTTCGCGACTCCAGCGCGTGCAAGTGTAGTTGTAGGAACGGGCGCAGGGTGGTGTTAAGATGTCGACGTGGTTGCTGTTATCGAGCAGCCCGGGCTGAGAGGTGGAACGGGGACTGAAAGAGGCAGAGGCGCAAAAGTTCGGGTTGGGACCCGGGAGCGAGACCGAGGATTGAGAGTAAGGAAGGAGCAAGCGACGGGGAAGTTGCATGGCGGGCGAGATGGGGGAGAGTGGGAAAATTGATGGAGGTCGGTTGGATTGGGTTCGGTTGGATGGGGGTTGGGGCATGTAGCCGTGAGGTGAGATTTTCGTCCTCAGCCTCTGTCGTTGGGTCGATAGCCTTGAACACCGCGAGACAACACTGGTAGCGCATGCAGGGAATATTCATATGAACGACCGTCAGTTTGCAGAATCTACGACATGACGATGCATCCACTTAGCTACCATGTTAAATTCAATCAGCAATACCACATCGTTCAGGAAAGCATCAGGCGAAAAGCATAGGTATCTTATTCGCTATTACTAGACATTACCCAATACCACCTAGGAGAGTCGTCATATGCTTATGCTCATGCCGTCAAACACTCCAGCCTCGATACACTATGCCACCTCTCAGTACTGCGGCGGCCCAGCAGCCCCATCCCTCTTCTCCACCCCCTCCTCCACACCCCCCTCCGTCGTCCCCGTCGTCTGGCTCGTCGACGTCGCAGGGACCGCCTCGCCCCCGCCCGCCGTCGTCGCACCCCCAGCAGTCGACCCCTCGCTCATCGAACTAAACCCCGTATTTGTCTTCTCCCCGGAACTGACCGGACTCGTCGGCGCGCTGCCGGACACACCACCGGACACACTCGAGATCACATCGTGCCACTTCCGCGCATCCTCAGTCGTGTGCGCTTTGAAATGGTACTCGTGCGCCATCGACATCTTGGACAGCGCGCCTTTGCTCGAGTCCTTGCCTTTAACGTTGAACTTCACCCCGTCGACGGCGCCGATCATGCAGTCGGGGAGGTAGAGGCTATTCTCCGGCGCCGGGTCCTTGGCGAAGTCATCGTCGGATTTGAACTCGTGCAGGTACTTGCTCGGCGTGACGACGTAGTAGCCGGCGCTGTCGCGCTTGAGCATGCCGGATTTGCGCTCCAAGGACCCGGCGATCATGGGGCGGGTGGAGTGGTGGTCTTGGTTGGGGAAGTTGATGTGCTCGACGCTGCGTTTCGGTGAGGACGGGTCGATCATGATGTGGCTGTTGCGCTGCACGAATCCGTCCCATTCGAAGTTGGGCGTGACGCGGGAGCCGGTGGCGGCCATGTCGCCGTACATGCTGCGGGTCGACTCGGCTTGGTTGCTGACGATTTGCGTGAATTGCTGCAGGCCTTGCTGCATGACCTGGATGACGTGTGCTTCGAACTGGGCGAAGTTGTTCTGGACGGCGATCATGTCGTCGCGGCTGTTGTTCTCTTCGATGACCTGCTTGTTGAGGTGGTGGTACACACGACGCTGCAGGATGTAAGGGTCGTCTGCGGCCTTGACGTTGCCGCCGCGAGAGTCGAATGCTGAGGTCTGGGTACCCAACTGCTCAATCTGCTTCTGCGAGGCATTGCGGGCCTTATCCACAAGCTTCGAGCCCTTGCCGGCGCCCTTGTCGAGCTCCTTGGTCTTGTTCTTGATCTCGCCGTGCAGACGCTCGAAAGTCGGCAACACCGACCCCTTCAGCGTCTTCGCAGTCTCGGTGTGGCTGTTCGCGAGACCCTGCGTGTTCGTACGGATGTTCTCAAACATGCCCGCAATGCCGCCATTCTGCTGGTGGAAGTGGTGGCCCTCCTTCAGCGGGCTGTTGACCGTCTTGAGCACCTTCTCGTACTCTTTGCTGTTGTGCTCGTGCATCTTGTCCGTGGCCTTGATGTAGTCCTCGAGATATCCACAGGCATGTTTCCATGCTTGCAGACGCTCGTGGAAGAGCTTGGTCGTCTCGCTGCTGTCTTCATCGGGGACGGCCTCGCCTTCGGTGCCTCCGCTGACCGAGCGGGTGGGCAGCTGGGAGCTTTGGGGTGAGGTAGGTGTAGCCATGGTTGTGTGAACAATTGGTTGGTAGGTGGTGGCCTGATGCGAGTCAGCGATCTGTTCCGCTGATATTAAACGAGCACCAGGGACCTGGGAAGGCGCAATGCCCTTGCGACGATCATATGGAGACGCACCTCTTTATGTTCTTGCAGTTCCGTAAGGCTATTCTGCGAGAGTAGATGGGTTTGAGTACTGTTGAGGCGAGTAGTAGCAGGACGAAAGAGCTATATACTCACACCGCACACCTCCCTTTGTTCATCGATCTCCCCCGTACGTCATCAAAGTCAATCTTTCTTCCTTCCACCACGCTAAAAACCCTGCAGCACACCCACGCCAACACCGCCACGCGCGCCAGTTGAGGTCTAGATTGGAACTCTGTCTGTTTCTGACTTGTGGCTGCCGGCTGGTGTGTGTGACCTCTGCCGAGGATTGGACTGTACATGTACTCGTGATACCTCCTACTGCTTGTCGGATGCCCTGGTGTCTAAGCGATGGTAAGGTAGGTGGTAGCATTGAGCCCTCCCTGTCCTGCTTCTCCGCGGATGCAGCCTGACGTGGCACAAGGCATGTAGACAGTCTAGAGAGCCTGGGAGGTAGAGCGATAACGAAGACAGCAGTTCTGGGAGGTGTACAGGTAGTTCTGCTATCTCTACCCTCGCAAAGCAAACCAAACAATAGTGTACAAGTCCTCCAGAGCGCGAGCCCTTCCCCAAACACCTCTCCCATTCCTAACACCCCCCAACCCAGCCGTCACCCAACCCAATGCCCAATGCCCTCCCACGCTCCCATGCTCCCAAATCCCCTCTATCCATCTAGCAAAACCCAAGTCATCCCCTCATAAACCGTCCCCGTCATCCCATCCCCCCTTCTCCTCCCCACCACCACCCCACGACCCAGGCATCGAAACCCGCACCCTTCGCGACAAGTCCCTCTAAGTCCTCGCCCGCAGCATGCGCAATCTCGCCCTCGCATCGTCCTCCGCCGCCCTACTCGCCGTCCGATGATGTGCCGGCGCCGGCATGCCTCCCGCTCCCAAACTCGCGCCCGTCGATGTGCCGGAACTACTCGCGCTCCGTGGCGTGTCGCCTCCATGTCGTACGTGCGCGAGCCCGGGTCTCTGGATCCCTGGACTCGCTGGGCGCGAGGTAGCTTCGACGTAGGTGGGCGGGCCGTCGGTGAAGGGTGTGAGAGCGCCTGAGGGCATGCGCAGCGCGGCGCCGTAGGAGGGGACGCGGGCGAGGGAGGCCATGTCGTAGTCGCTTTGGGTGACGTCGGTGGTGGTGTTGTTGTTGTTGTTGTTGGTGGGGTTGGTTTCTTCGTTGGAGACGCGGCGGGAGATGGGCGCGCTGGTTTGCGGGGAGTGGCGGGAGGCGGAGGTGTTGATGTATGATGATGTGGGTAAGGAGGAAGGGATCGATCGCGGTATATCGGGGAGGTCGTTCATGCCGGGTGTGGGTGAGTTGCCGCCTGAGGGGCTGTTGTTGTTTGACCGTCCGGCTACGGATATGCCTCGTTGTTGTAGGTCTGCTAGACGGGAGTGGAGGATTGATGGACTCGCGCTGCCGTGCTCATCTACGCTGTTGCCGTTGGGTAAGCTTTCTGCGAGCTCGTTCGCTACGCCATTCAGTGAAGGCATGCCGTCCTGCGACCCTCGTCTACTCTGCGCGCCGAGTCCAGAAGGCGAGCCAGGCATACTAGGCGCTCGACTCGCCAGATTGATCGGGTCCATGTCACTAAACAGCTGATCGAGCTGATGTCGTCCGTACTCAGGCGGCGCAGTGACAGTCGTCTCGGTGTTGTTCAGCACCTCGTCCGACATGCCATTAACCACCGCGCACACATTATTCGACTCGTCCACCGGTAGATTAGGCGAAATAAAGAGCTTGACCGGTAATCGACAGACCAGCTGCGATATGTGTCCCTCGGGGTTATGGATATTCACCATGAGCTTAAACCGGTGCGTGACGTTGATCTGATGGGAGTCCACGTCCTGCCGGCAGGTGTTCAACGATCGCGGTAATGGCAGCGTGACCTTGAACTTGTACATCTCGTCGGCCATGGTCGGGTTGTCCACCGTCTCGTCGTCGTACATCACCCTCGACTGCTCCGGGAACTCCAAGTCCGTCTTCGCGACCTCCGTCTCGTCACTCTTACTCCGGTCTCGATCCCCGGGCACCTCGCTCGCCTGTATCCGCTTCACCACCGTCTCCAGCAACCGCAACTCCACCTTCCCCAGCACCAACCCCTTCTTGATCGGCGACAGCTCCACGTCCGCCGTAATCGATGTCCCGAACACTATCGCATCTGTCGGTATCGAGATACTGTACGCAATCTTGTTCGCCCAGATATCCGCATTCACCCGCGACCGCGTCATCTCCATCGAGTCCTGCCCCAGCGTCCGCACAATCCGTATGTGCTCCTGCGCAACGATGTCCTTTGCATTCCAACCCGGTCTCGACACGCTCGCGCTGAGGTGGTATGCGATATACGTCTCCCGCAACCCCTCCACGCTCTCGGGCATCGTGGGAGACAGCTCGAATTCAAACGGCCATTCTATGGTTCCCGCTTTCACCTTATGCGAGCTCTCCAGATTACCCAGCCGTTGCTCTTGACTCCAGAACGTGCGTTTGTCCGTCACCTCGCCCGCACCAATGCCGCCCATGTAGTACCAGCTGATCTTGCGTTTGCCCTCTAACCGCACCTTGGGCTTGAGGATGCTGGTCGGCTCGGGCGTGGTGAGGCGGACGACGCCTTCGAGCTTGACGGGGGTGGCCTCATGCTCGCTGCCGTTGAAGACGATGAAGCGGGAAGAAGGGATGATCTCGAGCGTAGGCTTCACTCGCGAGCTATAGCCATTCGTTCTCGGCGTGGGCACCATAGCGGGCATTCGTTCGCGTGCGGGCCCAGGCCAGGAGGGAATGGAGTGGTTAGCAAAGGCCAGATTGACGGAGGTGTAGTCAACCAACTACAACAAAAGTACTAGACTTTGAGGCAAAGGATAAGGCGATTGCAGCTCGTCATCCGAAAACTTTCAAGGTTTCCAACAACATTCACATGTCTGCCGTCCCGTGGTGGAAGAACTACGGCTATCTGTACACCAACGCGCAGTCGCCGATCGTCTGTGCCGGGTGGAACAGTGGGTCTGCGAAGATAGCGAACAAGGACAGTATCAACAGTTCCTTCGGAGAATTAATGCTACGAGAAGGAAGGGAACGGGGCTGGACTTTGATATGGTTCAGGTGGCGGAGCGCATCGGTACGGATAAGGAAGAGTCAGCAATCTGACTGTGTGTGTGGACGCGCAAACGACTGCGGCGGCAGTCAATAGAGATCGCTACAGACAAACGTGGGAGGAAGAGACGGTTCTTTCGTTTGCCTTATCTTGCGCAAGTCCGTGACGATATGCAGAGTCAGTCCTAGGTCTCAACCAAATACAAGCGCTTCAAGCCTCTGCTGCCCTGGAGCTAGGATGACCCACACAGAGAGATCGGTCTCCGATGTCGCTAAGATCTCTTGGTATAGGTCTTCAATACCACCAAGACCACTTCCGAGGCACGCTCTGCTTTCGGAAGGTCGCAAGCAGTTCTGAAGCGGCAACGTGAGATGTTGTAGGCATCCATATCCTTCATTATTTGCCAGGATATTCCAAGAAGCAGTATATATGGCCGTCATCTCGTTGAATATGGGGTCTACTGTTTGCACCACCATATGTTGACTTCCTCCAACTCCCCTCTCACCCTCCCTCATTCGTACCCCCAGCATCAAGCCGCCGTCCATTCCTCGACGCCCTCGTCCCCTTCGCCCAACCCGGCCTCTCTCCCTCCCCATCAACCTCCTCCGCTCCCTCCCCATCCTGCTCCCCCTCCTCATCCACCACGCGCGACATCTCCTCCCCGTACCTCTCAGCCGTCCCCGGCGCGTGCGGCGTCTGATACGCGCCGCTCTGATCTCGCGGCAGAGGCCCCCCGATACCGAACAGGGACCCGTTCATCACCATGTCGCCTCTCATGGGATTTCGCTGGGTCTCGACGTAGTAAGGTTGCGTGTGCGGTGGACCGTCCGAGGCCGAGCGCTTGGGCGGGCGGGCGGTGGATTTCACGACGCTTTTCCATTTTTCGAGTAGGGCTTCGGCGTCGTAGTCCCATTCTGCTGCGACGCTTTTCGATCGCGCGCCTTGCATCGCTCTCATGGTCTCTGGCGGGACGGGCATCGTGTTGGGTGGGTGGAGCAGGTACTCTCTCGGCAGCTGACAGCGTGATAACCGCTCATACTCCGCCTCCAGATGCCTGACTCTCTGCTGCTCCCGCTCTAGCTCCATGCGCAGGTCGTTCTTCTTTCCCTTTTCGCCCACAAATGCCCTGCTCATCTCCAGCGACCAGGCTGATGCACGATCGGCTTCCGACATCGTCTGCCAGTGCTCCCACGCGCCTTGCATGTGCACCACATACCGAAACGCCACAGAGTCTTGCACAGCTTCCCCCTTAGCGTTTCGCAGCCAGGCCAAGCGCTCGTTCATCATGCGATTCAATGCCTCGTACTGCTTCTCCCAAGGCGGCGCCAAAGCCCACGTATGCGCCGCCGCGAACGGTGTAGTCGAAAACAAGCCCGGAGGCGGCGGCAGGATAGCCAAACACAGCCCGGGAAACGACAGCGCGAAGAAGTCAAAGTCCTCATACAACTGCTTCGGCTCCGCCTTCTTCTTCGCTGCCTCCAAACTCCCCAGCACTTCTCTCAAAGCCATCTCAGCAGCCTTGCCCACCTCAGCCGTCTCCTGCAACTTCCACATCTCCTCCGTCACATGCTCGGGGCGCTCAATCCGATTGCCCGACCCATCCCGTCGCATCTCATAAATCCGCGCCGCCTGCCCTCCCACAGCACTCGGCGGGGTCGCGCCCCTCGACCTCGAAGTCGCACGAGCCGGTAAATCATTGATCACACCAGTCGCCTGCCAATTCGCCGTATTAAACCACGTCTGCATCCCCGGATCCCGCTCCACAGGCGACTTGACATACTCCCTCCCCATCACCCCCTTCCCACCCCCCTCACTCAACCGCCTCCTCTTCCTCGCCCCCTCACCAACATCCTCCTCCTCGCGCTTCGTGAACGTCCCAGTCGCACCACTACTCCCCTCCCTCTTACCCGCCGCCCCTTCCTCAACATCCCTCCCCCCACTCCCCCTCGGCTGCCGTCGCGTAATCCCGCCGCGTATCCTCCGGATCTCATGTACATCGTGCACGCCATCCGGGGGTTTGGGGTTCTTGGATTTGATGTATAAGTCCAAATGGCGGCCGAGGGAGGAGGAAGTGAAGGCTTGGCCGCAAAAGGGGCAGTTGCGGTCTTTGACGCCTTTGAGCTCGCGGTGGGTCGTGGAGGCGGTTGGGGAGGAAGGGGATGAGGTGGGGGAGGCGGGGTGGGAGTGGGTTGTCATTGTTATGTCGAGGTGGTGGGGATGGATGCGACTTGGGGTGGAGAGGGTTTGGGAGGCTATCGCATAATAGTCTTCATAGTAGGAGATTGCGCGAAGCTGAACTAATCTTCTGCGGCGTGGGTACGTAGGGTAAGGGCAATTGATTATGGGAATATACAGAACAGATCGCAATACATGCATGTCATTCCGCAGGGCTGGACCCTTTCAAAACTTAGTCAGCGGGTCGAAAAGAAGCCGAGTCGCGAGAGTCAAACAACCACTCGAATTCGATATCGCATCGTGGAATCTGTTTTGCATAGAGCATGATATCTACCCGATCTAGTTGCCCTTTAGCATATGGGCAAAGTTGTCCCAGCCTCCGAGATCATAGAGATTCTCAACGTCGTTCAAGCTCCAGACCTGCCTCCACAACGCCTCCTGTCCCCTCGGCGGCCTGCCGTCCATTGTCCTTACAACGATTTGATCGCTGCTGACCGGCCAAGGAATATGTACCTCCGTTTCGTCGCTCCAGGCATGCAGAGCCGGATTGCCGCCTCCGTTGGCATGACCAGCGCTGCCATGACCGTACTTCCGTAACCGCTGATGCGTCCGCAACTCCTCTCGGCTGCCTTTGAAACAAAACCCATCCGCCATATCTTCCCGCAGATCCGCCCACTTCTGCGACTCATTCGTCGTCATGCCTGCCCAGATGAGATAGCAATGGTATCCCAGCAACCCGAACGGCAGCGCAGCAGTGGCAATAGTAAGCATCCCAACTCCTGCAATCGACAGACCGCCGGCGTTGATCGCGATAACCATGACTTGAAACGTGTCGTCCCAGTACTGCTGTGTGAAGAAGCCGCCACCCCGATGCAGCTTGAACCAGGGCTGCAGGAGCCAGTAGCTGAGGTACGCGCCGTACAGGTCCATCACTCCTAAAGACAAGAGTAAAGCGAGGAAGTACCGGTAGTTGCCTCGACCGACACAGTTGTTGATCCATGGGCAATGGTGGTCGCACATTGCCACGCAGGTTCCGCACAGGCTACAATGCTTCGAACGAGCGGGCTTGGTGAGGTTGCAGGTTGAGCAGATGTTGTTGGCTGAGAACAAGGCGTCGTCGTAGGGGTAGTCATGTAACCTGTCTGTGTGGTTGGACGGAGTGATGTAGTGGTCATTGTGCCGGACGCAAAGCCAGGTGAACAGATAGGGTTGAGAGACCAGGAAGGGGATAGGCACGATCAGACGAGTTGGGAGTTCGGGGATAGCGTTCCAAAGGAAGAGAACGGCGGATCCGGTCATGAGAGCAAGGAAGATGATCTATGAATCGTTAATCTTGTTGGATGGCAACGGTTGAGATGAGTACCTACTAAAACAATCGGGTTCTTCTCGTAGAAGAGGTAGCGCCCCAGCCTCTTACTCTTGATCGTGATTCTACCGCCAGTGGTATGCCGGTCGATGGCTCGCATCCCGTTTGGAATGTGTAGACAGAGCACACGTTGGAGCCATCCTATCGGTGTCTTGCGCAAAGCAGGCAGCTGGCCGAAGAGCGCTACAAAGGTGATGAAGGAGAGAACACCCACCGCGAGGGCGATCTTGAGCAGCACTCCCATGGTTCGAGGTGCATGTTGTCGTGATGTTGGTAGTCCTACAAGAAGTGAATTCAAGGGCGAAGTGTTGGAAGGCAGCGAGCGCCAATTAGCTGATCCCTTCACATGATTGGACAGGCGCGTGTCGCGTACTTCGGCCGCGATCTCAACCTCGAGTTCACCCCACCCTTCGAGATCGTCCTTCGACAGTTCACACCACACCCACCAACGATGGCGAGCGCGCGGGTAGTGGTCAACAGCGCGACAGACGCGACACTCGCCCTCGGCGGCCTCTTCAAAGGACTGGCCTTCTTCGTCCTCCGCAAGGTCCCGCAACGCACCCAGTTCGTGCAGAAGATCCAGGCGAATGGAGGGCGCGTCGTCCAGATCGAAGCGCAAGCCGACCATGTCATCGCGGACCACTACCGGCAAGACTGTCCGCCTGGCAGCATCTCCTACCAGTTCGTTGACAAAGCCCTCAAGGACGGCGAGCTCCCCGATCCTGCAGCGCATCCCGCTGGAGCACCTGTAGGCACTGTGCGCCCAGCTGGATCTGGCCTAACTCGAAAGGGAACGCGCACAGAGTTTTCGGCGGAAGATGATCGAGTGCTATGGCAGTGGGTGGAAGATTGCAGAGCGCAGGGGGGGAAGGTGAAAGGGAACGAGATCTACAAGCAGCTCGAAGCTGTCAACCCGCGACATACGTTCCAAGCGTGGCGCGACCGATATATCAAGAGGTTAATGGACAACGCTCCAGCTGGAGCCAATTTGACGGTGCCGGCCAATCCACCTCCGAGTCCACCTGATGCGCCGGATCAGCAAGACGAGGTGGAAGCTCGACGGTCTACGGACCTTCAACCCACTGAAGTGCCAGAGGGTAACGCTGGTATGGACGATACTGAAGAAAGGGAGGTAACCAGCAGTGCAATAGATCCGGAAGAGTTGATGCTGGACATGGGCTCCGACATTGAGAGAATCGCCGAGGATCAACAGGAAGAAGCTTGGAGCACGTGGGCTCAAACAAACCCCCAGTACTCGGCAGAGGAGTGGCGGCGCATATGGCACGAGAAGTTGAGGCCGATATACCTCCAGCGACAGAGAGAAGCAGGATTGGAGCTGCAGCCGGAGGATGAGAGTGACTCTAGTTCGTCGGAGAGTGAGGATAAGGTTGTTGCGGTGGAAGAGGTGCGTGCCGAAAGTCGCCAGAAGCGCAAAGGCCCGCCGGCTTCAATACATGTTGCGCCGAAGAAACAGAGGATTTCTCCGCAGCCAGACGAAGGGCGCGAGCAGAACATGCCACAACAAGGGGCGGATTTGGGAACTGCTGCGCCGGCAGAGGTCGGTGAGATTATCGATATGGAGGACATTGCAGAGAACCAAGCTGTAAAGGATGGATCCCACTCGGCGATACTGCGAGGTGATGAAGAGGCTCTCCTGACGTCCGATCTCAACAGAGGTGTCCAGGCACAGTTGATTGAAGAGGCTCTTGATCGCGCAGATCCACCGCCTGCCATATATAGCCGACCCCAGTCCAGACTACCAACGTCAGATTTTAACCGCGAGGCAGAGCAGCAATTGCGACGTGAGTCGGGAGAGCAGGAGGATGAAGATGTAGCAGCGGCGAACGAGGATGAAGCGCCAGCAAACCTCGAAGCGGAAGGCATACTGCACACTCCCGACGACACGGACGCCCGCACAAACGCTGCAGTTGAACCGAGCGCCCTGACGGAAGCCAATCTCGCGAGCCAGCAAGCCGAGCACAGAGCGAAAGTTCCACGAGCTTCTGATCTTCCCCCAGACGAGGACGACGTGCAGGTCGATGAAGCTCAGGAGAACTTTGCCAACTACCTGCGCGACCTTCTGTCACCGCGTGCCAAGGCACCAGCAAACGACGCTGCAGAGCTTCCACAACAACAACAGACTATGCCAGTGGGCGGCGAGGTGGATCGGCCGGCGAAGAGGAGGCGATTCGCGTCTGAGCTTGGAGAGGAGGACAATGTTGGCGAGCTGCCTCTGTCATCGGACGCTCAGATTGAGGATGCTATGAATGATATGATTCGCTGGCCGGAGTCACCGGAGCGGTCGCAGCGCAACGGCACGATTCAAGCGGACGCCTCTCAGTTCGAGACTCAAGTGGTTTACCCTTCTCTAGAGCCTCGCGATACCAGGACGTGGACATCCAGCTCACCAAGACGGACTAATGAACCAATATACCCTCAGTTGCCGACATTCCATGCACATCTGAATGCCGACGAGCAGAAGGACGGAGAGGATATACCAACGTCTTCGCCACCAGGAGCTGGGCGCCTTGCTGACCGGGATACTTACCACCTCATGGACGGAAAACCCTGTATGCGGCCGTCCCCGCAGGCCGACGAATATGATATGGAAGATGAGGATGATGAACAACTCGATCTCTCCCTTCCCATGCCGGAAGGCGGCTGGGATTCATCGTCTCCCCCAGCACAATCACAACCTGCTCAGCGAGCTCAAGCAACTCAGGAAAGAGAGTCGTCGGAACCAACACACCCCAGACAACGACATCCTGCGAAATACATATCTTCAGACTCCTCAAGCTCCGACCCAGACGATCTCGCAGACTTCCAACCTCGCGTCTCCGGCCAACGCCACCACGCCCTCGAAACCCAAGACATCCTCAACGCCGAGACCCAAATGCCCGACCTCACCTTCCCGCTCCCACCCGACTCCGACCCGTCCTCCGACCCTTCCTCCGAGAACCTCCCCTCCGACCCCCTCAACCCCCCTTCATCCCCTCCCACCGCCACAAACCCCGCAAGCCAGTCCATCCTCCCCACCACCACCCAAAAGCCCGAAGACGATGACACGGAAACCTTCATCGCCAAAATGGTCGTGCACGGCTACGCCGAAGCCGCCGTCATCGCGGCGCTCATGTGCACGTCGATGCGCACGGAGTTCGCGGAGCTGGTGTTGCTGGAGCAGCGGGCGGGGAAGGGGTTTCCGCGGGATGTGCCGGGGATTTGGTCGGGGGATGATGATGCGATGATTGAGAGCGGGAATGGGAATTGGATTCGGGATATGGCGGAGAAGCATGGGATGGGGGAGGTGGATGCGAGGTTGGAGTTTTTGGCGGGGTGGAGGGATTTGGAGGCTGAGAATGAGGAGGGGTGAGGATATGTGTGGTGTGTGGAGGTGTCGCTTTTCTTTGGTTCTGATGATGGACTGCTGAATACATGTCGCTCGACTGCGACGCGAGTCCGGACTAGAGCAGTAACGTCACTACTCCGTAGATCCATTGAACTGTTCTCGAACGCCTTCCACAGCCGTCGCCGCTTCAATAACCACCCCTTGAACCTAGCAGCTACTTGATCCTCCATCCCCCCTTGCTCACGTAGCAACATATGTCTAGCTCCGCCGCTTCTCCAAGGTCGAAAGGCGAGATTTCCTGCCCAGATTTCACCACCAAGTGCGTCTCATTGATCGTAAGCTGGAGAGGCCCCTTCTTCAGCCGAGCAGAGCAGGACCTGCGCCCAAGCCTCTTCTCGAGCTGAACATGTGAAATGATGCGGTTGGATTCCCTGCTCGGCGCGCTGAAGTTGAATGGGATGGTAGGGGGATGGAGGATGAGGAATACCACGTTGGATGACTCCTAGAATTGCTTGCAGACGGCCGCTGCGAGTTCTTCGTGAGCCTTGTATGCTCATACCAGAACCTTCATAGCCACGAACACGGCTTACCTATGCTCGAGAAGGGTCACGCCCTAAATAGCGCCGGCCCTCTTGTGATCAGCACCAGGCTGCCTCACCCCCAGCACCGCCATCAAATCCTTCGCCTGCGCCCTCGGCCAGTCAACCCAGTGTTTCATGCTCTCGTCTAATGCGACGCTGACGCCATTAATCGCGTACACGCTCCAGTTCTGGTTGTACCACGCCATCCGCACCGCCGCCGCTATAGCCGCGAAATGCGCGAAGATGACGAGGGCGGGCTGACAGCAGGCTTGCACCAGCCGCACGAACGGGGAAGGGACCTGGATGGGCCAGATCCAGACAGTCGCGTTTTCGATGATTTGGGTGGGTGCGTAGTAGACGATGGTTTGGTAGACCTGTTGTAAGTTCTTGAGAGCCGTCTCGCACGTCGCCAGGGCGTCCGGGTCGAGGCCCCATGAGTGCAGCATTTCGTCGATTGCGACGAATTGGTCGCCGACTGAGGGAGGAAGAGTGACTTTGACACCTTCGGGCATGCGTTGGATGTCGAAGAGGGCGACCATGGGACCGCGTTGGATGTGCTCGTGGGTTACTGAGATGACGTCGCGGACGCCGCGGGTGAGGAACTACAGATGTTGTCGTCAGCAGGCGTCTCAGACGTCTCCAAGCACGGCGCAGGTAGCTGAGCAGAGTAGCGAGCAGTTGATGAGCTGGCGAGATGTTTCGTTCGTGGAGGACTGGTCTCCAACATAGCTCAATGTCTGCTACCCTCTCGCCGGTCATGATGAGCAATCTCCAAATCATCACACGGCACGACGACCTAAGACTGCTCATGATGACGGAGAAGGGGCCAGCCATTGGGTGCCAGACTTGGAGATCTCGAGAGTACTTACGAAGAACTCAGTAACACTCTCCATGTTCATGGTGCCCGGAGGGTCTGCTGCTTCAGCCTCTATACATGCTCTGGCCATCGCGGAGACAGATATAAGCGAGGCGAGAGCGAAGAGAGCATCGGCGTTTTCAGAGTTGATGTCGGTTGCCAGGACTGATCTAAGGTCGAAGATGTTCCGCAGTCAGTGTCGAGGCCCTTATGCACACTTCTCGAAGACAAAGACTGACCTGTAAACACCCAGAGCGACGGTCTGGTGCTTGTCGCTCAGTCGGAGATAGTGTGCTGCCCTATGACCTTGTTGATGTGACATATGCATTGCGGTAGCGGCGAGGATTCCGTGCATCAGAAAAGGGTGCTTGACCGCTTGTTGGGGTATGTACTCGCCCCATACGTAGTGAGCGTCGTCCTTCACACCCCGCCAGAACATACTGGCGCTTGTACCGTAATAGTACATGAGTTCGAGATCTTCGGTCCACTCCTCACGGTTACATGGCAGACCAGGCTCGCTTGCGGCTTCGCTTCTTGAAGGCGATGGCTCGAGAAGACTGCATTCTTCGTTCCGCCGCATGCAGTTAGCACAGGGAGCCAGCTCATCGCATTTGACCTGAAGACGTGCGTCAGTGACCTGATCGAGACGATTCAGAACAAACAGCGGTGTGTTCTCTCCTGGACTTCGTCTCGGCCGCCGAACGTTCCGCAAATCGCATGAACATTCGGTGCACTGGCGGCGCAGCTCTCGTCGAGCGTGAGAACAGGCTCAATGACAAACCTCCGATTCGGCTCGACCGCCGACTGAAGGGACCATTCATGCACCTTCCGGAATTGAAACGCATGAGTTGCGACGTCGGCGATAGTCCTTTGTTTTAAAGCTGGAGATGGGGACCCGGGAAGCCACTCACTCTTCGTTGCTTGCATCGCAGGCATCCTCTTCGACTCTTCTTCGAACCAAGTTGTGACATTGTGTTGATGGATACTCTAAACGAAGAGGCCCGATATCGAATCGCTGAAGCCGGCGGTGTTGGGAGATCTGCCTTGCGCCTGGTTCAGCACGAACTGGCTTTGCCTTTGCTTTTTACCGCAGTCTCTGTTACTTGAACGGTTCAGCAGGTCGCTCGAGTTTCGTTTCGTTCTCCATGGTACTCATATGGTTCTGTGGCAGTCTTCATGACTTTCAGGAGCTTTCACTCTCACGGAGAACTTTTGCTTCCGGCCACAGCCACACTGACTTTGCAAGGTCGTGAGGCACCAGGATTCTTGGGTGATTGACCACTGGTCCAATTTTGTTTCAGCTCCCTCGTTGTCGCCGACACCGACAGCGATCGACAGCCTTATATACCGCGTATTAAGGCCTACTTCCGCCATCAAATAGAAGATCGAAGAGCTGAAGTGTAAGGTGCGAGCCTGTTGCTGCGTCCGTGCACTCAACGCCAAACCCAAATTTGTCCTGCAAAACCGACGTCAGGCTCTTGCATTCGCATCCATCAACGACATACGACCATGCCTAAGCGGAAACGCAACGACGACGGCGAAGATGACCCAGCGCCGAACATCTCCGTAAAGAAGAGACGGGTCCAGATAAAGCTGAAGTCGAACGTGGCGAAGTTGCGGCATGCTTTCAAAGTCGCAAAGGGTTTTGAGCGACAGAAGCTCAGCCGGCGCAGAAAAGACGCTGTGTCCAAATTGAAGGAGAAGGATGTAGATCGCATCGATGCTGAAGTGGCAGCTCTCAAGGTACGGAGCTAATTTCCCACCGGCTGTCAGCTCTATTACATGCACAAGCTCTAACGATGGGCAGACGCTTGATATTGATACGCTCGCTACGCACCACTTTCACAAGACCTTGTGTAAGAGCAAAGCTGTCGCAGAGCATCAAGACTTACCATCGGAGGTCAAAGATCCTGCGAAGCTGCCACCCGATACGGCCACTCTCAACGTCAGTGCTCGTCTATGCAACTCGAATCCAGTACAGACGGCCTTGAAAGCCGCAGTGTCAGACGTCCGTCGTGCTCTTGGAATTCACGATGAAGACGGGGCAACTACCAAAAGGAAGCGCATTCGAGCCAACGGCTTTCCAAAGGATGATTCTGGTCCGAGTGGCAAGGCGGCCGATCGACAGGCCACATCTACTCGCAAGGAGGCCCGCTCGCCTGCTGAAACGGAGGGACCAGACGGCGAGAGTGAGTCGGAAGATGGGTTCGACGCTTACGATGAGCGCTTGGCTGCTTCGTCCGATAACGATGGCGGCGAGGACATGGATGTCGCCGAGCTCGAACGGCAACTTGCCAACGAAGGTGTAAAGCCCCAATCCAAAAAATTACAGCCGAGCAAGTACAATGTCGCGGCAGATCTATCTCTATCCGAGGACGAGCCAGATCGATCATCCTCCCCTGAGCCATCAAAAGCTGTTCCCACCAAGGCATCCGCATTTGTGCCGTCTTTGACCATGGGTGGCTACATTTCTGGCTCGGGGTCGGACATCGAAGACGTCGATGTCGCTCCGAAAAGGAATCGCCGTGGCCAGCGAGCACGACAACAAATCTGGGAGCAGAAGTTTGGCGCCAAGGCGAAGCATCTCCAGAGACAGGATCGCAACACTGGCTGGGATGCCAAACGTGGTGCTGTGAATCGCAACGAGCGTCGCGGACATGGTGGTCAGGGAGGAAGAGCGCGAAGGGCCAGTCCTGACTACGCCAGAGGAGGGCAAGGGAACGGCAGAGCGAATGCACGACCTATCGAGAAGAAGCAGGATGTTGCGCAAGAGAGACCCATGCATCCCAGTTGGGAGGCAGCGAAGAAGGCGAAGGAGAAGAGGGAGGCACCTGTTGCGTTCCAAGGGAAGAAGGTCACGTTTGACTAGATTTATTGTCGGCCCCGAAAGACCCTCTGTCGATATTTCTGGTGTGGTAGAGACGAAGAAGCCCGAAGTGAGATCTCCTGCTGCACCACCACTGTACCCTAGATCTAGCCCGAACCTGCCCAGCTCGCTGCCTCGAAGCTGTGGACGTCAACAAGGACAAGTGCTTGTAGAATAGCTACAGAGCTGATTGCGTGGCAGCTTCTCCGAGTTGACACAAGCATTGCTGCTGCTCCTCGAGCATCCAAAATAGTCTCTGCTCGAAGTCGATGCTCGACATCCTTTAGAACGCGAGCTGAAGACGGACGGACCGGTGTGCGCTGCAACCTGATTGGATCAGCATTGACAAGGCAGACGGCCGCTGGAAATGTGGTCAAAGCTGTTCGGGCTTCAGCGAAGGAGCCGCCGTCAACAGTGCGGGCTTTCACGATGAATATGGTCACATAGAGTAGGCAGTGTAATACAGGTAGATATATAAAAATTTCTCCCTCTTCACTCTCATTGCCATCCTCCTCAAAAATCGTCCCGAGACACTCGCAACTATCCTCTCATCAACTCAATAACAGACGAAATTTCCAATCCGTTGATCAATCCCTCTCTTCTCCGTGAGACAAACAAGTTCTCAAACGCACAACCGCCACCATGAACCCTCATCTTCCTCCTCGAGCCTCCCCCACCGACTCCTTCGAATACTACCGCTTCCACCCCTCCCTCCCAGCAGCGGTCACCTTCGTCGCCCTCTTCGCCCTCGCAACCGGCCTGCACCTCTTCCAGATGATCCGCGTTCGCACATGGTTCATGATCCCGTTCGTCATCGGCTGCGGACTCGAAGCAATCGGATACGTATTTCGAATCGTTTCGTCAACGGAAGCGCCCGGTCCCTATAGCTTGGCCCCGTATCTGTTGCAGGCGGTGCTCATCCTTATTGCGCCGACGTTGTTTGCCGCGTCGATCTACATGGAGCTGGGGAGGATTGTGTTGATGATTGATGGGGAGAGGGCGTTGTTCGTCAGGAGGAAGTGGTTGACGAAGGTGAATATTTCTCTCTAAGGAGAACAGAAGAGCCGTGCCTACGACTTGTGACTGACGTTTCCTGGACAGATCTTCGTGACTGGAGACATCATCGCTTTTGGCATCCAGTCCTCAGGAGGCTCGTTACTCAGCAGCGACACGCCCAGCACCGTCGATATCGGAAATATCATCGTCATCGTCGGCTTGTTTGCACAGATCATATTCTTCGGCCTCTTCATCGGAGCGGCGACCATCTTCCACGTCAAGATGGGCAAGGCGCAGACACAGCTGGCTCGCGAACGACCTTGGACGAAGCATATGATCAGTCTGTACATTGTCAGCGCACTCATCTTCATCCGATCGATCATTAGAGTGGTGGAGTATGTGCAGGGCGAAGATGGGTACATCATGACGCACGAGGTGTTCATCTATGTCTGCGATGCAGCGTTGATGTTCGCAGCGGTCGTGACGATGAGTGTGATCCATCCTGGACAGGTTGCGAAGTATGTGAGGGCGATGGAGAGTGATGAGTATAGGAAGTGTGAGTCGAGAGAGTCGAGGAGGAACATGTTGGAGATGTCGTGACAAGATCAAGGAAGAAATGTGGTATACTTAGCGATTCGCATGGGGAGGGGTATATACGTAGAGGAAAGACTATGGTTATAGAGATCTTGTAGGAAATACCTGCCGTTGCTTCAACGCGCCAAAGGCCAATATCAGCATGATAATATCCGCCTTGGTGCGCTCCAGGAGAGCTGGATACGATATTGGCCTCGCGTGCCTGCCGCATTCAATGGTGGATTTGAGATTGGAAGTCGCGACCCAGGCACATATGAGCCTCATCAGACCTCACCTCATGATCCCACAGATTCAGTCTGAGGTCTCCGTGTTACAATCTGCTCGAGATGTTGAGCAGCCATCGCATATAGTCCCTCGCTCCTCACGGCAGCCTGCAACTGGTGAGGTCTATACCACGACCTAGGTCGCTGGCGACTGTCAGTGGAGTGTTTCTGGATGGCAGCAGAAGCCTTGTCAAGCACACGCGCAATGCGATGGGTGACAAGAGTTTCAGCTTCGAAATTGACCACTTGCTTCCACGATGCCGTGGCCAATGCACCCCATGACACTGAAATGCATGCGAAACCTTTCGCATCTTGGAGAACCCGCGGCAGACATTCGTCCACTTCGAAGAGGTGTCTGATCCCTCCACCAGCAAGCCACCGAGTTACAGCGCTGCCGGCGGCCGAAGTGACTGGTAATCTGCTTGGATGTGGAGCCGCCCACTGCCTTTGCAAGGGCTTTGGGAAACAAGATGCGACTTCAATTCGGCGACACGCAAGGCGGCGCAGGCTCGCCAACATGCTCCTTTCTAGTGATCTGCTTCCAGACGGATTGAACTCAGCTGGACAAGCATCACCTCGTGCCTGCATGATGGCCACGTTGACAAACACGCTTGTTGTAGATCTGCCATGTGCGATCGTCCGCTCAGCCACACGTGTTCCAGGTGAGATCTTGGAAGCGAAGCGGCAGCAAGCGCTTTTGCTCGCATCCTTGCTTCAGAATCGAGACGTCAAACAGCACGGTGGAACAATGGCTTTGCGGAGGCGCTGAAGACGTCGGTGACAGATCCGAAGAAACAGCACACCTTACTTCGGGGATGGAGGGTTATCTGTAAGGACGGAAGCACGGGAAATGTTTGACGGCGTCTTTCTCAATATTACCCAGCAAAGTTGGCTAGCTCGCAGACTAGCGCATTGCCGAAGCTGCCCACTTCCGCCCGTCGAGCAGCAGCGCGATTGCAAGCTTCCACCACCACCCAGTGTCCAACTACGCCCTCAAGCGTCGCGCCGAACCCGACGTGGCGCGTCCACCAACTCAAGCACAGTTATCACGGCATGCAGTATGATGATCCGGAATGGTTAAGCGACAGTAACAATGCAAAGCCCGCACGGCGATAGCAGCCAGCACCGCAACAAGCTCACAAAGAGAGTCCCCACCGAGCCCTACACTCGACACCGCTCGCCCTCCCTCCCCGTCTCGACTCGCTCGAGGTCCAATTCGGCAAAGCAGTCAGCTCACCACCGTAGTCCGACACTACCCTCCAACTCGCAGACTTCGCTCGACGGCGCCGCCTGGGCCAACAACTCTGCCGCGGTTTCACGAAACTACCAGAATATCGCCAGCGCGGCGACAGCGCGTATCCCACAAGAGTCACAAGTGGCCGCTACTGGGAAGATACCAACCGATTTACTGGGACAGCGCTTCGACTCTGCGGCTATCATCTCGAATCTAGACGCTATCACCTATTCCTACGAGTCACAGCAGCCTCCTCCAACTCGAGCACCACCACCGCAATTGCTAACGCAGCACTCCGATATTACTGCTACACGGCCGACGCAGCCCCAGCACGCAAGGAGCGGCAGTAGTACTGTTACGCTAGCCAACCCCGAGGTCGGTCTCTCGCAGAGCCTGGCGGCGGCTGGCAGGAGGATGGACGACATAACGTCGCCGCGGGGCGAGCTGGGCGCAAGGAGTCCACGGCAGCGACTGAGCGATGAAGCTAAAGAGTCGAAGCTTTCGAAAAAGAAGAGTGGTTTCTCGAGCTTCATGAACAATCTTGTTGGAACACCGAAGAGACCTGCGATATCTGCGCCGGAAAATCCCGTGCACGTGACGCACGTGGGCTATGATCAGGAAACTGGAGAATTTACGGTAGGTTACTCAATCATATTTTCCCCAACATCTTGCGTTTAGCAGGGTGTTACTCGGAAGAGGGCGGAAGGGAGTACATAGCATTGTTTTTGCTGACAACACAAATCTCTAGGGGCTCCCACCGGAGTGGCAGCAGACGCTCGCAGCCAATGGTATCACAGAGCAAGAGCAGAAGCAGAATCCTCGCGCCATCATCGACGTGGTCACCTTCTTCAACGAGAATAACGAGACGGACAGCAATGACTGGACATATCACAAATTCGACAATGCTCACCCCAACGAAAGCCCAGTACAGCTTACGCCGCAAGCCGGCATGTCGCCGAACGTACTTACGCCGTCCGGGTACGGACAGCAGATGATGAGTCCTCCGGCAAGTCCTCGATTCCCGAAAAATGAAGGCGAAAGCTTCGAAAATCCACGAGCTCCGCCTCCAGTACCCGGCGGACAGTATGGTCAATATTCTCAGCCCGTCCAAGCGCAGGGACTGGGCCTCAAGTCTCCGATGTCCCCACAAGCCAACGGAAACCTCCTCCCATTGAGACCAGCGCCAAAGCCTCCGACAGGCAGTGCGGTACCTCCTCCACAACGAGCTGCACCACCTCCTCCAAATGCGCAACAGGATCACTATGGCAGCCCCCAAGCTGCATACGGGCAGTCGGTTGCGAATGACATGCCCAGTGGCCAACAACCACAGACTCGTAGCCGTTCGAACACTGCCCAGGCTGGCGGCTATTCTCAACAGTCCTCAAACTCTCCCCAACACTATCAACACCAGCAAGAGCAGGCGATGAGGGCTGCTCAGCAAGCCCTGAAGAAGACCTCGCTGGACAGATCGCAGTCGCAAAGACACCACACTGGGCAGCAGCAGCCCTCTCAGCTCCAGCCTTCAGCGGCTGACGGGAAGGGCTTGCCTGCGCCTAGGCCAAGACAACGAACCAGGCAGTCCATCTCAAATGCTGAAGTCGTCTCCAGACTGCAGAGCATTGTCAGCCACGGTGACCCCACCAAGAAATACCGGCAGCTTATTAAGATTGGCCAAGGCGCATCTGGTGGAGTCTACACGGCGTTTGAGGTCGGCACGAACAAGTGTGTCGCCATCAAGCAGATGAACCTCGAGCAGCAGCCGAAGAAGGACCTCATCATCAACGAGATCCTAGTCATGAAGGATAGCACGAACAAGAACGTCGTCAACTTCATGGACAGCTTTTTAGTGAAGGGCGACCTGTGGGTTGTGATGGAGTACATGGAAGGTGGCAGCTTGACGGATGTTGTGACGTTCAACATGATGTCCGAAGGCCAAATTGCGGCTGTGTGCCGTGAAACGCTCAACGGACTGCAATTCTTACACTCCCGCGGCGTCATTCATCGCGACATCAAATCAGACAACATCCTTCTCAGCATGGAGGGAGCAATCAAACTCACCGATTTTGGCTTCTGCGCGCAGATCAACGAGGGCGCAATGAAGCGCACTACCATGGTGGGGACGCCCTACTGGATGGCACCGGAAGTCGTGACACGTAAGGAGTACGGACGGAAGGTGGACATCTGGAGTTTGGGCATCATGGCCATCGAGATGATTGAAGGCGAGCCACCATATCTGACGGAGTCTCCGCTACGGGCCCTTTACTTGATCGCCACGAACGGCACACCGAAGATCAAGGACGAGCACACTTTGACGCCGATGTTCAGGGAGTGGTTGGGCCTGGCATTGAAGGTGGACCCGGAGAAGAGAGCAAGTGCTTATGATTTGTTGAGTGTGAGTACTACCCGAAGCCAGGAGACATGGAGAGCATATGCTGACTCAACATTCTAGCATCCATTCATGGACAGAGCCGATCCGCTCTCCCACCTGACGCCGCTCGTCAAGGCCGCGCGAGAGGCCAGAGCGGCCGAAAAGGCGCGAAAGGGCAATTAAGCCCAACCCGAATCCGCCATGCCATCTACATACACCACATCTTTATCATTGGGAAGCGGAGCGTTCAAGCCAGCACAACATCATCAGCCCATCTTTACCATGTCATTACCATCTTCCAATGCGCGGCCATGTCGCCAACACTTTTGGAGCACCCTCAGAGCCTAAGACTGGTCATTGGATACCTACATTTTTGGACAACACGCGAGAGGAGGCCTTGCGGATAGAGAGGTCGTTGGTTCCTGGGAGTTCAGAGGAAGCGCAGCTGGGAAGGCGTTTAGTGGTGTTTTCGTGGTTCGGATTTCCATTCCATTTGTTGCACACGTGCGGGTTTTGCGGATGATGTGGACTGCTGGGGAGGAGGGGAAGCAGTTGGCCCGCACCAGGACATGCTGAAGGCGTGAGGACTGGTTGCGTGAGGCTAGGGAGAGGGGGCAAGGCGGGTCGTAGCGGTTGTGGGTAGACCGAAAAGACGCTTGTCGTGAGTTTTGGGCTCTTTTAGTGGCTGTGGTCTGCTCGAGGCAGGTATGCGTGAAATGTGAAGTGGATGTATACATGTTAAGGTTGACAGTCACGTGGTTGATAAACCTTATTCTGAGCCGCATCGCGTGCGCCACACCTTTAAATCGCGTGTCTTTCGACTTCACGTCGGATTTCTGGTGGTTGATAAGGTGTTCTGATGGCATTGGTGACACGAACATCTTCGCCAAGTGAACTTCGACAGGCACGACCACCTGGTTGGCAAGAAAGGTTTGACGGCTTGCGATAGGGGGTCTTGCTGCCAGTCTACGGTACATGTAGTTGACCCCCTTGCGTCTGATGAGGTCACGATGATGCTTGCGTCTTCGATCACGAGAAACCAACAACATTGAATGTCCAGCAGATAAATGAGATATTGGAGATTTGGGATCTCTCCACTGACAGCATAGGGGGTCAAGGGGGCCCGTGAGGGGGTGGAGCGGAGTTTCATGGGGGATAGCGGTATAGCGAGTCGCAGAGTTGGTCGAATCGCCGGAAACAGGTTTTCGTGACACCGCCGTGCTGTGACCATTGTCGCGGGTGTATGGGGATGGTCGTTGTAGTTGTAGTAGCCGTACGAAGAACATTATGATATTGACAGGGCCGATGTTGTGCTCGTCATATACTTTCCTTTCCGTGTGCGGAGGACGCTGATGAGACGTTGACGGCTCCTTGTGGACGACCCGGGAGGAGGCTCATGCGCTTGCGGCTTGCGGCTTGCTTTTCCTTTGAGCCTGTCCCGGGAACTGGGTCTGCTGCGGCAACTCCTCGACCGCCACAGTCGGTGTTGGTGCAGCATTTTCTAGATTGTGATTCCCAAGATTGGCTTCCGAGATTGATTCGGGCAGGTGTTAAGGTTGGAGGCTAGACACTATCCACATCCTCACACTCTCCAGCGGGCCACCGCCTGCGACCTCCTGCACTTGTCGCGACCTTGGTGGATGCGCGACGTCGACGAGAAGACGTTGTTGGACTGGCGGACGACGAGACGCTACTGAGCGTACGATAAGGCACCGAAGACGCTGCAGCAATTGCTACATTCCACATACACGCGATCTGATGGAACTCGATGTGGCGACCATACAGACGACCGGCTAGGGTGGTAGAGACTACCTTTGCTTCTATCATACGGACGCAGCAGCAGCACCGCACGCCGCTGCTGCGGCCGGCGGCAAGAGGGTGAACATGGGGTCTGAGCCAGAAAGAAGGGACATGGCAGCTGGTGGAGGTGGCTCGTCGGGACAAGCAGGAGAGGACCAAGATGCGCCTCCAACACAACAGTCGCGGGGAGGCTTTCGTACAAACCGCCCACAGCTCCCGGCGGACGAGCAGTACCACGTCAACTTTACCGAGCAGCCACGGTCGCCCACGGCATTTGATGGCCAGTTGAGCCCGGCAGCCGCAGACCGAGTCTATCCCATCCGAAGCGTGGTTTCGGTAGACCCAACCCCGACGCCGTCTGCGCGGACCGATCGATCTGACGGCGGCTACTTTGGCTCTGCGCGTGCGCGACGGCAGTCAGTGACAGCGACTGATCCTTCCTCACAACGTGCCCCTCCTAGGCGGCGTGCCAGTCAAGAGAAGACGCCACATGAGCTTGAAAGCAATCGGCGGGTATCTGAAGCGTCGACTGGCATATCTAGTGCAGACTCGGACGCCGCGAAGCAAACGGCCTACATCAATGACGTGATTGGCGACTCTGGGAGCGTGGCTAGCGAGCGCGGGAACAAATCTGGGCCACCTAGTGATATGCCACCTTCTTCTCGTGCGCCCTCGACCATGAGTACGAAGAGCGAGGACTTTGGCGGTCTGCTCACCGCGCGATTCAAACACGTGGTCACAGAAGGTGGACATGCTGTCATCACCGGGCGAGATGGCGAGACGCTGCAACGATGTGAGGACGAACCGATCCACATACCTGGCGCCATACAAGGCTTTGGTCTACTTCTTGCTCTAGAAGAGCAGTCTGATAACAAGTTCGTGGTCCGTGTCGTGAGTGAGAACTCAAAGCGAATGATCGGCTATACCCCGAAGCAGCTGTTTGCACTCGACAGCTTCACGGACATCCTTTCAGAAGAACAGACGGACAACTTACTCGACCATGTGGACTTCATTCGAGATGAAGATGCCGACGTTGTCACCAATGGTCCGGAAGTCTTCACCATGGCTATCCGAACTCCACAGCGCAAGAACCAAAAATTATGGTGTGCAATGCATATCAATGACAGCCACCCCAACTTGATCATCTGCGAATTTGAGCTTGAAGATGATCCTGTCAATCCTCTGGTGCCACAAGAGGAGAGCAGAACCCCTGAACTACCTGAAGACACCCTCGGTAGTAATCCGACGGACGAAGAATATCAAGACAGTACTCAGAACAACAGCAAACCCCTACGCGTCCTTCGCAGCGCGCGAAAACGTAAAGGTGAAGCTGCCGCAATGGAGGTCTTCAACATCATGTCACAAGTACAAGAGCAGCTCGCCGCCGCACCAAATCTGGAGAAGTTTTTGAAAGTGTTGGTCGGCGTAGTCAAGGAACTGACCGGGTTCCATCGAGTGATGGTGTATCAATTCGACCATGCCTGGAATGGCCGTGTCGTTACGGAGTTGGTCGATCCAAGGGCGACAAAGGACTTGTACAAGGGCCTCAACTTTCCTGCCAGCGACATTCCAAAGCAAGCACGAGACCTGTACAAGCTCAACAAAGTCCGAATGTTGTACGACCGAGACCTCGACACGGCACGGCTGGTCTGTAGAACGGTGGAAGATCTCGAGACGCCACTGGACCTGTCGCATTCGTACCTTCGTGCTATGTCGCCCATCCACCTGAAATACCTCGCGAATATGGCCGTTCGATCGTCGATGTCGATCAGCATCAATGCCTTTGACGAGCTCTGGGGCCTTATAGCATGTCACTCATACGGCTCAAAGGGCATGCGAGTGTCCTTTCCCATACGCAAGATGTGTCGACTGGTGGGCGACTCAGCTTCTAGAAACATCGAGCGTCTCTCATACGCCAGCCGGCTGCAAGCGAGGAAGCTCATCAATACTGTCCCGTCCGAAAGCAATCCATCAGGCTACATCATTGCATCGTCCGAAGATCTACTCAAGCTTTTCAATGCAGACTTTGGTCTACTGTGCATTCGTGACGAGACCAAGATGCTTGGGCACATCGAGCAGAGTCAGGAGGCACTTGCAATGCTGGAGTACCTGCGAATGCGAAGCATCACGAGCGTTATGACTTCGCAGGACATCAAGGGAGACTTTCCCGACCTACGGTATCAGCCTGGCTTCAAGGTCATCGCTGGACTATTGCTTGTGCCGCTCTCTGCTCGTGGTCAGGACTTCATTGTGTTCTTCCGAAAAGGCCAGATGAAGGAGGTCAAATGGGCTGGCAATCCCTATGAGAAGTTCATCAAAGAAGGCACGGAAGGCTATTTGGAACCGCGAAAAAGTTTTCGGACATGGAGTGAGACTGTCGTCGGCAAGTGTCGTGAGTGGACCGAGGAGGAGATCGAAACGGCAGCTGTGCTATGTCTGGTTTACGGCAAGTTCATCGAAGTCTGGCGGCAGAAAGAGGCTGCGCTACAAAACAGCCAACTAACTCGCTTGCTGCTTGCCAACTCTGCGCATGAAGTGCGAACGCCACTCAATGCAATCATCAATTACCTCGAAATTGCGCTTGAGGGTGCGCTCGACCAGGAGACGAGGGACAATCTTTCCAAGTCACACTCGGCCTCCAAGTCGCTGATATACGTGATCAACGACCTTCTCGACCTGACAAAGACGGAGGAAGGTGGCGAGCTGGTGAAGGACGAGGTGTTCGACCTCATGGCCACGCTGGCCGAGGCCACTGATCCGTACAAGGGCGATGCAAAACGGAAGAACATTGAATACGAGGTCATTGGCAGACCAGGACTTCCGACTTCGGTCATCGGAGATCAGCGACGAGTGAGGCAGGCCATCTCCAACGTCACAGCAAACGCCATCCAGAACACCTCGCAAGGAGGCGTCACCGTGGAGATGTGTCTCACTTCTCGCGAGGAGACCAAATGCGAACTCGAAGTCAGCGTCTCTGACACTGGGGTCGGCATGAGCTCCCAGAAGCTGGATCAGCTTTTCCGGGAGCTGGAGCAGGTCGAGAGCGAAGGTGAATCTTACATTGGAGACGCGATTGCTCCGACGCAGCAGAAGGAGCTACCAGAACCCCAGAAGAAGGGTGAAGAACGCACACTTGGGCTTGGCCTCGCGCTCGTTGCTCGCATCGTACGGAACATGAATGGCCAGCTGCGATTGAAGTCCGAGGAGGGCAAGGGTTCAAGATTCGTGATCCAGTTTCCATTCGACCTGCCGGACACGGAGCCCAAGCAGATGGCAATTGAGGCTGGCTCTTCACAAGGCTCGGTCACTCCGCTCGCAGACGACGGCCTGAGCGCAGTGCAGAGTGCTGGGCCTACCACGCCAGGCTCACAAATTCAGGAAGGTGAAGTCACACTGATCGAGCGTGGAAGCGCACAAAAACGAGCGTCGCAGAGTCGGCAGCAGTCGCCCCAGATGTCCCGAAAGAACAGCGGCGGGAGCATGAACAGTCTCAAGAGCATCGGGAGCATGAAGTCTGAACACAGCAAGAACAGCGTCTCTTCTGTTCACAGCGGTAGAAGCGAGGCCGAACGGCTGATCGATGCGATTCAGGAGCCGCACATGGTAGAAGGTAGGCAGGACAGCTCCGTCGCACGTGCGGGTAGTCTCAAATCATCGCACCCTCGCGGATCTCCTGGCGAAGCGCCCACCCGGCCGAAACTGGACAAGAGGCATACATTCGCTTCAACAATGATGACAGGCAGCCCAGTGAAGAGCAGACCTCAGAGTGCCGAGTTGTCGCGCAGCGAGACTCTGAAGCCTCTCCCAAAGTCTGGAGAATCAGCGGTCACTGACCAACGGACGCCAATAAAACCGATCAGGATGCACGACGATCAGACTCTATCACCTGGCGCAGAGATGTCGGAGCACTCTGCCATGGGTGCTGCATCAGCTGCTGCATCAGACACCGGTGGTCCTTCTCTGCAAGAGGTCCCTAACACCCCAACCTCCACCTCTGTCACTGAAGAGATGTCGACGGAATGCATGCGTGCCCTTGTCGCCGAAGACGATCCGGTGAACAGTAGGATCATTCAGAAGCGGCTGGAGAAGCTCAGCCATGAGGTGGTGTTGACGGTCAATGGAGAGGACTGCGCGAGTGTCTATGGTGAAAGGAGCGGGTTCTTCGATATCATCCTTATGGACATGCAGGTGAGCACTCAAGTCAACCGGTCCAAGTGCGCGAGAACTGTGGTGCTGACCCTCTTCGCAGATGCCCATTGTGGATGGCCTGACTTCAGCCAAGATGATCCGTTCCTTCGAAAAGTCACATCCTACTCACCTCCTCTCCACGCGAGCTTCGCTCAACGGCCGTGTACCCATTATTGCAGTCTCTGCTTCTCTGATCGAGAAGGATCGACAGATTTACATCGACGCAGGCTTCGACGGCTGGATCCTGAAGCCTATATCTGTTACCCGTCTAGGCGAGATCATGAAAGGTGTCGTCGATGAGGAATCCCGACGAAATAACCTCTACCAGCCCGGGCATTGGGAAAGCGGAGGCTGGTTCGATGAGGCGCAAAAGGATGTCTTTGCCGCTGACACACGGCCGAGCGAGCAACCTCCTATGGAAGCGCCTGGTGCCGAGCCCTCGAAGGAAGTCAAGGCCGCGGTCGACTCAGACGATCCTTTTGCCAAGGAAGAAGACGAGAGCGAGCAGTCGAAGGAACAAATACGGATGGCGGAGCAACTGCAATCACACAGCGAGCGGAAGGCGACGAGTATGCCCAATCGGACTCGGCCGTCTTTTGGTGAAGGGGACGAGGAAGAAAGTGTAACCCGAGAAGACGTCGTGACGAGTCCGCAGCCCATGTCGCCAGAGCCTGATGATCGATGACACCACGCTTCAACGACAGCGTCAGAACAGTAGCTGGAAGCAGGATACGATTGAGACAGGACTGACGGGCGTTATTGTTGGCATCACGAGTCTTACGTTGGCATGAGCGAGCGGGCGGGAGCACGGCGTTGGGCTGCATGAGCACGCGTTTTGTGAGCCTTTTGCATTTTGTCGTGACGACAATGCTGGGATGGAACGGGTAGGCGTTGAAGAGAGAGCGAGTGAGGAGTTGCATATGGGCTTTGCATATTACCCCTACGCCAGCCCATGAGGCCTACAACGCATACGAACACCATATCATTATACTGCATTGCTTTGAGTCGCAACATGCTCATATCACGTCACAAAGGTGGCATGGTTGTTTCAGCTACTTCCCTTGGTATTAATAGCGACTGGAACCTGAATCTGAAACATCGATGTGCCGCCACTGTACTTCCAATTTGAATTGATCCTTCGATCCGCCGTTCTACAATATCTTCACGGTGGTCCATCACGCCATGTCTTCTACAGCTTCACCAAGGCCACTAACGGCTTTCCTAGGATGGGACGCGACGGCAGCAATCTGGCGAAGCAAGATGACTTCGAGCTCCTCCCACGCACAACTATAGGATTCACGCACCCGGATACGTCGCAAACAGGCTATCTCCAAGACCACTCTCTCGGAGATCATGGATACGATACTGGCAGAGCACCTCTCTGGAGGCGACTGCTACGCAACCTGATATACATCCTGCCAATTCTGGTGTCATTTGTGTTCATTGGGCTGCTTCTGGGCTACTCAAGCACGTTCACGGAGCAACTTGGCTACAATGCCTGCTCGCCCACCGGTGATTTCGTCCTACCATTCACCACTTCGATCTGGGACACGAAGAACTTCTTCACAATCACGATTCAGTTCGAGGGCCCGGACAAGGATTATTGCAGCTACTCGGACACCACATCATACACGCTCGGCTGCACCGGGTACACTTTCACCCAGGCAAAAGTAATCGATGTCGCCTGGGACCTACTGGTCGGTCGCGGAGGTCAGGCGGTGATGGTCGTGTTCGCGTACCGCATATTCAGCGGCGTGCTTAGGATGTTGATGGAAAACGGAGAAGTAGGGTACGTCAAACTGATGGAGGAACGGCTCTCCGGGACACGTTCAAGATCCGAATACTGCACCGCGCTCTGAGTCTCCTCCATCTTTGTTCAAACTGTCGAGACATTTGTTGACCCTTCTTTCCATCACTCTAGGTACGATCTCTTTGCCACTGTAGCCTTTGGTTCCGGCAGTTTCACATCGCTGCCCACGCTCTTGAAGCATTCAATCGGCATGACTCCTATTCCGCGGACTCGCCATGCGATACTGACTTACTGGGCGATGCTGCTGACAACGATTTGGATTGTGGTCATGCCGACCTTGATCTCCGCCATGACCGGCTATACGTCGAGGTTTGCACCGTTCGTCAACTTCCCGTCGGACAGCCCGTACGCGACTGCCTATGACACATCTCTTGCGGACTGCAGCGATAGGTTCTCCCCTGTCTGGGGTCGAATGGGACTCAATAATGCGATGACCAACTTCCAACCGCTGGGCGGCTTCTATCCTATCGTCGATGGGGAGCAGGGAGCGTCCACATATGCTGGACCGGGTTGGGTGGACTGTGAGTACTTGTTTCCTACGGCGTCTTAGCCGTTTGTGTAGAAGCCAAAGAAGGATGCTTATACCCAACTCCCAGATTACGAGCGCTACCGTGACACCATCTACTCCAATTGTCCCGAGCATCTCAACATCTCTAGTTGTGAGGCGGCAAAGCAGCGCACTTGGGTCATTGCCAACTACGGTGGCGCTTATACCTCCAACGATACCGTGCCTGCACCAGCACCAGGAATCATTCCGTACCCCGAGTTCCACAGCCCATATACGAAGAACCGTTACTGGGCCTGCGGCGAAATGCTGGTGGATGCGAGGCAAATCACCAACTTCCAAAGCTCACAGTACGGCCATTTTACCGTTTCGAATCCGTCAACGACAGGGCTCTGTCGTGCTACGACCGGCTACGTTTGGGGTTTCAGCTTTTTGCTGACATTTCTCACGGCGATACTCAACTTGGTCATCGTGCTGGTGATGTATGCGCTGTGGTTTGACGTGTGTCGGCATCGGCGGGCGAAGGAGGGCCGTGGTACCAAGAGCTACGTTTCTGGCCAGTTCAAGGATGCTGTGCAGATGGTCATGTCGGCGCAGCAGCAGTATGGGAGTGGTATTGCGGAGTGGGATGCGAGGTCGCTGGAGAAGGAGGTTGTGAAGGGGAATGTAGGTATGGGTATCGCGAACGAGAGAGAAGATGGTCTTGTTCAGAGGAAGGGTAGTCAGCGATCGGAGGAGTTGGGGGATCCCAATGGGGGCGACTGGGGAGGTGATGTCGAGTTCAGGTGATGATAAGGTAAAACTTTCACACCCTTCATATTTTGCCAGGACAAGACCAATTCCAGGGAATAAAAGGCCTTAATTCTTCTTGATCCAATGCATAATCTTTGCCGCAAAAGAAGGCTGCCATATAGGCTTTAGGGTCAGTATACCAAACCCCGCCAAAAGAAGCCCAAAAAAGAAGGCCGTTGTTCGCAACCTTGGGGATTGAACCCAAGTCGTGAGAGGTGTGCTCTCGCATCAAATTCGTTCCGATGCGGGGAATCGAACTGATTTATGAGTCAGAAGTGGCTCAGTTGATGGTGGTTGAGTGTTTCTTACCCCCGGCCTTGTCGGTTCTGTGGTGTGGACACCAATGAGAGCGACAAATCCTAGCCACTAGACCACATCGGATGGAATGATTGGATGAGAGTATTTGGGGCCATAGCTCTATATGAATGCTTTTCTTGGCACCGACCGAAAAACAGCCAGACGAAAACGTTCAGGTCGAGGTTGGGGGGCCACATTGTCCGTATGGGATTACAGCATCTGAGCATTTGACTGTCGATTTCTGACGCTGTATATACGGTCCAAGATTGTGTCCGATCGCTCGCGCTATGCTCAAATCCAACCAATGGACCAACCCAAACACCATCGCTGTTAAAACCCACTCCTCAACTCCTCCCCTTAAACAACATCTTAATCCCCCCCTCACTCTTCTCCTTCTTCGCCTTCGCCCCCTCTTCCTTCGCCTTCTTCTTACTCCCCTTACTCCTCCCACTAACCTCACTCTCCGCCTTCTTCTCCTTCTTCCTCTCCTTCTTCTCCCGCTTCTCCCTCGCCTTCAGATCCTTCTCCGTCAGCTTCCCCTCCAGTATCAACTCCGTCTTCGCCCGCGGCGTGACAAACTCCCCATCCACGCTGGTACCCACACTACTCGCCTCCACATCCGCGATCCCGCGCCGCCACTGCTCGATCTTGTCGAGTTCGCGCAGCTCGGTCTCGCTGTCTGGTGTGCCGGGCTCGTAGTCGGCGTCGGGGTCAGCTTCGATGAGCATGCCCGACTCCGCGCGCTTCGCTTTGATCTTCTTGACGATCTTGTAGCCGCCGAGAGCGATGACGGTGACGCCCACGCCGACGCCGGCTGCGATCATGAATTCGGGGGATGCGAGGATGGCGATGATGGCTGGGAAAGCACCTTTCATTGACATGAGAGCTCCTGGAGCCATTTTGGTTGCGAGGTTGCTGATCTCTGCTAGTGTCAGAGCTACCGCTGCCAGTGCGTCGGGGTTCTTCTGCAGGTTGTCGATGGTTGCGGTTACAGAGTGCTGGATGCAATTGCATTCGTCGAGAAGCTTCTGCAGTCCGCTCATCTTCTGCCGGAGCTCCACTTCGGTGTCGTAGTTGCGTTCTGGGAGCGGAGGTGGAAGGTCTCCATACGCCAGGTCCATGTCGATGTCGTCGGCGCTTGCGCTTCGAGACGTCTTCGACGGGCGGCTATGCGTGAGCTCGAGACCGTCGGTATGCCGGCGTGTAAGCTCTCTGAAGCGTGCGGGATCTTCTTCGGATGAGTAAGACTGCTGTCGGAGCGGAGAGGGACGATGTGAGTGTCGGCGTTGATGCGAGCGAGGAGATTGCGAGTGGTCGTTCGTGTAATAGCTGTCGGATACACCCCGCTCGATGGGTGGTCGTTCACGATGTGATCGGTTGGGCACAGGCTTGCGGCGGACGCTGGACCGGCCATCCTCGCTTCCTCTCCGCGAACTGCGTCTTGAGCTTGTATCCGAATCGTCGTCGATCGTCAGTGTCTCAACCCGGTTGAGTGTCTTTCGATCATCGCTTTTGCTGTACGAATGCCCCCTCCGCATTGCCTTTATCTCCGCCTTTCGTTCGCTGTACGCGCTTTTTGCTTCGTTGAAGACATTGACGAGGTGTTTCGACGAGCTGACGACTTTGCCTGATTTGTTGACGATCGTAACCGTCTGTCCGATGAGCGCCATGATTCGGGTTTCGTTTTCGAATGTGGTGATATGTCGTGGTAGATGTGATCGTGTAGCTTAACCAGCAAGCACACTCGGAGGATTCGTGTTGAGCCTAAGGTGTATTCCAATGGTAACCGTGGTGTAGTACGTGCCAGGGAACAATGTTGGATCGAACGGCTAGCCACGGACTCTCTTTGTTCGAGACAAGCACCAGTATATACACAATCTCCTTCTCTTCTCTATCGACAAAGACCTGGCTTTGTCCTCCCTTCACCAACCGCCCATTCTAGCCTCACTTCTCGGGGACGGTCGGCGCGGTGTGCTAACGACGTCCAGTCGTCTCGCTAATGCTTGCGACGTTGTAGCCAAACAGCTCAGACCGGGTGAGGTGTCGTTGCGTGAGTGGTTGGACCTTGGGCGGCAATGGCTGGCTCTTGGGATTGGTTCGATTCTTCCGCTAGAGTTGTGAGAGCGATTGATGTCTGGTGTTAAGAACAGGAGAGAAATCTGTATACGAACGGGAAATGAACAGCTACAAGTACCTACCTGCCTGCAGGCGGTCTAGCTCTGGCGAATGCATTGCCATGCAAGCTGATGGAGCGGTGGGGAGTGATGTAGTGGGCGTGTGGCGTCGTCACAGCCACCATGTGGCGCTCCTCGGAAGCGCTTGCCCTTCTCACTGGCGAGAGATAACCTCACTTGCATCAAACTTACAACTATTCCATTTGTTCTGGCCGGAGAGTTGGAGCACAACACTTGGAGGACAAGAATTAATAATATTCACAGCCATTGCTATCGGACGAGAAAACCCGAGCGGTGTTGTCTTGTTCAGAAGACGTTCAAGGAAGTCCATCTACTTCTTCTTCCTAACACTTCCATCCCCCACCGCTTCCCTCGGGCCCCCATTGGCAGCCTTCTTCCGTTCTACTCCTTCCCCTACCTCAGCACTACCCTTGAGCTTAGCCTTGAGCTCTCCAATCCTTTCCTTCACCCTCCCCACAAGCCCAGCAAGTGGCGAGACTGGCACCTCATCGGCAAGCACAAACCTCCTAACCAGCAAATTGAAGACGGATCCAAACCCCAGTGCAATCACAGTCGACGTGAGTATGATGACGTTATATGGCATGCTGAAATCTGGCGTCGGTAGTGGTAGCAGCAGCGAGGTCGTGCGGAGGTACTGGCCTTGTCCTTCCTCGCCTTGGGTTGGGAGTACTCGTACCACTGCGGCAGGAATGTCGAAGCCTCTGTTGGCGTCTGGCGGATACTCGGTGTATCGTAGAATGGCCTTCTCGAAGTCGTAGGTCAGCTCCACCGTGCTCTCGGCGGGAATCTCAAGCAAGAGTTCCAATTGTGTGCCGCGCTTGCGGTCGATGAGGGGCGTGTAATACATGTTCTTTAGCCTGCCGTTTCCAGAGACCTTCAGCGTGTGCATGTAAGGTCTAAGGAACCAGGGAAGGGACTCCAGATAGACGACTCTTTGCGAGTAGGGATGCGGATTGCGGATGAGAGTGTGCATTCCGCCCCTTTCGGCACCGTAGCCAGTCATCTGTCGACTGACGTATAAAGGCGGCTGCTCGAGTGGAAGTTGTTGAGGCTCGCTCGGATTCTGAGGCTGTTGCGGAAGGAAGAGGTCGAAGTCCTTGCCTTCCGGGAGTTTGTAGTGCCTGATTAAGCTGTTCGCAGGGCTCTGCTGAGGCACGGCAGCTTCAGCAAGTACTTGGATATTTCGATCAGCAGGAACTTCCAGCGTTACGTCGAAGTCGTCCGAAGTGGCAGTAGAAAGTGGACAGCTGCCTCGTATAGGCCGTCCGAAGATCCGCTCGAGACTCCATTCCATTTCACCGTCAAAGTGTTTGGGGTAGCAGGTGTCATGCCCGCTGTAGCTCTTGTCCTCATCGCACAGAATATCTTCCATTGGTAAGGGTCGCGGGATTGGTGACTCGCGAGGCCGCATGGAGCGTTCAACGTCAAGCACCATATCGACCGTCTGCTGAATCTCAAGCTCACATTCCCCGTCATGACACACAGGAAGCACATCCACCGACATGGTCTGCCAGTTCGCGTCGAAGAGCTTGTGTCCGTCCAGCAGACTCGATATACCCGCCTTGCCTTTACATGGCAGCAGTTTGAGGAAAGGCGTCAAGTTCTCCGTACACACCACCTCATGTGGCAGCATCCCGTGCAATAATCGTAGCTCGCCTTGCTTCTCGCCTTGCTTCTCGCCGGTGAAATTCGTCCGTGTCTGCTGTCCGGCCTCCAATGTGCCCTCGGGCGAGAACGACAAAACAGGCTGAATCGTCTTCCCAGAATCCACAAAGTTCAGACTCGCGCAGAAGAGTCCTGAGAGCGAGTTGACCAGATCACTCCATCTTTCCTCAGCCGCTCGTGCTTCCTCACCCTCCACCTTAGCTCCATCTCCACCGTTTTCCAGCCATGCCCAGAGCTCTACTCCATTTCCTCCCTCCCTCAACCCATCCCGTGGTCTACTGCCCCAGCTTTCGTCGTCCCATCTCCCTAACGCGAATCGTAGGTGTAACTCTGCGGTATGGGTATACTGAAGGATCTGCGCGAGCGCGCGTGGAAAGTAGCGGAAGTTGTTGGCTACATATGAAGACAGAGGCGTGGTAGATGTAAAGGAGAAGCCTGCGTATAGACTGCCGCCAGGTAAGGGCCGGAGGTGGAGGTGTTCGGTGTAGTTGTTGGATGGTAGTGCGATCCCTGGGTTGATAAGTGGTAAGAGGGCGAGGAGAGCGGCTGGGAGGTTGAGGAGCTTCATGTCAGTGACAGATCTGGCCCTGGGTACAGGACATGTGTCAGAAGTGTTGTTGATGTTGCGGAGACGTCGGGCATGAGCGCCAAGACAATGGTATAGCTCGAAGTCCGCTGGCGTTTTGACTTCACCTTACGCTCCAGACACAGCCTTGCCAGTCCGCCAGTCAAACGATCGTCCGGGAATCATAGATTGTTGCCAACCAGCATTCAGCAGCCTGCGACACCCTCACTCCCCGCTGGCCTTTCGCCAGCACCAATACCTTCAACATGGCGGCCGAACAGCGCAGACTGCTCGAACAGCTGATGGGCGACCAACTCATGGCAGTCCCCGGCACCAAGAAACAACCCACACTCACCCTCACCGACCCCAAAGTCTGCCGCTCATATCTCGCAGGCTCCTGCCCCCGCGACCTCTTCACCAACACCAAAAACGACCTCGGACCATGCACGAAATCTCACCTCCCCAACCTTCGCGAAGAGTACCAAGCACTGCCCGAAGAGAAGAAGCGCGAGCTAGGCTTCGACTTCGACTACAAATACGACATCCAACACCTTGTGCGCGCCTGCGACGCCACGATCGAGAAATTGCAGGGCCGGCTGGAGAAGACGCAGGAAGAAGTTCGCCAGACTAATGCTCTGCTCAAAGCGATCAACGACTTCCGCGGGACTATCGAAGCCACTCTGACGGAAATAGAGATTCTGGCGGAGCAAGGCGCGGTCAATCTGGCGGTGCAGGAGCACTATAAGCTGCGGACGGTAAAGCTGCAGAAGGAGGAGAAGGAGCGGGAGCTAAAGACGCTGACGGATACTTCGGGACCTAGTGGGCACCAGAAGCTGCAGGTGTGCGACGTGTGTGGTGCGTATCTGAGCAGGTTGGATAATGATCGGAGGCTGGCGGATCACTTTTTCGGAAAGATGCATTTGGGGTACGCGCAGATGCGGAAGGAGTATGATCGGTTGACGAAGGAGTTGAAGGGGAGGCAGCCACCGGTGAGGGATGAGCCGATGCCGGATGCGCCGCCTGGGAGAGGGTACGATGATCCGTATGGCGGTGGTGGTGGGTACAGCAGGGGTGGAGGTGGGTATGACGGTGGAGGGTATCGTGGGCGTGGTGGTGGTGGAGGCTACAGGGGAGGGAGGGGAAGAGGTGGGTATGGACCGCGCTACTGAAGATAGCTACGGCTCCTGAGAAGAAGCATTTTATTATGTGCGACTAAACGATCCTAGCCCACAAGAGGCGAGCATGAATGGAGCGCAACGACTGGGACGGGAGCTGGGAGCTGTTCACAGCGAAGGCGTCTGGTGCTGATCAGGGGGTTGATACGGAATGAAACGAGTACGTTACGAACTTCTTTGTCACTCATTTGCTTCGCCCTGATTGTGAATCCTGTGCAGGGCGGCCTCATACTCAATTTCGTCTCACTCTGTCCGCAGACCGGAGCCTAATCCTAGCGCTTGTCTCAACAGCACGTGAAGATGCGCGCATGTGATAATTGCTCTGCCGACTGCCGAAATGAGCTTGTGTCACCTTCCGAAACTTCTGCACAAAAGCTGCCTCCGCCACTTGCAACCTTCCGCCACTTCGACACAACAACTCCGCAACACCACGCACCCTTCTCCCGCCCGCCATGGCAGAGCCTCCACCAGGAAAGTGTTGGACGTGCGGCAAGGAGACCACGAAGCGCTGTTCGAAGTGCGCTGAAGGTATGAACCAAGAAGACGTCACTACCCCGACCTACTACTGCGGCAAGGACTGTCAGACTGCCGACTTCAAGGCACACAAGGCCAAATGTCGCCAAGCCACCGCTCGCAAGCAGTTGTATCGTGGCGGGGACTTCCTCCAAGACCTCTTCTACTTCTTTCGCGAGGAAGCTTTCGACATCGACATTGTGGATGTGAAGAGTCAGCACGGCAAGCTCCATACGTACGAGCCGGCGTGGAACAATGAAGTAACGTTCCCGTACTTCAAATTCCCGGGCCATCTCGTCACCAATCAAGAGGACAAGTTTGCGCTCCTCACCATGCTCTGTTGCAACGAGCCTGCGGCCTACATGCACAAGATTGTCAAGAAGGTGTTCGAAGGTACAGTTGTCCTCTGAGATCAAGGTATTGGTTCTCAGCTAATCAGATCAAGGAATCATCGACTTTGGGGGAGCTGCGATGGAGATGAGAGCCCCTGTCAAACAACATCATCACCGCATGTCAGACATCAGATAGACGGTATTGATACGGGCTACTACGGCCACGACACCTTCTATCTACCACTCAAAACTGGCGAGACTTACGTTCTGGATCTGGCTGGAGCGCAGTACGGCCAATATCGTTCTGTGGTACCATACCGCTTCTACAAGGAGACGTACTGCGACCATGCGCCAGAGTTCCGGCCCTTCGGGACAGCTGCAGGACAACGTCACATACTCGATGCTGCTCTCAAGGGCCAGTGCAAGCTTTTCGGCGCCGACGAGCTGCAGAAAGGAGACCCACGGGTCAAGCTCATGCTCGACTACCTCTCAAGGCTCATTAACCTGACCATTGAGGACTGGGAAGTCACCAAAGCGACGTCGCTTGCCGTTCTCTTCAACAAGAGGCAGGAGTTGTACCATGCAGAAAGCAAGCACGTCAAGGAAGGGATTCTATCGAACATTAGTGCATGGATGGGGTGGTGGCAGGGCGGGGAAGGGCCATCGTTCCGGCAAACCACGAAGACACACGCCGATGCTTCGAAGCACACGACGGAGCGCACGACGACTGAAATCATCAACCACACGTCGCCGGAGGTGTTCTTCGAAAAGTGCTTGTCGATCGCCAGCCAAAAGGAGCACAAGAAGCTCCAGGCGGAGGAGACAGCTCTGGCGAAGAAGTAAGCGTGGCGATCGCAACACCACGCGGGAGGACAAAACCAGGTGCTTGATGCTGTCTGGACGATGCAAGACCACGATGGAAGGCCAAGGTACCACCATTTGTGTTTCATGAGATCAAGCTATGTTGTTTGGTCTGGCCGCCATAGAAGAGGAAGTGCCCGGAGAGAATACCAATGTTCGAACCTTGCCCATCCTCTTCATTTCATGTGTTCCACTCTCACAAAGTCATTGCTTACAGGCGTACAGGAATGAAGAGACCTGAGCTTTGCAGAACCTACTGATGTCTTCAGGACATATAGCTCGATCTTCAAGGAATGTGTGCCAGAACGTTCAAGCCGCTGCTGTTCAATACGGACAAGCAAGCAAACATCCGGTGACACACAAGAACACAAAAACCCATAGCTTCACGCTTGTTTGTTGCTCCTTCAAACAACTACCACTCCATACCAGCGACGGACCATGGCTTCAAATAGCGCTGGCACATGCGAGCCCTGCGGCACCCCAACTTCCCGACGGTGCTCCAAATGTAATGAGGGTCTGGACGCTGAGGGCCTTTCAACAAACCCAACCTATTACTGCGCCACTGACTGCCAGACGAACGACCGGCCAACGCATCGATCAAATTGCCAAAGCGCAAACGCCCGCAAGCAGCTCTACCGCGGAGCTCAGTTCCTGCAAGACGTCTTCTGTGCCTTTCGCGAAGTGGCGTATGACATCAACATCGCCGACATCAAGGAAGTCGACGGCAAGCTACATGTCTGCGTGTCGCTGAAAAACTTCACGGCTCCGACGTTCTTCCCTTTTCCGAACCACCTCGTACGCAACAAGGATGACAAGAAAGCTATCCTCACTCTTCTATCCTGCACTGATGCTCTGGCAACCATGGCTGAGCTTGTGAGGATGTGTTTTGACGGTAATTTTGTAATAGTCTTAGGACGCAACTACGACAATACAGCTGACCGTCGTTTTTAGGACTCTGCGAACCGACAATGGGCATCTCGGAAGTCGACGCCCCTGTCAGCACGGAGAAACATCATTACGCGCTCAGGCAATTGGCCGACGAAATCGAGGACAGTGAAAGTACTCATTCGATCATGCAGATCACGCTGATTGATGGCAGGAACTATGTTCTGGACCTTGCAGGCGCCCAGTACGCCCAGTGGCGCCCGGTACGGCCGTGGGATGAGTGGTCCAGTACTTACTGCCTTGGAGAAACGCACTACGCCTTGCTCGGATCTGAGGCGAAGAGGCTTGAAGCCATCAACTCCGGGACTATTCCTCGTGGCCCGAACACCGACCATCCACTTACCACCTTTGAATTCCACGCTTCGAAGCTTTTTCTCATCATCGTGGATGACTGGGAGAAATCGAATAACACATCGCTGGTGGCTACACTCAATAAAAAGCTTCCGGAATACTAAATCGAGATCAAGAAGCTGCTGAGCTTGATCACCGGTAAGCTGCAGGTGTGTTTCAAGTGGTGGACGTCGCCAGAGGGACCGACAAAGGCTCAGGCAATGTCGTGGTCCACTCGCGAGATGATGCAAATGGCGGCAGAGTATGCGGGCACCTCGCACTGAAATCATGGAAGAGGCCGAGTGGTTCTGCCTGGATCGCTCTTGATCGCATGACAGATATGGGCTTTGTATGCATGAGTAATCTCGGAGATGAGGTAGGTGAATGTACCAGCTGCATAGCTCTGCGTGAAGACTGTGATTCTCCCTCAGCAGGAGACTGGTTTCCATGGCAAGCACTTTACTTCATGTAGACCACCCTCCACCGTCAGTTCACTCAAGTGAATGCTCACTTCCGTGATATCATATCGTCCCACATTCACTGACTGCGTTGAGGAGGTGATGTCATGTCCGGCAGATGCTCACTTGATTCACATACAGCCTGTCTTCCCATCACATAGTTCCCTTCCATGCACCATAAATTTGCCAACCTCGTCATAGAACTGACACAGATCCCTTTGAGCTTGTGGCATCAGCACCAAACAGTGAGCAAATTACTTCCAATGCTGGAGCAAGAAGCCTAACTTGTTCGCAGTCAACAACGGCGGTAGCGCCAACGGCCAAGATGGAGACGGCAGGGCCACAAGAGAGCGTCAAGTCGACCCGAGTCTGCATTAGCGACCCTAGAGGGGGCCACAAGGGCTTTGATGTATCAGGCACCGAGCGCATCGGAGATCTCCTGGAAGCCTACTGCATACAAAGATGTAAAGCGTCGGATGGCTGTCGGTTGGTGCGCCGCGACAAAGTGGTAGACCTTTTTGCCACTCCCGCGGAGGTCAGTGAGCCTGCAAGGAGTCAATGCGATTTACTGACAGTTGAGGCAGTTGGGATGGGAAGGCCTCATCTTGCTTTGGTGCGAAGGGCCCAGCTTTCGAAGCCGCGTCAAGCACGTCGAGGTGGCAATTCACAGTAGAGACAAGCGCGCAACGATGCTCTTGACGCTACGAGCCACCACGAAATTAGAGAGGGCTTTGGCAGAGTTCTGTAAGCCTTACCGCAAGGCGTTGAGCCACTGCCGCCTTCTCCGCCGCGGACAGCCCGTCGATTTGAAGGCTTCACCAGAGGATGTGAGTAAGGTGCCCAAAATGTACTTTCATTTCATTTTCTGACAATGAGCTGTAGCTGGGGTTTGAGAACCAGGTTACCCTTGAGTGCGAAGCCCGGATCCTGAGAAGAATGGGTGTGAAGGGGATTCCATGGACGTGGACGGAGAGGACAAGGTGGATGCTATCGTCGAGTGCTTCTCCACCACACTAGCCGTGTCCGAGTGATAGCTAGCTCGCCATGGTACGATGAAGGCTGCCCTACCTACAGGAGAGAATTGCAGAAGAAGAGGGGTCCATATCAGGCTGATGCACCAGTGGGAATATGAGCAGAGCATTGCCCCATTGCCTCGAACTCTGGCGTCGACAAGGGAAGATGGTGGGCGTGCGCCAAGATAAGGATGGAAAAGACCAGATTGTCTCTTCTCATAAGCTTCAAACCAGATCATTCCGCCACAATGCCAGAGGGCTGCATGTCTTTGTGGTACGACCGCTGCCTATTGATGTGATTGTTGATGTGATGTTGCATGTTTCAGAATCATCTGCGCCACACTGCCGTAAAGCTGTGTTCAATCGTTGGCTACTCCATCAGTACATTCAGGCCCAACAGTCATACTGCCAAACAGCCTCTGCCACCAACAAGCATCATCTTGCATTCATCGCGCGAAAAGCAATGTGACGTGATCAAAACAGTCCTCACGTATCTGCAGTCCGACATGGAGGACATCCAGCAACCGAATGAGGTCACGTACATCGACATCACGGTCGAAGACGAGGATGACAAGATCCTGTACATGATCAAGCCCACCACGAAGCTCAAGCATCTCATGGCGGCCTTCTGCAGGCGTCGGAACAAGGCGGTGTCGCGCTGCCAATTGTGGTTCGAAGGGAAAGTCGTGGACCTGAAGACCTCGTCGGCCGCGGTAAGTGAGCTATGGATCGTCCAGGACATGCCTTTGCTGACTAGACCGGTGTAGGTGGGCATCAAGGAGGGTGGAGAACTCTGGTGCGAAGGCCCGTATGTGGCGGATGGCGATGAAGACGGGGAGATGGCGGACGAGGAGGCTGAGCAGGATGAGGACGAGGAGGAGGAGGACGACGATGTGAATGAGATCACGGAGCGCTTCTCCGGGGTGATGTGAAGCGTGGTGGAGTAATAGCAAGCGGTACGGTGCCTTCTCAAATGGTCGTCTGCCGGAGAAGAATCGCAAGGTAGAGCGTCCGCAGCGATGCCGCTGTAATGAGCAACGCCGCCAAATGTCCAATGCATATCCTCTTCAGTTGCAAGTTCCGGCGACAGACCGAGATACTGACCATTGTGAGCATTTCCACATTTTGTGCGCATGAGAACGTAGCACCCCATGTAACCACGACCTCACTGCAAATTCACATGCTTTCACATGTTTCTGCGGAACCTTCTAGGCCTGAGCCGAAACATCACTTGTAGCTTTGCGAAACCTCCTCGCCGCAGGTGACTCTCGCAACTTCACCATATAAGCATCTGCCACCTCCCTCCTGTGCATGACGTCCTTATTCGCAGCACTCCTCACAACCTGACATCTTGCGTGCGAATTGCCGACCATGGCTGCAACTGGCATGGGCTGTTGCCACGTCTGCGGCAAGGAGGCCAGTCAGCGCTGCAGCAAGTGTGGTGAGGGCGTCGATCGAAACGGCAACCCGTCCGCCACTTTCTACTGCAGCAGAGACTGCCAGACCACCGACTGGGAAAACCACAAGACGACCACTTGCCGCTTCGCCAACGCCCGGAAGCAGCTTTACCGCGGGAGCAGCATGGTCCAAATGGCCTTCTACAACTTTCGTACCACCACCTTCAACTTCAACATCCAGAAGACCTCAATCGGCAACGACGGCAAGATAAGCGTGACTATCAAGACCATCACTACATCCGGTCAGCCAATCCATCGGCTTCCAGAGCAGCTCAAGAGCGACAAACATAAGAAAGCACTGCTCGCATGGCGTGCTTCGAATACCGCACTTGCGTTCCAGCATGATCTGTTGAAGCGGGTGCTTAAAGGTAGGCACAAGCGTTCGAAACGAGACTTACAACGAGTGAATGCTAATGGAAGTTGCCGCATAGGTATCGTCGACCCTCAGACCCCACCTACAGAATCTGCATTCTTGGTCAAAGACTTTCGCGAGCGAGTTGCCGTGATTCCACACTTCGCGAATGGCAGGCAGGATGAACGCCAACACGAACATGTGGCCCTTCGTGTTAAGCTCATTGACGGCGAGGAGTACGTCATCGACCTTGCCGGCGCACAGTTCGGCCAGTACGCCGCGGTCCTTCCAGCCAAAGAGTACGACGGACAGTTAGTCCGCGAACAGCTTGCCACTAAGCCAATGGGTAGCTGGAAGCGATTCTGGTCCAACTTCGGGCAGGCCGGCGGCCACGATCTGGTGCCCGAAGAATTCGAATTCCGTGGCCCGACTATCGCGTTCCACTCGTCAGCTTTCGCAGAGTTGGCCTTGCGGCAATGGGATCGCCGCGCAGTCCGTACTGTTGCTGCGGGCGTAAAGGAGAAGAAAGCCGTCTTTATAGTGGGGAGGAAGTGTGTTCTCTCTGTCGTCTCGGAGTACACCAGTCTCTGGGTGCACCTGATATCCTCTCAGGACGGTCCAATATCACGATTCGCTGCGTTCATACAGGTGCAGCCGCACGCAAACAACGACTGGGTCGCCTGGGCACCGATCAAGACGTCAGACATCCACGACGTTGACGAATTGCCAGAAGCTGAAGGCCCGTGGTCGCCCCAGGGACTCCAGCCAACGGCCATGGCAAAGTGCGAGCAGCAGATGCAGGTGCTGAGGTCTTTCATTGATCGTGATTGAGAGAAATAGCGGCTTCGAAGCGAACATCGTGGTGAGAAGGCAAGAAGTTGAGGTCGATTTCCAGCAGCGCCTGGACAGAGTTCGTTTGACAGGGTCACCGGAGGATCAGCGCAAATGCGAGTTTCGGAATCAAGATAGCAGGAAGGAGCGCAAGCCAATGTTCTATCCTGTTATGGATGAAGCTGCGCGGTTGACGACCTGGAGTCTCGCCGGTCAACATTCAGTAGAAGTCATTGCTGTCGGTACAGTTTCAGAAACATTAGCTCCCACCAAAGTTCCATCCATCCTCTTCATCGTCTTGGTCGTCATCATTCTCCTTGTGAACCGCGTCGTCATCCGTGCCCGCATGCCCACCACCAAAAGCTCTCTGTTCTTCGCCCTCTGCATCCATGCCCTTCCGCAACGCCTCCCGCCGCTCCCGCAGCTTCCTCACTCTCTCTTCTAGCCCCTCCATCTCCTCAAACTCCTCCGCCATAGCCCTATTCGCATCCTCCCTCTCATCCTCCAATTCTTGATCCCGCTTGCCCTTCTGCGCTGAAGCCTCTTCCCTTGCCTGAGCTGCCAGCTGCTCCGCAGTCATTGGTGCCGCTGAGATGTTCGCTGCTGACTGTAGAGCCGAAGTCCTGTTGGTGCTTGACTCTGCTTCCAGCGCTGCGAGGTCCCGCTCAAATGCCTCTAGTTCGTCCGCATCCGCTGGCGCATCGTTGTCGGCAACGGGAGGAGCTGTTGGTGCTGGATCCCCCGGACCGCCTGATGATTCTGGGCCAGCCTCCTCCTCCACGATATCGTCCTCCACCTTCGGACCAACGTCCTCCCCATCGTCCTCACCACTCCTCACCCTCTTCTTCCCTTGCGCCGCTGGACTTTCAACATCCAAGCTCTCCGCCTTCCTCTTCTTGTTAACGACCTTTGCATCCACTGCACGCACGTCTTTCGCGTCTTGCGCCCGTTGCGAGCGAAGCGTATGCTGCGTAGAGTGGAGGTGACTCTGCCAGCTCGCCTCGCTTTTCACGAGTTTCTCGCACAGGTTGCATGACAGCTTGCCGTCGGTAGTGTATGATGCATTTGGATGTGTTATTCGTCTTGCTTGGCGCTCCGCGCGTAGGAGAGATCGGACGTCGGCCATGCTGCGATTCTGTTGTTGGATGTGTAGGCAATGAAGTGATGTCGAAGCCCTCGACGGTCATGTGATGATCTTGGCGAGCGCTAGCGGCCCGAGGAAGCTCTTTAGAAACAACCTCACCTCTCTGTTTCTTCCTTCTCCACATCAGCACTTTCGACGGAAGACATCAAGACTTCGCGCATCGCGTCGCAGCCGCTAGATGATTCGCGGTCTCCCGACTGCCACCCTCGACTATCTGATTCTGGCATCCTGAGACTTCTGAAGGTGGCGACGACTGTCGCGTGCGAAAAACATTCCGCGCTTTCTCGAGTCTTCCTTCTTGTGACGTGTTTTCACCCCGATTAGCACGCCTGGATTTCCGCGACTCTTGCGCACTGCGACTTACTGTGGTATCGACCCGCGACTCTTGCGGGACTATCAACGCACGAGCATCGACTATCTTTGCGCAAGACGCTCAGGCCGGGAGACCACCGCCTGGCAAGCACGAGAGTGGAGGAAGGGGAGTTTGCGGTCTTCTGGCAGTCTTGTTGTGCAGATACTTTGCACGAAGCGTCAGCGACTGTCAAAGCAGCGCGCAAGCAAGCAGCTGCAGCGGCTCGTGGAGCAGCTTCACGCGTATTTTCCATAGTGTGTGCAAGTGTCTCGAAAGCGTGTGTGCTCTTCTGTCGTATCCCAAGCGCCCATACGTCCAGCGCCAAACTCGGCGTGCGCCGTACCAGAGAACATGGCAGGTGAGCTGAACCCAACATAGAACCAGCACGTAGTCTCCCGCCCACGCGTATGGCACGCGAAATGGCGAGGACTACGTGTGTACAGTATGATCACAAGCTAACAGTCCTTCTCAGACGAACCACGCCGCTCTGGGCGAGCCACCAAAGGCCAGCATACCAATAACAAGCCATCATCCTCACCGGCTCCCTCCTTACCCAAAACAACGAAGACTGCCAAATCGAAGGCAGCAAAGAAGTCCGTAGAGCCCACTCCAACCCCGTCCGATGCGCAAGATGAACAAGACGACGACGAAGTCAGATGCATCTGCGGTAACACCGACCCGAACGATAAGCGCGCCTTCATCGGGTGCGATGAGTGCGGAGTATGGCAGCACAATGTCTGCATGGGCATCACGGAGAAAGAAGACGAGGTCGGCGACAGCTACTCCTGCGAGCAGTGTCGGCCGCAAGATCACGCGGAGACGCTGCAGGCGATGGCGAGAGGAGAAAGGATCTGGGAGGTCAGGAATAAGATTTACGCGACCGAGAAGAAGGCGGGAAAGAATCGCAAGGGGAAGAAAGAGCCGGGGTGGTTGAAGAAGGATGTGCCACTCGAGGAGGGCGCTACACCAGACCAGGAACCACAAGCGGCAGGGAGCAAGAGGAAGAGACCAAACGACGAAGCGGTCAAGGCACAGAGTGAAGAGCGACAGGAGACCATCAAGAGCGAGCAGGAAGATGTTGATGGTAAGGCAGGTCAGCCGCTGGCGAGGCAGGACAAGCGGCGCAAGTCCGCAGCTCCAGTGAGCGTGGATCCAGAGACGGAGATTGTGGGCATCGAGCAGTTACCGATCGATCGCCAGAAAATTGTCACGGCTTTGAGCAAGATCGTAGCCGACGACATCACCGCTCGGAGCAAGGCAGGCGCATACCGCATCCCAGATGGACACACGGCGAAGTCGCTCGGAGAGTACTACGCTTTGCGCATTGAGTACTCGCTGAAGATGAACCACGGTGATCCCGCCAGCGAAAGTTATCGCGCGCAGTTTAGGACGCTCAACGCGAATCTGAAGAAGAACAAGCTACTTATTGAGAGACTGCTCAAGAAGAGCTTGACGCCGGATGAATTGAGCACCATGAGCTCGTCAGACATGGCCAGCGAAGAGCTGCAAAAGGAACGCGCCGCCATGAAGGAGCAGCTGGACCGGCAGGCCATCGTCACCGAGACAGAAGGTCCACGCTACAGACGCACCCACAAAGGCGACGAATTGATTGAGGACGAGAACGCGCAGATGGGCTTCAGTGGCGCCTCTTCAGCGCAGCCGGTCAGGGAGCGGACGAGCCTTGCAGATGCTGAGATGGCGGACGCCGGCAGTCCAGCCGGGCCACCAGAGGGTGCTGCCTCACCGCAGAGGACAGGTGCGCAACCGCTGACGGTTAACACTCGTGGCGACAGCAACGCCGGCATGCAGGAGCGTCGGCAAAGCAGCCAGCAGTTCGACATGAATAGCATTTGGGGTAGAACAGCTGGCTCACCCACTGCCGCCTCTGGCCCAAGGCCTCTTCAGATGCCGCCACGCCGCCGCAGCTCCGTTCAGCAGCAGCAAGTCGGAGGCGGTGGCACCAAGGTCGACGCGGATGTTGATCGCATGCTTCAAGATGACGATGATGAAGCGTACTCACCAGCCGACTACACCGACCCAGACGCCGTTGTGTGGCGTGGCAAGCTTGTTCAATCCGCCGACTCAGTTGCTCCAAACGTCTGTGGCCGCTGGGTGGCTGGACGCGACATTAGTAGCACTGTGAAGTGGGACAAGCTGCTACCAGATCACCTCAACATCGACGGCAGACTCGCTATTGAGAAGGCCGAAGACTATCTCTGCTCGCTTCAGTACTCATCGTCCTCCGACGTCAGCGTGCTCGCTTTCACGCCGGCTGATGACGCAGATGCAGAAGGCTTCAACACATTCTACAACTACTTCCAATCGCGCTTGAGGTACGCTGTTGTCAAGGACGACAAGCCGGCGATGGTCAAGGATCTCTACATCATCCCATTCGAGCCCGGCGAGACCTTCCCGCCACACGTCGGCATGCTCGAGACGAACCACATGCTTGAGCATCCGTTGCAGCGAAAGACCTTGCTCGCTTCCTTCGTCATTGGCCGTGCTCCAGGCACTCCGCCGGTAGATCAAGGTGGTGCAGTGGCTGGGAACGCGTCTACCGCACCTCAGCAGCAGGCAGTCGGCGCCAACGGCCAGCAGGTCCTACCACAGCATATGAGGGCTGCGACACAGGGTCCGGCTGGTAGTCCCATGAACCCGAGCAGCTCTACCTTCTCGCCAGGCGCCGCCCACAACGCCGGCTTTCAACAACAACAACAACAACAACAACAACCAGCGGGCTACGGTACCGGCATTCCACCCAACCCCTACACACCAACCCCACCAGGTGCCGCTGGCAACCAGGCACCTCCGCCCGCCTGGCAACAGCATGGCCAACAACCCTACCCTGGCGGGCCTCCGCAAGGCCCTGGTCAGCAATTCGCGAATCCACAGATCGCTCAGATCTTAGGACCTTTCCTTGACTGCTCGACGGCGCAGGCTGTCCTTGCGGCCGACCCGAACCTTCCAATAGAGAAGGTGATGCATCTGAGGCAGATTCTGGAGGAGGAACCAAGGACGAGGACGGATTTGGTGGCGCTTGGGCAGAGGCTGGGGCAGTTTGGTCCACGGTAGGAAGGGCATGAGAGTGGGTGATCGATGAGCTGTGAGGGTGTAAGGGCAGTCGAACGAGTATGAACGGTGGAGGGTTGTCACGATGTTGTATTGCTAGGAGGCACGCGCGTATCTTCGCGCCGTTACCCTCAGAGCTATGTTCCTTCGCTTGCTTCAGAGAGCTACTTGGCGGGACGTTCCGTGCAGGATACCCATGGAGGAGGGGCTGATAGCTTATTAGTCGCAGGACACTTGCAACGATGTTTATTCTACTTCTTCACAAACGACTAATAGTACAGCAGTCATGCAATCACTAATGTACATACTCGCAACAGGGGTATCATCTTATGTAGCATCTATGAAAGGGTATCACGCCGGCAGCTTGCCCTTCAAGCTCGGCTTCGCCGTCGAAGGTATAGACATAGGATCGTCTCGCAGCCGGCTGAAATCCATGACCAAGTTGCCGGATTGTATCTCGTCCACCGGAACGACCTCGTCCATTCCCGCTGCTTGAACGCTCTCTAGCCATGCAGCTTCATCTTCGTCCTCTTCCACGTCGCTCGGTCCGTCTGCTGAAGACTCGAACGGTGTAGTCGGCCGGGCATGCGCGAAGTGCTGGCTCAGCTCTGATGTTCCCGGGTGTGAAGCATCGATCATGTTACTGCGACACTTTATTAGCCCAGCCCTTCCCCCAAACTCCCTTGTGCTCCAGCTTAACGTACTCTGTCGCTTCCATCGTAATCTGTTCCAGAGCCTCCCTCTCCCTCCTCAGCTCTTCTTCATCCGGCTGCGCAACCTCCTCGCTCTCAACAGTTCCATAGTCGCCTTGTCGAGTGCTCACGAGGGGGTCTGTCTCATCGTCCTAGTCGCGGTGTCAGTCCGAGGTGGAGGGGTTGTGGTAGATTCAGAGTGTACTGACGTCCTGCGAGGGATGCCGGTTCAAGCCGAGACACGACGCACAAGCACCCATCAAGAATGCTCACCTCCGCCTGCCGGACGTTTGTCTCACGTTGGAGGCGGTTCGCATGTGTGCGGTCTTGTTGTAGGGGTTATATCGGGTTTGTTTGGGGCAGGTCGAGGGTTCACAAAGTGGCTGGTCGAACGGGCTATGGCTTGGCAGAGGAGCAGAGGATCACTGCCAACGACTTCACGGGAAGCAACACGACTTCCATCGTCGTCCACCAACACTCCTTCGTCAAACTTCCACAACGATTCAGACGGGTGATGCCGAGGACTAACCTGGCAATGCAGCTGTTGGTCAATGCTAAATCCAATGGTGTGGTTCGCGTGAGAGTCGAAATTTCCTCCATCTCCTACTGTCATACCATTTCTCTCTCCTACTCTCGCAACGACAGCGGTAGCCCGCTCAAGACCCGAAGGTAGGCCGGACAATTCTTCCACCTGAAGCAGAACTTTCATCTCTTGCTCGCACAAAAGCTGTTCCTGCAGCTGTCAAAAACCAGACGCGTCCTATCACATTCTTTTGCGCAACCACTTACAGCCCCTTTGGGAAGGGATATAAACATAAGAATGAATGAGCTGCAAGGCCCAATGAGACGGTGGTGGGGAGAAATTCATGCTGTTCGGCTGGCCTTTGACTTAAACCTCCATTCCAGGCAAGGGGCGCGGAGATGTTCGCTCATTTGCGTGCCTCCAATCCACCGGGAATGAGTCCGATCTCAATACCACCACACAAGCTACGGCGGCGCGACTTGGACTACCTTCATGGCGGGCTGGGAATTTCTCCCTCTGCCGCAAGGACAGCACCTCCCCGTCGCACATTTCGAACCAGCCTGCCTCATCGGTCTGCCAGCTCCACTCCCTGCGCGGGCGACAAGGACTCCGACTACGAGTATCTGCAAGGCAGGGGCGCGGTCACTCCGGAGGTGGCTAGCTATACGACAGATCAGCAATGTATTGAACCTGTTCAGATGTATAAAGACTTTCCATGGGCACTCCAACTCTTGAGGTCTGCATCATCCACCAGGAGACCCAGGAATACGATCATTTGCTCGCCGCTTTGAGATTGAAGACTCTGCTTGACACTCGTTAGTAGCAGAGCTTCAACATGCGCTCTTTCCTTACGACGGCCGTGTGCCTTACACTCGTTTCTTGCTCTGCCGCTCGAGTCACGGCGCCACACTCATACCGCGATCTGCTAGGACAGGAGGAACACAAGCCTAAGGTTCACCAGGAGGAGAACGCATTCGTCAAATGGTTCAAAGGCCTGTTCGCGCAACGAGCTGCGGAACCGACAACGACAAGCGTGGACAGCACCTGCTATGAGGATGCCTACTTTGAATTCGCCGGCGATCTAGGACAGGACTTCTGCCAGGACTACATGAACTACCCCAACGTGACTTTCACCATTGATTTCACCCCCGTCAGGTAAAACCAATGTCATCCTCATGAAGATCATTGCTAACATTGTTGCAGCACCCTCACCACAGCTTACACCACCCGGGTTTCCACCACAACGTCGCTTACACGAGTGACTCCAACATCGACAGTCACTGTGACCGTTCGTGCCAGCACCTCGACAGTTGATAATGCTCCCGGCGTCACTGCGAGGGCTCTCCGTCAAAAGATGACTTTCGACGACGCCGTCGAGGAGTTCAATCCCAGGTATCGCCGGCAGGAAGATAGCACTCCTAACAGCAGCTCTTCCATGAGAGCGGCATTCTCTAGTGCTTGCTCCTGCCAGGACTTCGCACACCCAACAGTCACTGTTACGTACACAAACGATCCAACAGTATGTGCCTCTCCCAGCTTTTGCGGACCGTACTGACCATCTTGACAGGTCGAGACTCTCTCCGCCTTTGAAAGAACAACGACCACTGTTCAAACGACGAGGACTGCTGCAGCCAGAGAAGTGACCACGACAGCTACAGAGGCTGCCTCCACTCCCTCTACTACCCAAGCCACGACGTCTGGGTCTCCAACCTCTGGAGTCGCCCCGGCTGAAGACAGCTCAAGCACTGAAGTCACTACATCGACTGATTCTGACTCTGGCTCTGCGGCCACCTCGTCTGGTGGTGCTCCCACCCCAACCGCTGCGCCATTCACCTGCCCAGAGGATGACAACACTTCGATCAGCGAGATGGTGGGCAATGAGCGCTTCGACTACCTCGTCCGCTGCGACACTGTGCTTATGGACTCGGACCTTGGCGGGACCGCTTTCGAATTTTCTGACCTTCAGCAATGCGTTGGCGCCTGTTCAATCGCCAATGCCAACTTCGACGACCCGGTCTGCCAAGGTGTATCATTCTTTGCCCAGGAAACCAGTGATACCGGCAACTGCTTCTTGAAGACCTCAGCCAACCTCACTGTGGCGGCTCCCGGCATTGACAGTGCTTTCTTGCTGCGCATCGCCGTTGGCATCGACAACTCATCTGCCACGAGCACCGAAGCTGCACCCTTCAACGGCGCTAGCACTTCGCGCGATCCAGCACAGGTCAGCTCCATGATGTCTTCGATGTTCAGCAACAGCTCCTCTAACATGCCTGTCATCACACCAAGACCATTCGTCCCGAGCGGCATGATGGCAAATCCTCCATACACGGCATACTCTACTTTCGTCTCGGAGGGCTCAACATTCTCGACTGGGACTGGCTACACTTCTGCTACGACTTTTGCAAATGGCAGCTGGGTTTCCTCTTACTTCACCTCCTTCACGGTCGCCTATGAGGTCTCTACAGCCATTTACGGCGCATCAGCTGGCGGCTACCAGTTGACCAACTCTTCGAACACGCAGACCGAGCAGTTCAGTGGTGCCAATGGTGGCAGCAACCAAACCATAACGACCAACAGCACGTCCTTTTACCCAGGAGGGTACAACGTGACCACAGTGGTCACCAATCTGGGCTTTGACGCTAACGGCACCGAGGTCTACTCGACGGCCACCACGTATTACTCCAGCTATCAGACTGCAGGCGCATCCAGTGGGAGCGTCAGCAGCTCCGTGGCAGGTTCGCCAGCTTCTGCAAGCGCCGATCTGTCTACTTCAGCCTTTTCAACCGTGGTAGTCAGCTCAGGAGGTACCGGCGGTGCCTACTCCACTGTCACTTCCGGAGGACCTACGCCAACTGCTTACTCGTCGGCCACAACAATCGTCAACACCTACGGAACAGCGTACAGCTCTGGATACGTCGTCTCAGGAGTCGTCGCTAGTTCTGGTTTCGGCGGCGAAGCAAGTGGTGTTGGTTCCGGCGCCCCAGCTTCGACTCAAACGAGCTTGGTGACCGAAATCATCAATTCTGGCGGCACTCAGGGCGCTTCGAGTGGATTTACAGCTGGCGGGCCTTCCAGCACACCTTCGATGAGTATCGAGACCATCATCATCGGCTCGGGCGGGACACAAGGCGCTTCGAGTGGGTTCGGCAGCGGTGCTCCAGCCTCGACTGGCACACTCCCGATCACTGTCATCGTGAGCTCTTTCGGCACGCAGGGAGCCTCGAGTGGATTTGGCGCAGGCGGACCGAGTGGCACTGGCACCGCACCTACAACTCCGATGTCTGCTGCTGTCAGTTCGTATGGCACTCAAGGAGCTTCAAGCGGATTTGGCGCTGGCGGACCAAGTGGCACTTCCCCAAACACCCCGATTTCCGTGATTGTCAGTACCGGCGGCACACAAGGCGCAAGCAGCGACATGATATCTGGAGGACCTTCGCCATCATCGACAGGAGATTTCTCGAACACTGGTCCGCCGCGGAGCCCATTCCCAAGCAGTGGCAGCACTGGAATCGAAGCCGCACCATCAAACGCGACTACTTCCCCCGCTGGAACTGCTGAGAGCACGCTTCCTTTGTTCCCTTCGACAGGCGCTTACATTGCTCCTTCGCCAACGGCTCCAGCAGGCACGGCTCCACTGAGCTCTGCTTCTGGCGACTTTTCGAACACTGCTCCGCCGCGCAGCCCATACCCAAGCACTGGAGTTGCACCCTCAGGGACTGCTCCAGGCACTTCGCCGAGTGGCTCGATGCCGTCTGCTTCAATGCCGTCTGCTTCAATGCCCTCCGGTACGATGCCATCTGGAACCGCGCCACTGAGCTCCGCTTCTGGAGCATTCTCCAACACCGGCCCGCCACGCAGTCCTTTCCCAAGCAGCGGCACAATGCCAGGAACAGCCTCAGCGAGTGAGAGTGAGAGCACCTCCATTCCATTCCTTACGAATACAAGCGGCGGATACACCGGCTTCTTGCCACCAGGCACCGCAGCCACTCCATCTGGTACTATGCCAATGCAGTCAAGCACAGGCAGCTTCGGCGCACCGACCGACAGTAGAAGCCCCTTCCCAAGCTCAGGCACTGCGCCTCTGAACACCGCGCTACTGGGAACAGCATCTGGTCCGATGCCTTCAGGAACTTCGCCACCACACCCGCCTTACGGCTTTGCACCCCCAGGCTTGACGACCGCACCGATGGCGACGGGGACGAGCCCAAGCAATTCTACGTATCCAGTCGTCGTGGGCCCTACGGCCGGCCCCTCAACCTGCAATAATGGCACCATGGGCACGACGACAGTCTTCATCGAGACCACTGTCTATGGTTGCTACTCCACCTGCCCGCCCGCGGCATGGGGAGGCTATGGCGGAGGGCCTCAGGCCTTTGGTCCAGCGGAGACGAGCACGACAATTTCGTGATCTGCGGCCGCGGTGAGAAGTGATGTGACGACTTGACGAATGGTGTGTATGGGCATCTAGATTTCGCTGCTGGCAGTCCTTTTCCTGGTTGTTTGTAGCGTTCGCAGAACACGCAGCGGCTTTGGAGTAATGTGTATTGAAGGGAACTCTAACTGCACTGCACGCATAGCTCAATAGATCGCGATGGGATATACTTACTTGTACTCGACGATTTCAACTGCTCTCCAGTCCATTTTCGTAGGGTGACTTCCCTCCCACATCACCATACCTCTTCTTTGCGCTTGCCTCCTCAGAATCCTTCCACTCACAAGCCCAGGGTCACTTGCTTGCGCTGACAGCTAGATCCACTCTCTCTTCAATTTACCTCCACTCTTAGGACTGGATCCACAGACAGTCTGCACACACAGCGCGCCCGGTACACCTACTCGTGCTATCGAAGTATTCTCTCCCTCCAGGCATTGCCAAGGCTCGTAACCACGGGTCAAACAAGCTTCTTACCACGGCCGTTGTTCCTGGATATCCCGATGAAGTCAGACCACGGACAACAGGCCAACAGGCTCACTGCCGAGCTGACATGCCATGCGTTCTGGTAGGCAATGCGAACGCTCTGATCAGGTTCAAAGTCAGGCACAGGTAAATGAGGATATGGAAACACAAAGTCCTGCGAGAAACAGTCCGACATCGAAGTAAACATTCCCGGTAGATCAATGCATCTGGAGCCAAATTTAGCTACAGCTACAAGCTCGAGCCAGATACAACCAAACCACCTGGACTTCGCATCGTCACGGATTGAAACTACTTCTTCGCGACAGAATGACCAGCACCTCTCCTCCCTGGTCGGAGTCCGCCTAACATTGTCGGGACTTGACAGCAGGAGGAATGCCGTCTTCGCCTTCGCACTCGGGTCCTCACACATGAAAGCAGACCCGGTAGGCGGCCAAGGCGTGAGACAGTGCGGCTGGCTTCGGTGTGCTGCAGGGCCGGACGCCGATCTCTGAGAGCTGCAAGTAGATATTTAGGTTGTCGGCCCCAACGGCCTGCGAAGGTGATGCGTTGAAGGGGACGCCTGTCTTTCTTACAATCTACTGACCGACTACTGGGTACTGTTGCCCTATCATAACCATCCCATATCAAACTTGAAGGGCCGTTGTTCCCTCCTCCAGCGGTCGTCGAGCTCTCAATCCCCCCACCGTACACCGCTCGACCACAATCATGGCTCCAGCTTCACCAGATGGCTTGAACATCATCATCCTCGGCGGCGGTATCGCCGGCCTCACCACCGCCCTCGCCCTGACCAAGTTCGCTCCCGCAGGCAAAGTCCCCAATATCCAGATCTTCGAGATCCGTCCCACCCCAGCGACCATCGGCGGCGCCGTCAATCTCACCCCCAATGCCTTGCGCCTGCTCGACCACCTGGGCGCTCTCTCTATCATGAAGGAGCGCGAGTTCGGCCGCACCATCGACTTCCTCGAGGTCTTTGACGTCTACTCTGGCAAGCTCGCGGAGTCTGACTTCTCCGGTGCTGATGGGAAGGGGATCGGTGACCCGCCGTACAAGGCTCTGCGGATTACTCGCGGTGATGCACTGAAGGCTGTGCTCGCGGCGGTGGAGAAGCAGGAGAACATCACGATGACTTGCGGCAAGCGGACGACTACGATTGAGGAGACTGCGGATAAGGTTACTCTTACATTCGAGGATGGTGGAAGTGCCTCTGGTGAGCTGTTGATGGGCTGTGATGGTATCCACTCTGCCACCCGTCTCAAGCACGTCGAGCCGGAACGCAAGGCCGTCTACTCGGGCGTTTCGAACGCTTTCGGCTTCGCCAAAGGCCTGCCCAAGGACTTCCAGGTGCACTTTGAGTGCACCGCTATCAACTTTGCTCGCCGCGGCATGCTTCTGACGAGTTACTTCTCGAACGACACGAGCCAAGTCTACGTTGGTGGGCTTATGCAGGTTGAGGACATTGGATCTCGGGATGGCTGGAAGTCTGTTGGTGCGGATGCAGATAAGACCCGAGCGAATTTGCTGGATCGGTTTGGTGATGCGAAGATTCCCTGCATTGTGCCGCTGATCGAGAAGGCGGAGGACTTCTACCTCTGGCCTGTCTTTACGCTCTCGAAGCAGGGGAAGTGGTCTACCGACCGTGTCATGCTTCTCGGCGACGCTGCTGTAAGTCGCTTACTCACCTAACCCCTTCACTGTCACATGCTAATGGACGCAAACAGCACGCCATGCCCCCTCAAGGCGAATCCACCGGCATCGTCTTCGAAGACACCGTGCTCTTCTCTCGCTGCCTGACGCGCTGGATCGAAAAGGGCCGCCCCAACAGCATGAAAGAGGCCTTTGAAGCCTACGAGAAGCTGCGCAGGAAGAGGATCGAAGACGCGTTCGAGGAGTCCAAGGACGTTGTCCGGACCGTATCGGATGCCGGATGGGTCGGCCATACGATCAAGACGTACGTCGTGCCGTGGTTCTTGTGGTGGACGAGGGCGAACCGGGAGAAGCATTTTATTGAGGATGTTACTACGGTGGATATTGGGTACTAAGTGGAGGATGATGAGGCTGGAGGTGGGTGTTGTTGGTGTATGCGTGGTTGAATGGCGTTGGACGGCGGGAAGGGAGCTGGAAGACGCATTGGGAGGATATTAGAGTCTCTACTTCTTTATGAACCATTCTCACTATTTCCTGTCTCGGTCTCGTTTCGCTCATATCTTCGCATCATACATTTACCTTGCTTCACACACGTCACGAGTTTGATTGCACAAGCACATTGAATGGCTGATACCTCAATATTCGATTGTTGGGTGCCAACAAGGGAGAAAACTAACAACTTTGATGAAGAAACATCGCAAGACGAATCAATGTGGCAGAAGTGATACATCCGTGGCTGAGTATGCTGTATAATACTTCTAAACCATCAAACGATATCTCTTCCATCCAAATCATTTTTTTCCACCTCACACTCAAACATTATCCACGATCCCCACAAACCACCTCCTAACCAACGGGACGCCCTAGCCCAGGCCTTCCCCCTTCTACTACGAAGTAATCATGCCATGCTCGCGTAAGACCCGCGTTGAAACCGTCGAAAGGATGTCGAAACCCCGGCGATGACGCGCTTAGATGCCGATGGAGCGCTTGACGCCCGGTGGTGGGGGAGCAGGGCAGGTTGGCTCGAACACGCCGAGGTTGACGAGCCAGGCGCCGGAGTTGAACCTGCAGACACACGTTGTTAGTGATTATTTCAAGTATGACGGAGTGTTGGGGCATATGCGTACTCAGAGTAGACGGTCTGGATCAACCACGGCTCGGACTTGGCCTTCCTGGGCTTGTTGGGGGTGGCCTCGATGACAATGTTGCCGGTCACGGGCTCAGGCTCTTGGCCCGGGCCCTCGGAGCGCCAGCGGATGATGACGGTGTCGCACGTGTGCCAGATGTTGAGCTGCTCGAAGGGGCTGTAACACCACATATCAGTCCCTGATCGATCAGCGCTGCGGTCCCTTGCAAAACTTACATGGCTGGCTGAGAGCCCTGGCCGGCCTTGAACTCCTCGAGGGAGGAGAAGGTCGGGCCGTTGAGGTCCTGCGGGCCGGTGCAGCCGCTGTTGATCAGGGTGTTGACGCCGGCGGAGTAGTCGGTGAAGTCGGTGGTCATGGTCTTGTCGGCGAGGTCGTCGCTGTAGTCGGCGATGAGGGTCCTGAAGTTGTCCGCGACATGCTGGGCCTGGGAGTCGCTCATGCACTTGGCGGCACGGGCAGTGTTGGCCGCGAGGGCGGTGGTCGCGAAAGCGGCGGCGAAGATGGCGGAACGCATCTTGATTATTTGGCTGGTTGGTGGTGGTCGGAAAAGGTGGTTGTAGATTGAAGAATTAAATTATCGTGTTTAACGAGTGAATGACCCTAAGGGCGAGTTGGACGACTTGAAGGAAGTTGTTTTAGAAAAGCTGTTGACGGGGGGTGGGAAGATGGGAGGAGGAGTACTTATTATCACGGGTTGGAGCCCTCACAACGAGCGTCTCCTGGATCGTCTTGGCTCCAAGCTTTTTCAGCACGGGGCGTAAGCGTCGAACCAGACCACGCTGACACCCCCTGTCCGTGGACTCCTTGTCCCAGATCAGGCGCACCTAAGCCGCCTTGGGCCAGATTAGGCGTCTCTTCGTGCGACGAAGCAATCGAACTCCACCTCAGGCGATTCATGAACTCCGGTAGACACCCACCTTGCACCAACGACTCCGCACGCGCTCTATCCTGGCCGCGACGCATGCTGTCCATAGGCGAACGCGCAGATTCTGTGCGACCAGCATCGGGAAGTCAGCACGCATTTCGCATTGCAATCTCGCGTGCAGGGGCCGAAACGAAGCGCCAGCTCGTGATCGCGTATAGACCGTTGGAGGCAGCCAAGATCTGTAATCTCCCCTTCCGTTTCCTTTCGCAAAGGCTCCCAGGGCTTTGGGGAAGTCTAAATTGAGATTTTGGACCCAGAACTGCTCTTGGCGCCTGAAGAAGTGATTGCTTACCATCAACAAGTCTGCTGAGGAGAGGCAGAAAAGAAAGACCCAAGGGCTGAGGTTGGAGGTGAACCGGACGAGCATGTGGGGTGCCAGCTTCTCTAAATTCGTCAAGCAGCAAGGTGGCTGCTTCTTCGGGTGGTTGCGGATGCCGTATTGAGAGTCTTGTTGCTTCACTGTCGGAACACATAATACTACCAAAAGCAGAGGACTGGGCGAATATGCTACTACGTTGCCAATGCTGACCTCAAGACCATTGTTCTCGACACGTCGCGAGACCGACCGACTTGAATACCTATGGTTCCACTGAATGTCATTCTGTACTGCACATCATATGGTCTGGAAGTCTGGAGCGGCGAAGCGCAGACCCGAGGATTTGTGGCTGTTTATACTTTTCGCCACCACGGCGACTGTTGATGGGTCGATGAGATCTCGGACTGAAAATCCACATGGCAGTGAGACAAAGATCTCGCGACCAGCCTGATAGCTATGGCCTTAAAGTCTGTGTATTGGGACGAGCTGTCCTCGAGTTCGATGTGGACTGGAGTAGTGAAAGGCTCGACAATGCCCACTCTGAGTAGTGTCGAACGATGCAAGGCAACGGTAGAGGGCTTGTATATCGACCCGTTATCGTCGCATACCTTGGCCAATTCTTGCGTGAGTACAAGCAGAAACCACCGGCTAAGCACTTCTCTCGGCATCAAGTGCCAATGTCATGAAACTTTCGTCTTGGAGTCTTGGAGTAAAGCACATCTTGTCTTCCCAAGACTTAAAGTCGTCGATTTGGGTATCTCGTTCTTCTTGATGATATTCCCTGTGCAACGCAGAGAACACATCTGTCAAGCGTCGGGCGTCCGTTCCACTCACCAGGACAATCCCGGTACCATCTCGTTTGTTCTCCCGCGACACATAGCCGATGCCCTAGGCACTTCGTCCTCGTTGGCCCGCTCACCTATCAGAAGACGGATGGTTTACAGCGTTGATAGCTCGTACCACCTTCAAGGCTAGGGCGTGGGGCACCATCCTTCGCCAGTCCGAGAACAGCATCTCTCCAGTGCGTCAACACAACAGCATCCCGATTTCTTCCATCGATTCCCATACACCCCCTCATCCCACCTCTCCCAACTTCGTCTTCCCGTAAGCACCGCCCATCTTCTTCCGTTCCTCCAGCGCCTGCCGATATGGCGGCGCAGTAGGCGGCTGCACCGGGTCGAGACTGATATGTCCTTCCGGAAGCTTATGGCTTGCATCCGCGTCGAAAGCAGATAGGTCACCACAGGCTAGGAAGGGAGCGATCCAGCGGGTGTCGCTGACCTCCTTGTTCAAGTCCAGGTCTTCGAGGACGGCGTCAAGCTCTGTTATGCCGTCTTCCGTATGGGTTCCTGAAAGCTCAACTGAACCCGATGATGCTGATGCTAAGGTGTCCAGCTTGCGGCCAGCTCCCAGAGGATTGTCCAAACTAGCTTTGAAGCCAGCAGGTGGCCTGAAGTTCGAGCAGACGATAAACGCCTCCACGCTGCTCGCCCTACTGCTTCGTGGCTTCGCAACCACCACGCTCTCAAACACCACCTTTAGCTGAGCATACAAGATATCAACATCCTTGCCCCTGAAGATCTTCGCCACGAACCTCCCACCGGGCTTGAGAACGCACAGTGCCAGGTTGAGTGCAGCCCAGAGTAGTTGCGATTGGATGTAGATGTCCAGGTCATGTAGACCCGTGACATCAGGTGCGCCGTCCGAGAGGACCAAGTCGACGGGATGAGAAGCTTCAACAGACGTGGAAGAAGGATCGTACTCCGGATCTAGCGCGTTGAGTAGTAGTGGTATCGTAGAAGGGTGGGTAATGTCCGCTTTCAGACAGGTGATGCCTTGCAGCGGCGACATGGGCTGCAAGTCGATGGCGACTATCTTCACGTCTTCTCGAGGTTCGGCTGCCGGTGGCTCTGCGGTCTCGATGCTGGGTAGTAAATCCGCTGCTTCTCCAGTCTCTCTGAGCCTGAGGATTGCTTTGTAGCGTTTGTCTTCCCATGCCGCTCTACCGATTCGCTCGCCTTGGATCAGTACTCGCGAGAGGACTTGAGACCAGCTCCCGGGTGCGGCGCAGAGGTCGACTACTCGCGTTACGCCTTCGAAGAGGTTGAATTCTTCGTCCAGTTGGAGGAGTTTGAACGCTGAACGCGCACGCCATCCTTGTTCTTTGGCCAGGCGGTAGTATGCGTCCCGTTTGTCTTTGGAAGATTTGCCCATTTTTGAAGTGTGTTTTCGTTTTCCGTGGCGATGAAGTGAGCAAAGAGCAAAAGGATGGTCTGGAGTTAGAAAGGTACAAGTTTGGAGCACTTGGCAGCGACTCCAGGTCTGCGAAAGCGATCAGATGCATTGCAGTTTTCCAACTTGTCGAAAAGATGACAGTGTGTTGATACTGTAGATTCATAGCAAGTGAACAACTATCATTACTGACTCCCTCCAACAAACGTCATGCTACACTGGTAGACAACCCATAAAACACCACCTCATCATCCTCTCTCTTCAAACCCTACGCCTTCACCAGAGTAATAGGCGTACACCCACTCGTCGCCGCATTCTCCGCGCTGAACAAATATACCACCCCGGCACACATCATTACACTCGTCGCCCCACTCGACGGACTCTGCACCACGAACGAATTATCCGCCCGCAGACAAAACTGCACCGCGTCCGCCCCTCCCCCACCATAGCCCGCCGGACTGGTGAGTGAGTCGAAGAAGATGGGCGAGTTGCCCGCGTTGTCGCTGTCCTGGTCCGAGTACAGCGTCTGCCCGCCCGTGATGACGAAGGAAGTCTGTCCGTTGGAGACGGCGGAGAATTGCAGAGCTTGTCCGACCGCGGAGGTGAGCGTGAGGGATTCGTGGTCGCTGTTGGGGCTCCCGCCGCCGGAGGTGGAGGTCAGGTAGGCGGAGCCGAAGTTCTGGATCACGATGCGGAACTGCCCGGTGGGGACGCGGCAGTTGGCGACGGTCGGCGGGGCGGCGGTGGCGCAGGCGGCGCGGCTGGTGACGGTGCGGGTTTGGGTGCGGGTTTGGGTGGAGGTCTCGCAGTAGCCGGGTGGTGCGCTAGAGGAAGAAGGGAGTTAGCTGGATTAGCTGGTGGTTGTGTATGTGGCAAAGAACTTACCCAGCATCCGTTACAGTTCGAGTGCGTGTGACGGTTCGAACGGCAGTTGCTGTGTTTGTAATTGTAGTCGGTGTGCAGTAGCCTGCAGGGGCTTCTTCTGTTGTCGTGATCCGGCGTACTTGAGTTCTCGTGACTAGAAAAACAGCTGCGTTAGCTCACTGCTGTCTGCATTCACCAACTCGCCAGCGGATCGCAGCAGCGGATAGAAGGGTTGACATACTGGTAGCGGTGGAGTAGACATTGCTCACAGCCGTGGCTGTTGCCGTCAAAGTGCGCTCAGAAGTGACAGTAGCTGGAGAATGCGTTAGCCGACAATTGCTCACAGAGCATTCCCGTTTGACCTTTCTTACCAGTTGAGAAGACCTCAGTAGTCTGCGTACGAGTGCGGATAGCAGTTCGAGTAGACGTCGTAGTTTCTGTAATTGTTGAAGCCGCAAGAGTGCGCGTGACTAATCGACGGTCAGCTCCTTTCTCATCGAAGACATATTGATTCGAGACTCACCTGTGAGAGTAGTCGTGATCGTTCCGGTGGTGAAGTACGAATCAGTAGCTGTGATTGTCCGAGTGCGAGTTCTTGTGGCTACCGATCCCGGAAGAGTTGTGGTCACTAGAGAACACATGGTCAGCTCGGCCCTCGATATGCATTCTCGGCGAGATCTACCTGTCTGGACCTCCTCGCTCGTGGCTACCTCAGTGCGGGTGATCGTCCTCGCCGGCTGTCGAACCGTGGTAGTGCGGGTCTCCGCGGGCAGAGTCGCTGTCTGAACAACAGTCGAATACCTGTTGCTGATCTGATTTTGCGTAATGGTAGCAGTTTCCGTCGTCGTGCGAGTTCTAGTGAGATAGATCGTAGCCGGCGGGCTGCCCGATGCATAGCTGGTCAGCGTGGCGTATTCTGTCGTCGGCACCGTGCTGTATTGAGTAGGTCCAGCTGCTGTCGCTGTTATTGAAATCGTCTCGGGAGAGCATGAAGAAGCAGGCAACGTGGTGGTTACTGTCGATGCCCGCCGCACGCGGGTCGCGGTCTCGATGATAGTGATTTGGCGATCGCAAGTAGGATACTGGGTCGTGATCGTGACGGTCGAAAGTCCGCTGGAGAAGACGGTGTCCGTGTTCGGTGGAAGCGGAGGCGCTCGAGACCGGGTGGGAGTTCGCTTGGTTGTAATAGTTTCCGTGACCGTCAGACCTATGCAAGTTGAGTTGCTTCCCGCGACCGTAATGTAAGCAGTCGTAACGCTTGCCAAGGTTCTCCTTCCTTTGGTGACCGTGATATAATCGGTAGGAGATCCCGCGATGGTCGTCGTCTTGCCTGGCTGCCATTTCGTTGAAACAACGGTGATCTATAGAGCAGATTAGCGGATGTTTCAGAGATTCGCCGCTCAAGACGCATTATGCTCTCGCGACTCGGGTGGGCAGCTCGAATAATCGACTTACCGTGTTAGCCGGCGCAGTGTTGTTGCGATAGCTGGTGATCGTAACCGCAGTCCCATTGCCAAAGAGCGTCTTCGTGGATATCGATCCCGGAGCCGTGATTGTGCTCGGAGAAGGCGTCTCACAAGCTCTATGCTGCGTCTTCGTCAAAGTAGTTGGCTTGCAGCTCGAAAGAAAGAAAGTAGAGCTTCCAGATGTGTATGGCGTGAAGCTGTGGGATGTTGTTTGCCGCCTGCAAGTTGAGATGGTGCTCGTGAACACGAAAGGAGTCGTCTTCGGATGGTTGTGCTCGCACTCATCGCAGTCTTCCGTCGTGGTCACATAGACCGGAGGCGGCGGGTGCATATGCTCGCATTCGTGACATGGTTCGAGCTGAACAGGGACCGGGGGCTCGTCTTCGCACTCCGGACATGGCAGAGCGTCGGGGACCGCTGACGCGAGAGAAATAGGAGAGAAGAACGCGAGGAAAAAGAAGGACAAGGTAAAGACCGACATTGAGACGACGTCTCGGAGCGAGTGTTACTGGGCCAAAAGCAATATACTAACCGTGTTGCAGTTTGAAGGGTATTGCTGTGTCCGCGAAGTGTTGGACTTCCCAGACCCGGCCATGCGGCTGTGGCATTCTGGGCGAGCCGCATCGTAAACAAGTTGGTGGAAGATGAGATGCCAGCGACTGGAATGCAAAACAACATCTTAGATGCAGACCAACCTAAAACCAGACGTCAATGGTTCTGCTCGGCCGTATTAGCGGGGATGCAATCGCAGCACGTGTACTGGAAGGGTGTAGTAGGAGGTATAGCCGTCGCAATGGATGATATTCATGGTTGAGCGTGCTTCATGGCGGAATTTCCTTCAAGAACTTCTGGGCTACACCAGGATAGCCGTTTTCGTAGGCTGCCCTGGTAGGACTCTAGCCGTAGCGCGGGACTAGATAGATACTCGTGGTAGTGCGAGTAGTGAGAGGCGAAGGATGTCCAAGGTTTCTCATTGTTGTGTGAAGCCTGTGCCTTCTCGAGCAAAGCGTCGAAAGCGCCGCCAGCGTACATGTAGCCACTGATATGACCTTGACTTCATGACGGAGAAGGGGCGGAGTAGACCAGGCGTCAGATCTTGGACCCATCGAGGCAGAAAGTGATGCCGTGGACGATCCGCCGCGTCTCGAAGATCGTAAGAACTTAGAACATGTTATGGAACATGTTCAACTGGTGAAAATGCAACATGAGCTAGCGCCGCTTGATATGGGCCAATGAGAGCTCGTCATTTTCTAGCCAAATCAACACCATCTTCAACTCAATGCCTTCAACCACACCCATACTTCGCTTTCAGTGAGCAACGACATTCTGCGAAACACCACAATGGCTTCCAAGCAAGCCACCGTAGCCTCGTTCGTGGAGTCTGCGCCGCCGGGAGAGGTTGGTAGGAAGAACCTGCCGACTTACGAAGGCCTTCGCTGACCTGTGTTAGCTGTCCAATGTTGTAGCGGGTGTGTAGACACATGCCACCATGCTTGAGCTGGTTCTGACCGGATGAACAGACATCAAAGCATTGGCGAGTAGTGAGGTCCAATCGCTAGACTCAGCGTTCAAGAAGTACAATGAAGAGCAGTATACTACTGTGAAGCTGCCTGGGAGTAGCGAGACGGTAGGTCTAGAAGAGTATGCAGTCGGTCACCTTCGGAACTGAGACAGGATAGGTCTTGATTAGCAAGTACAACTCTCTGGACGACGGGCGGTACTTCGACACAGCCAGCCAGACCGCATTCGACTTCGACCACGCCTCGCAGGTACGGCCGTCCACCCTTCTTACCTGACTCTTCTTGTCTTGCTCACACATCTCAGAAAGCCTCCAACGCTCAATCTCACCCCCTCGACTCTCCCCACGCCGACCAGGTCCGCTCCCTCCAAACCTCCTTCTCCCGCGCCGCAACCGAACACTTCCCCACCTCCACCATCGGCGTCTACCCCACCTCCTCATCCATCGCCATCCTCCTCGTCGCCAACAAGTACTCCCCCCAAAACTTCTGGAACGGCCGCTGGCGCTCCACCTACCTCCTCGACCCCTCCTCCAACACTCTCTCGGGAACAATCAAAGTGGACGTGCACTACTACGAAGACGGCAACGTGCGCATGAGCACGAACAAGAAGGTCGAGGCCAGTGGGGTTGGAGGGGCAGATGCGGTGGTGAGGGAGATTGCCAAGGCGGAGAATAAGTATCAGGAGGAGTTGAATCGGGCGTTTACTGCATTGGCGGAGGGGAGCTTTAAGGGTTTGCGGAGGCAGTTGCCTGTTACGAGACAGAGGGTTGAGTGGGAGAAGATTGGGGGTTATAGGGTGAGTTGTCATCGCACCGTTCGAAGGCGTTATGTTGGTACTGACCTTTGGTGTGCAGCTTGGGCAGGATGTTGCTGGTGGGAGGCAGAGGTAGTGGGGCGCTCCTCCCGTGTATGGCGGACATGGTGGTGAAAGGAAGCGGGTGTGGACAGGGCTATGAGCTTGACATAGCAGGCTATCTGCTGCTACGGAACTCGATGCCGAGCTGCAATACCGCATACACTACATTGCAGCAACACAACCCAAATCGACCCTTTCCATATGTTGACATCCGCCTCCTCCGTTTCAAATCGTACGCCGGACTATATACTGGGTCATTGTAATTATATCTTTGACATGCACATGCCAAATTAGGCCTTCCATGACATGGGTGGCATCGATCTGGAGCTTGCCCCGCCTCCATCTCGTGCCTTGCAGAGTGAGACGGGAAGGACGATCAGATCACCAGCTAACGACCATCACATGTCTCGACAACGTCCTGTTATCAAGCTCCATAATTCCTTGTGATCGTTTATACTTCTTCAGCATCACAATCACCGGCAGAAGCAATGCCAGACTAAAGCAATTCAACCTTCCGAAATCGGCCTCCTACTATGACGCCGTCGAAGTGCCTCAGACACCCCCCAAACTCTATCCTCCGCCCTACTCAACCTCGTGGTCGTCTCTTCCACCTCCCCTCCTCCTCAGCAATGCCACAACGATCTCCCTCCCTCTCAGGACCAATGGGGTCCCTTCCACTCCCCGACTTCCTCTCGAAACGGCTATTCTCCTCGACCCCGCAAAAGAAAAGCCTCAACATCAACAACATCAACCAGAATGTCGTGCACGCCCAATATGCCGTCCGCGGCGAGCTAGCCATCAAGAGTGAGCAATACCGCGCACAGCTGGCCAAAGGCGAGGGCAAGGACCTACCTTTCGACTCGGTCATCAGCGCCAACATCGGGAACCCGCAGCAACTGGACCAGAAACCTTTGACGTTCTTCCGACAGGTAGCGAGTCTACTAGAGAATCCAGAACTCCTAGAGCACGAGCAAATACTCCTAGATAAGCTGGGCTACAAGAGCGACGTCGTCGAGCGAGCACGACGGCTCCTCAAAGACGTCAAGAGCGTAGGCGCCTACTCACAATCCCAAGGCGCGCCCGGCATCCGCCAGAGCGTGGCAGACTTCATCGAGAGACGGGATGGCTACTCCTCCGACCCAGCGAACATCTACCTCTGCGCTGGCGCGAGCTCGGGCGTGAACGCGTTGATGAACGTGATTTGCTCGACGCCGCAGACGGGCGTGTTGGTGCCGATACCGCAGTATCCGCTCTACTCTGCCACACTACGGCTGATGAATGCGCATATGGTGCCGTACTACTTAAAGGAGGACGCGAACTGGGCGACGGATGTGGGAGGGATGAGAGATGCGTTGAAAGAGGCGCAAGGGAAGGGGATAGATGTGCGGGCGGTGGTGGTGATTAACCCGGGAAATCCAACGGGCGGTTCATTGAAGCCGGAGGATATCAATGCGGTGTTGGAGCTGGCGGCGGAGGAGAAGTTGGCCGTGTTGGCGGATGAGGTGTATCAGATGAATGTGTTTGAGGGGGAGTTTCAGAGTTTCAAGAAGGGGTTGCGGGATCTGCAGAAGAGCGAGAAGAACAAGGACGGTAAATTTGATGAGATGGAGCTGGCGAGCATGCACAGTATCAGCAAAGGCATGGTGGGTGAATGTGGGCATCGGGGAGGGTACTACGAGATGGTTGGATTTGATCCAGAGGTGAGTTCCATCCACTTCCAAATAGCTCCGGCTCCACTAACGGATATCCTTTACAGGTCGTCGCGCAAATCTACAAATTCGTCTCCATCATGCTCTGCGCCCCCGTCATCGGCCAATGCCTCGTCGACTGCATGGTCAACCCTCCCCGCCCCAACGACCCCTCCTACCCTCTCTACAAATCCGAATACGACGGCATCTTCAACGGCCTCCGCCAACGCGCCGACGCCTTGTACGAAGCTTTCTCGCAAATGGACGGCGTGTCCTGCCAATCGCCTCAAGGTTCGATGTACCTCTTCCCAACTATCACGCTACCCGAGAAGGCTGTGGCAGCGGCGAAGGAAGAGGGCAAGAAGCCCGATGAGTTTTATTGTTTGCGGTTGTTGGATGCGACCGGGGTGTGCATTGTGCCTGGCAGTGGGTTTGGGCAGAAGGAGGGGACGTTGCATTTTCGGACGACGTTTTTGGCGCCGGGGACGGAGTGGGTGGGGCGGATCACGAAGTTTCATCAAGAATTCATGGATCAGTACAGATGATGCAGAGGGCGGGAGGCTGTGTGAGGTGGTGGAGGCTGTTGAGGCGAGACGTCTTCTCTCTATTTGGTGTGATTGAAGCAGCAGAGCTGAAATGTGTATATAGGCTTGCTGGACATAGCTCTCCTCCGATACCCGCCGTGGCAATGTATGCCACGTTCTCCAAACCCAAGAACGTCTCTACTCTTCCGGTGCACACCACAAGCATTCTCTCACAGTAATGCTCGAACCGCAAGCTACCGCGTCCCGCTCCCAAGTCTCAGAGTTCAATTAAAGCAGATATCGCCCCAACTCCCACAGCCCCTACAACACCTACAATATCAGTTACATCCTCTACTATTTGTCGGCTCATCGGAGCAGCACCAGCAATACCAGAAGTTTCCCGCTTTTCCGGCTCTTCGAGGGGTTTCTCGTTCAGTTGTTGGGTGTAGATCACTGGTTGCACTCCTCCTGGTGGTGGTTGAGGGTACTGGGCGGCAGGCTGGTGGGAGATGGCGTATTGGAGTGCTGGCGTGGGTTCAAGTTGGTAGGGTGTCCCTCAGCATGGCAGAGGGACGTCTAACCCATCCACCCTCCCATCGTCCGCTCAATTACACCACGCCAAACAATCGCACCGCCATCCCTTACAGCAGCACGCATAGCAGTCATTGCAGCCTTTGCTGCTCGTCGGCTCCTCCGTGCAGCACCAGCGGTACCAGAAGCCGCGCCGCTGCGTTTCGGGGTCGTGGGCTGCGATGGGCTTTTCCTGGTCTTGTTGCTGGGTGTAGGTCATTGGCTGCTCGCCGGGCGGAGGTTGCGAGGATGAGTATTGGTGGGGTTGTGGTTGTGGGGGGTAGGAGCCGTACTGGGGGGCAGCAGGTGCTTGGTAGGACATTGCGGGATATTGGCCGTTGGGAGGGGGTTGGCTGTGGTAAGAGTCCATTGTCGTGGAGCTCGGGGTGGTTGCCGAGGTTTTTCTTGTATAACAAAGTCCAGAGTTGAGGTCTCAAAATTTTATGCGTTGGTGTTGTTCCAATGGTAGGCACTTCTTCTGCCTTCGAAAGGAGATGTGGTTTAAATGATTAAGACGTTGCTGTACCGACGTTTCTGGTGTAGGAAAGATGAACGATCAATTCTCGGTGCCTCTCGAAAGAACCGTCAAGGGAACGTGTGCATACTTATTATACCACCTTCATCCTACAAACGAGATCCTTCGACAAGCGCATTCGCCTAATGTCGGTCCAGTAGCATACACTTGACTGTATTTGCCATAGACCGTCGCCAAGGTCGCGCTATTCATCAATAGCCGAAATGGCCCCCAAAGAACTACTGCTCAGACTTGTTGTCTCTGTGCTCCGGCACTGTCCACCCTCTCTGCCATTCCCATCTCAACCTCCACCCAGCAGTCCATCGCACGCACACCCCTTACAGCACATACAACAGCAGTTGCAGCAACGGTTATCCGTCGGCTTCTCCGTGCAGCACCAGCGGTACCAGAAGCCGCGCTTCTGCTGTGGTTCTACGAGGTACTTGTTGGCGGCGTCGAGCTTCTCCTGGTCTTGTTTGGAGTAGGACATTGGCTGGACTCCGGGCGGTGGTTGCGAGGTCGGGTATTGCTGTGGTTGGGGTTGAGAGGCATATTGGGGAGCTGCAGGTGCTTGGTAGGACATAGCGGGATGTTGGCTGTTGAGGGGGGGATAAGCTGCTGGTCGTGGCTGTTGGGGTTGGTTGTGGTAGGGGTTCATTGTCGTAGAGGTTGAGGTGGTGGCCGGGTGATGTCTGGAGTGCGGGTGGTACCAGTCCAGCTACCGATGCTCCAAGCCTTGTTCTTCGAATGGCAGGGTGTCGTCTGTCTCTGGAGTTCAATGGAGTTTCGGATGTCCGGGAATGGATGGGACAAAAAACCAGAGGAAGTGTGAATCTTGCTCAATGCTTTCAAAACAAACGTCAACGAAACAAGAAAATACTTATACCCACCACCCACCTACCCCTTCGAACCGCATTTCCATGGTATCGTCCAGCATACACATTTCTGTGTAGCTGTAGACGTCACACAGTCAATTGCTCAATCCTTCAAATGGCCCAGAATGGAAAACGGCCCCAAAGTGAAGCAGCACGAGCAGCACAAGCCTTGTTTGGTAGAGTGCCCTTGGTGCGAGCGGGTACGGTGGTGAATGTTTGATCTGCACGACAACCACGACAGGTGAAGCCTTGAATTAGCACGCATGGTGAAGTTGCAGGATCGGAGTGATCTTGATCAGGTGGAAGAAGGTGAATGCAAGTCGAAGATCGAGGTCGAGGTGATCAGCGCTAAGCCTCTCGACTTCGCCCTTTGCCATTTTTGGACGTCGTCACGTGAAATCAGCAGGCCAAGAAATGAAAGATGAGGAGATGCATCTGACTCTGATGGCGTAGCCTGGGTATTAGCGGTAGATATCCAAACAATAGTCCTACAAGCGATAGTCTCCATTCCCACCGCTCCATCAAACACCAGCAGCTCCCTCGACCTGATCAGCCCAACTCTTCCCATCCGCCGCCGCGGCCATCTCTTTCATGGCTTTGCCCTCCTTATCGGCATTCGCTGGCGGCAACGCAGGAAAGTCCTCCTGCCTCGGCGGACGCGCTGGCTCGTCTCCTCTGCCGCCTCTACCTCTACCTCGTCCTCTGCCTCTCCCTTCGTTTCTGGGCTCTCGATACAAGTACTCCCTCCCATCCGTCCAACCCTCTTGGTCCCGTCCGAATCCCCTATCCTTCCCTCCAAAGCCCTCAGGTCCGTCCTCACCTTTTTCAGCATCCCACTCCCTACCTCCCAGCGCCTTGAGCTTTCTAGCTCGATTCTTCTCACGCTCGCCCATCATTTGCTGGCGATCTCGCCGCTCTTCTTTCTTTTTCTGCAGCGACTGGGCCCGGGCAGTGGCTTCTCTTTCAGCGAAAGACGCGGCATCGGCTTCTGCCCTCGCGTGAGCGGCGGTGAGGGATGCGTTCTTGATGCTGATGGCGGCCATTTTTGCTTCGAGCTCGGCCTCGGTGAGGCGTGGCTTCTTGGTACCGCCGGTTGCGCGCCGGTCGCCTCGGACAGCTGAGACGGCGGTCGCCTCCTGTTTAGGGCCGGTAGGGGCGTTTTCTGGTGGCTCGGACGTAGCGACTGTAGGGACAGTCTGTGATGCCTGCTCCTCCGATTGACCACTCCGTTGCTGCTCAATCACCTCACGGCCCTGCTCTTCACCTCCATCTCCTCTCGCAAACCCACCCCTCCCTCTGCCCCTCCCTCGACCTCTTCCTCTCCCCCTGCCCTCGTCACCCACGCCCCGCCCCCTTCCCCTTCGTCGCCCACCCCCGCCCCTCTGCCCCATCCCCATCTGCTCCTGCGGCCGCCGTGCCTCCTCCGCAACAACCTCCTTAGCAGGCGTAAACCCCTCACTAAATAGATCCTCCTCGTCCCTTACCCGCATCTCCCCCGCTTCACCCGGCGAGATCACATCGTCGAACAGATCTTCCTCCGCTGCTCCCGTTTGCGCAAATGGATCCATGGTCGAGACATCAGGCGGGGGTGGAGCGGGAGAGGTCGCGGGTGGGGGAAGGAATGCTGGGGCTGCTGCAGACAATGTCGAAGGTGTGGGAGGAGCTCGGGACGAGGGGGAGCGCGAGACGGCCGAGGCTGAGTTGGCAGCGGGCGGTTGAGTAAAAGTAGGAGCGGGTGGCTGGGGAGACGTTGCTGTAGGTGGTTGAGGCGATGTAGCAGATGGTGGTTGCGGAGATGTGCCCTTAGTAGGACTCCCGCTCCCACTGCCGTCGTGCGAGAACATCCTGATAAGATTCTGCACTCTTCCACCTCCGGGGCTCTTCGTAGGCGTCGCAATGGCGGCCGGAGGTGGAGCTGGTGCAGCGGACTCGCTGGGGGAGTCGGCCCATTTGGACTGGTTCATGGCGGTGTTGCTCGAGATCAAGGCGTGCTCTAGGAAAATGGGTGAACGGGCGCGCTAGTTATACATTGTATAGCGATATTGGCGTAAGTAGAAGGTGTTGGTACAGATAAAGAGAGATTGCATTGACTTCCTCCACCGGGTCACCTTGAGCTTAGACCCTGTTCATTAGCTCGTCAAGCAAGCTTTTAAGCCGCATCGATATTCACGCGCTAACGGTATGCCAGAAGAGGAGGAAAGAACAAGACTGACGAACAACATATCAACGACCGAACACGCCGCTCAAACGCTTCCAAAAGCTATCCTACAATCTATCTGCACCCCGTCTACACCCCCTCAAAACTCGATCAAGCTCTCCTCCTTCTGCGCAGGCGGATGCACTGGCGCTGACGGGAAAGCCTCCTGCCCATACCCGCCCTGCGCCGCTGGAGCCTGTGGCCAGGACTGCGTAGCAGCTGCGAGCGACGGCTGCTGGTAGTACGCTTGACTCGGCTGTCGCGGAGCCGGGGCTTGCTGCGGGGGAGGTTGCGAGTATTGTTGAGGTGGCTGTTGGTACTGCTGAGGCGGGGCTTGGGCTTGCTGTTGTGGTGGCGGAGACATGTATTGCTGTGGAGGCGGCTGCTGTTGTTGCTGTTGAGGTGGAGGTTGTTGGTGGTACATTTCCGGACTCGCTTGGGCGGGTACCTGCTGTTGCTGATCTCCGTAATAGAAGCTTGCGGCTTGATCGCGTTCTGCAGGCGGCGAGGAGAGCGGTAAGTTTGGGTTCGAGGATTGAGAGGTGTGTGAAGGTGCGTATTGCGAGCCCAGCTGCGAAGAGCCACGACGGGGTATCTGCATTTGTTGAGGTGGCTGCTGTTGTTGTTGGTAGTCTGAAATAGGTGGCATCTGCTGCTGGTTTTGCTGGAATTCCTGAGGCGGTTGTTGAGGGTAGGGTGTCTGATGGGGTTGTTGTGGGGTCTGTAGGGGCGGATAAGGTGCTTGAGGCTGTTGATAATAGCTTGCTTCCGGTGGAGGCGCGCCATACGAGCTCTGCGGTTGCTTTTGGTATGGTGGATACGCAGCTTGTGGTTGTGAGTACGGCTGCTGCGGCTGTGCACCGTATCCGTCCATTTGCGGTGCGTTGCCGGTATAGTAGCTCTCCATGCCGCCAGCTTCGGGAGGCCCGCGCGCTGTCGGTATGTTGGGGTACATGCTATTTCGTTGCGGAGCCGCTCCATATCTGCTTGACGAGTATGCGCTGGCCATGCGATCCTCCAGCATGCGATCGTAATACCTCACGACTGTCGACAACTTGCTGTGAAGATCTAACAAAGTGTCATGCTTGCTCATCGTCTCGCCGTAGGTCCTCGCCAACTTTGGTCTCAGCGTACCAATGCTCTCGTACAGCTCCTGGATTTGCGGCTCTCTAAGTATTGTGCCAGGAGGCTGATGCTGCAATCTATCCACCAATGTAGCGAAGAGATTGATGTTCTCTGCTTCAACTGGTGTAAGCTCGAACTGATTATTCGGCTTATACTGCGCGGGTGCTGCATCAGCGTTCGAGGAAGAAGTTGTCCGCTCCTTGAGTTCCTGTGCATGTCGTTGCTTTTGCGTCTCCATATCCTGCAGACTGGCGGCAATGGCTGCTTTTAGGTCCGCATCCTCCTCTTCTTCCTCTTTCGCAGGAGCTTTGCTAGCCTCGTTCGGTTGGGGTGTTCGCTGTTGTGGCTGTTGCTGTACCTGGCTCTGTGGAACGTACCCAGCTCCCGAATGCCCTTTGCTGTCCTCCAAGCTCATCTCCAACGCCTTCTTCAGATCTGCATCGAAGCTATCCTCAGTCACCCTCGCGCCTCTCGGCTGCATCCTCTCGTTTCCAGGCGCAGCTTGAGATCCTTGCCATAACGTCCTCCTGCTCTCTGGTGGACTCTGCGGACCCACGCTGGAAGTGCCACCGCTTCCCCTCTCTGTCAACCGCGCATAACATCCGTCATCCACTCGGACTGGCGTCATGATGCCCAGTCTCGGCAAAGGTATACTCTTCGCCGAACAAGTCCCGCAGAACACATTCCCGCAGTTGCGACAATGATGCTTACGGTTCGTGAATGTGAACTTCTCCCTACACCGCATGCACACATCTGAGTCCGTCCACTCTGGTGGCGCCGATGAGTCGAACATACTGCTCGCCACCTCTTGCCTCGGTGGGAACTGAAACCCTTCGTGCTGCAATGTCCGGTACGTCTCAGTGAGATACGTCAACGAGTCCTTGCCTTCGGCACCTGTCGCCCACGTCTGTACGAGCTCTAGGATCTTCCCTCTCACCTCCGCATTCACTGGCTCCGCACCCATGCCTCCAAAGCTGTAACCCGCCGCCGTTCCACTCTTCAATATCCCAACGATGGCATCTAAGAACTCCCGGCTTGCGATCTCCTGGAAGAAGTGGCTACCGCCGTTCTTGACGCAAGTATCTGTGAGGTTTAACGCAGCGAGCTGGACGTTGGGGTTGCGGTTTGAGATGCGGCGTTTCAGGCTGCGCATGGCTTCTTTAGGCGGCACGGTCTTGCTGCGGATGATGTCGCTGATTTCGAGGTTGAGGGCTATGTCTTCGAGGGAGGAGGCGGTGGCACGCTCGACTTGGGCGTCCAGTTCGCTGGCGGCGGAAGAGCCGCCGAACCAGGAGGCCATGGTGGCTGTTTGTGGTAGGAGGTGGTGGTGGATGTGTGCTCGGCGGTGGGTGTCTCGACGTCCTGGCGGGCAGTGGACCCTTCTCAATGTGCCAGTGTATTACAGTCGCACATGAACAACCCGGAATCGATGTATTCTGGTCGTGGTATAAGGTGATTGATGTATAAGCTCTACTAGAAGCATCTCAAGTGAGTGCCTACAGCTCAGCCTAGACCCTGTCGAGTTCGATGTCATACCTTAGGTAAGCGATGTGTCGTCTTCAACCTTTCAACCACACTCCATCCATGTTCTAATCCTGACTCTCTTGAATATACCATCGCCACCGCCGGCGAAATGGACGTTTACCAGGCTCACAGTGACTATATGGTCGTTCATCACGAATCTTAGGATGCACTGGAGCTCGCCTCCTCCATGAAGCATACTTTCCCTAGCCGGCATCCTGTCCTACGGTTCCACCTCAAATCTGCACGCTCGATGGCAGTGGCTCACTGCTGGTTCGCGACACCATGGATGGCGCTGCCACTGATCAATCGCCGACCGACCTCGATGGGCACTCAACGTTCACGAAGTGACTTCTGGCACCCAGTCCAACGCTAGTACTAGGCCGACTTCCAACAGGAAGCGAGATGCGGAAGACCAGGCTCAGACTAAAGAACATGCATCCTCAAACACCGCATCAAGACCGGAGAATGGAATGACTTTGGATGTGTCGTGTAGTATCTAGTCCAAACCATATGTGGCCCCCTCTCCGGTATCCTTTCTGAACATGATCGTACACGCCGAAAACTCATGGCAAACTCATGAATAGCTCCAACATCTTCGGGTAATTCGGCGTGCCAAGACCTGGTGAATGACACCCCCAAATCAGCATGGGCTCCCAGGAGCGATTTAGCCCGCTACCTACCTGTGACAGGATCCCACCCAGGGGCTGCCTGGAACCCGGAGGACCCGCAGTTGGGGTTCGAGCCATTGACGATGTCGTTGAGGACGTAGGGATGCTCGTATAGAGTAGGGTTGACGAAGCCTACAGGACCTATCGTGTGGACGGACGATGTTAGCCGTGGCCGTTCTATTGTGCTTGCCGAATGATACAGGACAATGCTCGATGCCCACTCACCTTTGCCAATAGCAGTCCGCTCTTCGTTGATGAGCGTAATGACCGACGCGAAGATGGGCGCCGACAGACTCGTGCCGAAGAAATGGCTCACGGTGAGATTGTTATAGGCGAGGAGAAACGCGCCGTTGGCCGATACATCGGGGTAGCCGCGTCCGCCGCGGTTGTATACTCCACCGTTCTCGCCGATGTTGGATGCGGCTGCGTTGGCGATGTAATACGGTAGGCTGTTGTGGCTGGCGAGATAGTCGGCAACGGCGGATTGTTGGTACGGCGGCGGAGTGAAGTAATTCGAGAAGCCGCCGCCCGTGGCGAAGAAGTCCAGTGGTCCGCTTGTGACGTTGTAGCCACGTTCGACGTACAGGGCCGTAAAGTTGATTTGCATGGCACTCTCCCGGTCATAGATGGTCTGGTCCGGTTCAAGCTGAGTGGCCCCAACCGACGTCATGTAGGGGCAGCTGCTCACAGAGTCAGGGTTGTAGATGGTTCCATTCTGGCCGTGACCGGACAGGCAGCCGAACTTGTCGTGTTCCTCCCCCGGATACCCTGCGACACCGTAGTCACCTGACGCTAAGAAGAGGGAGTGGCCCTGAAGGCCCAGCTTCATAATCTCCAGGCACTGACGCTCCATGTAGCGTTTGGGCACTTCGCTCTCAGCTTCTCCATAGGAGATGCTCAGCACTCGGGTGAGCTCGTAAGTGCCACATTGTGTCTGGCCCTTATAGCCGCCTTTATGCTTATCCGGATACACGGGATCAATTGGAGAGTCGCCCCCTTTGAAGGTGCAATAGCTTCCGTCTACAGCGTCGAAGAATGTGTTGAGGAACCCAGCTGTTTTGATCTCTCCGGAAGCATTGGGAATATCGTCCACCTCATACACGGTTACCTACACTTGTCAGTATGCTCTGTTTGCTGCAAGCGTGGATGACTTACAGTCTGTGGATAGATCAGTGCATAAGCCAGATCAAGATCGATGTCGGACTCGCCAGAATTGCGTACGCTCCCTGCTGCCACGGGAGCGGTGCCACCGTCCACAGAATTGACTTGAGGCGACGTGCCCTGTGGCACGTTTGGGGCATAGTTCTTGAAAAATAGATTGAGGTCTTGCTGCGAGAATGCATCATACTCCTCGAAGAGGCCCATCACGTTGATCGGCTGACTCAGGCGAGCGTTAGGGATGTTGTAGAGAGCTTTGATGCAGACAGGGGTGATGTTGACGCTGCAGGCCTGAAGATTCTCCGGAAGACCATGCGCATGGTGTGGTGGTTTCCAATGCGGCCAATGGTGCGCGGGAAAATGAGGTGGGCCTGGCCAGCCGGGACCACCGTGACCACCGTAACCACCATGACCCCAATAACCACCTCCTGGCCAGCCATCCCGCTTGACCTGTCGCTTCTTCAATGGTGCCGAAAGCTTTACTCCGGGCTTGATGAAGTCCACGTGGTCGGAGAGGTGTGCTGGAAGAGAGTAGTGATCACAGCCAATGCGATGAGAACCGGACGTGGCATACTCGAAATACTCTGTGTTGAGCATGCTCTCAGCATGGCTTGCGGGAAGGTCGACGGCAAGCCAGCCCTTGTTTTCGTAATGGAAAATGTCGTTCTCGTGAATCCCATAGCTTAGCAGCCAGTCTTTGACTGCTCCAACAGTCTCATCGCTGGGTGCGAAGTAGTCATGAGCCTCTCCTGCCGACCAATGCTTGCCGTAGTTGCTTGAGGACGGATGGGATACATCCATCAAATGGTCGTGTCCGTACTCCAGGTTGTTTTGGCGCAGTGCAATGCGCATTGGGATAACGGCATCGCGGTCGAGACGGACCCGTTCGTGAGCCAAGGGCCTGTGTCGTTTCTCATGGACGATCGTGTTGGCAGCTGGGAGCGCAAGTACGCCCCCAAGAAGCAAGCCGAGAGCAAGAGTACAACGCATCTTAGAGACCTAGCAGCACATGAACAAGCGCAGGAGATGTAATCACCCCGCCGCGGGCCTGCCTGGGTTATAATCAAATCCATAGCCATTCTTGCAGCCTCGTATGCACTTGACAGCGGCATCAAGCGAGCGTGCATGGCTTGCCAATGGCTCTAGACCATTAAGGACAGGAAAGAAACATCCAGAGATCGGTCGAACATCCTGAGGATCGTAGGGCAGCAGCGCTTCAATTGGACGTGTCAAGCGGCTCCCGCATTTGCATGAATGTCGACACCAGATCTGGCTGTGGGCAAATCGCCAGCACCGTTATCGTACCAATGGACTGCATGAAAAGCGTATGAGGCGTAGCTGAGGCTGTCAAGCACCGTCGAGTCTGGTCAAGCTTCAAAGACGATGCAGGGTATCCGCAGATTCAGACTCCCTACCTGGAAATTGAGAGACGCCAGATAAGCGGGAGAGCCATTGTCAGGTCCAGATGCCGGACTTACTGTACCCTTTTGTCTATCGAGTGGCCCGCCGCGAGCTCGGTCGGATGGGATAGAGGAGTCAAGCAGACGGGAGCTATCAGCCATGCACAAAGGCCTCATAGCGGACCAATGCAGTGTCGTCGTCGTGGTTGTAGGCTTCTCCCGGAACTTAAACCAAGATGGACTGCTCTAGCTGTCCAGCCTTGCCAACGCAACCAACTTCCAGCCTAGAGCCTGCGACGGGTTGGACCAATATGCATCATCATTCACAAGTTCACTTCGAAAGCCGCGTCTTACCACCCTGTGCGTTCTTCTCACTCGCAAGAAAGTCGTCCGACCGAGAAAGCACCTGCCGAGCTGAGAAAGCACCTGCCTAATGCGGTAAGGCCAGATGAATCTCAGAATCAAGCAACTTCCGAGGTCGTCAACGCGGCTCTACGCCAGCGATCAATGCTTGTACACATATGGCTCCAGGCTGGCCTTCGAAGTGTCCTCAGCATACATATTGATTCCTCTGAACACCATCACTGACAGACTTCACGTTCGCTCTCTCTGCTTCGTTCGGAATACAACACTGCCGCGGAACATCCACTGCCGACCGCAGTCGTCCCCATCTCATCTCATCCGGACGTCATACATATCGGCCGATCATCATACCAACATCGGAACCATGTCCTCGCTCGTGGCTCCGCGTGAGCATCACGTTTCGCCGATTCATTTTTGGCGTCCGGCATCTCCACAAGGTCGGCGGAGGTAGGCGGGATGAGATGGGGTTGCACTGGCGGTGGGTCTGTTTGCGTCAAGTCTCTACCACGCCGTGGACCTCACCCTGTTTTCGATTTTCTTTTGCGAGTGTCTTTCCTTTCCTTCATCACATCGAGAAATTAGAAGTCTGTAAGATACGAAGGCGCAACAACAGTCCTTTCCCACCTTTTCCTTCCCTCTCATCTCATACTCCCAACTCACCCAACCATGGCCGCTCGATCCCACTCCGCAGCAGTCGACCGCCTCGACTATGCCACCACAAACGACTCCTCCCCCTCCCAACCCCCACCCCAGCACCTCACCCACCGCCACCACGACTACGGCGGCAACCCTCTCGCCCACATCCACTCCATCGACTCCCAAGGCGCCGCCTCCCTCCGCCTCCCAGCCTTCGGCGGCGGCCTCCAACCCGGTCTCTACAAACCCCCACCCTTCAACTTCGGGAACCCCGTCCCCTTAGGCCTGTCCGGCTTCGCGTTGACGACCTTCCTCCTATCCCTCATCAACCTCGGCACCATGGGCGTCACGAACCCGATCATGGTCGTCGGGCCCGCGTTCGCTTATGGCGGGTTCATTCAGCTGTTGGCGGGGATGTGGGATATTGCTTTGGGCAACACGTTTGGCGGGACGGCGTTGAGCAGTTACGGCGGGTTTTGGATCAGTATTGGGATTATTTTGACGCCGGGGGGGTTCGGGATTGAAGACAGTTACGGGCCGGAAGCGAATGGGAATTTCTACGCTGCGTTCGGGCTGTGAGTCTGCTACTTCCCCACTACTACTAATACGGTATGCAGCACTGGGAGTGCTAACAAAGGAGATGGATAGCTACATCTTCGCCTGGATGATCTTCACCTTCCTCCTCTGGCTCCTCACGCTCAAATCCACCGTCGCCTTCTGCACCCTCTTCGGCAGCGTCTGGATCAGCTTCCTCTGCCTCGGCACCGCATATCTCGACGCCCAGAACGATCCGGCCGGCGCGCCGAACGTGACTTTGACGAGGGTCGGCGGCGGGTTCGGGATCGCGGCGGGCTTTATTGCGTGGTATAACATGCTGGCCGGGTTGGCGGATGGGAGTAATACGTTTTTTGTCATTCCGGTGGTGCATTTTCCGTGGAGCGAGAAGGGGAGGAAGGACAGGGGGAAGATTAAGGATGTGGAGAGTGGGGAGAGTGCGTGATTGTGTGAGAGGTAGTTGTGAAATCGAAGACCAAGTCTTCTGCTGATTTTCTCGAAAGAGGTCATTCAGATGTCATCTTGCGCGCTATCATCACGTGCACCTTGATCATCAAAGGACGGTGCTGACTGCAAGCGTTTGTAAGGATTATTCTGTTGAGGGAGAATGCTTTTCGGGTATCTGCATGCCTGCCTCAAACCTTACCTACCTACCTCATGCTATCAACATGCAACCACGCTTCTTCATAACCATCATCGTCCTCTCATCCTATCATGAGCAAAGACCGTGCCTCGTAACATCAACATCTCATCCCCCTTCGTACCTCATCCTCGTTCCCTCCCACCCTCCTACTTCGTCTCCCTAACCACAGCATCCACCCCCTTAGCAAAATACCCCACATTCCCCGTGTTCAACCCGGCCATACTGATCCGCCCATTCTTCGTCATATACACATGCCACTTCTCCCGCAACACCCCCACCTGCTGCTCGTCCAGCCCCGTGAACGAGAACATCCCAATCTGGTCCGTGATGTGGTTCCACGTGCCAGGCGTCCCGAGCTCTTCAAGTTTGCCCCGCAACGCCTTGCGCATCTCGATGATGCGGCCGCTCATCGTGCGCAGGTCCTCCTCCCATTGCGCGAAGAGCTTGGGGTCGTTGAGCACCATCGACGCGATACGAGCGCCGTAGGCAGGCGGGTTGGAGATTTCGCTGCGTTGCAGGATGGCGAGCTGGGAGCCGACGCGGGAGACGGTGTCTTGGGCGTTCTGGGAGGGCGCAGTGACGAAGTGGAAGCACCCCGCGCGCTCGCCGTAGAGGCCGAAGTTCTTGGCGTAGGATTGGGCGACGAGGAGCTCGAAGCCCTGCTCGACGAAGTAGTTGATGGCCCAGCCGTCTCTAGACAGCGAGCCGGAGGCGAATCCTTGGTACGCGGTGTCGAAGAAGGGGAAGAGGTGGCGCTCTTTCATGACGGCGGCGATTTGCTTCCATTGGTCCTGCGTGGGGTCGACGCCGGTGGGGTTGTGGGCGCAGGCGTGGAGGAGAATGATGGCGCCGGACGGGGCGGATTTGAGGGTGGACATCATGCCGTCGAAGTCGAGGGAGCAGGTCTCGCGGGAGAAGTACGGGTAGGTTTTGGTGGGGATGGAGACGTTGCCGAAGACTTGGTTGTGGTTGGCCCAGGTGGGGTTGCTGAGGTAGATGGTTTTGGCTTCTGCATTGGGCGGGTTGTAGAATTTGGAGAGGAACAGGCCGCCGAGGTGCAGGGCGCCTGTGCCGGAGATGGTTTGGTAGGAGACGGCGCGCTTTTCGGTGACGACGGGGGATTTCTCGCCGAAGACCAGCTTTTGCGAGGCGGCGGTGAAGTCGGCCAGGCCGGAGATGGGGAGGTATTCGTGGTTGAGGTTGGGGTCGCGGCGGAGGAGTTCGTCGGCCTGGGAATGCAAGTCAGCTCAAGGGTATGTTGGATGGGATGGGGTACTGCTCACCTGCTTCACCACGGGCAGGATCCACGGCTTGCCGCTGTTGTCTCTGTACGCTCCAATGCCCAAGTCCACCTTGTTTGGGTCCTCGTCCCTACGGTATGCTGCCATCAACCCGAACATTGGGTCCTCTGGCGCTTGTGGGACGACATTCTTGTCGCCGAACGCAGAGACGTCCGCGTGTGAATCGATCGAGCCCATCTGTGCGTTTAGCTGTTGTAGTCGGTCGATGGATTGTTTCTTCTCGGGTTGTTGTGAGGGTGGGGTGAGGTTTGTGTTTGAAGGTGACATCGTTGAAACAGCTGCTGTTGAATCTGAAGCACTGACCGCCAAAGTGAAGCTCCGATGATCGGCGCACTTCACGAGCGAGTGGATAAGAATACAGCACAAGGAATATGCGCGGTAAAAGGACAGAGTATGATGGGGATGTAGTAACTAGCTGGTATAGAAGACAAGCACATATCTAAGTTGAGCCTCCGACCACTGTCGTCTGCATTATCTCATCACCAGCGGCACCCTGGACCAGGTACAACACACAGCCGAGGCATGTCGTCCCTTTGCTTGTGATGCTGCCCTTCCACCCATCCTTCCGATATTATTTCCCTTACATGGCGCGATTCTCCAGCAATTCCTCAAAGTCTACTCCGTGAGATGTACACCTGTCTCGCGTATGACACTCGGCAGCCACCGACCCGCCGAGCACAATGCAGGAGTTTGCCACGGTTACAGTGTCAAAAGCCTTGTGCTCGTCAAGAACAACGTCCCTGCGGATACAACGTAGGACGCGCAGCCATATCTCGATGGCGTGGGACGACATGGCAGGTACCCGTACTTCTTGAACGATTCACAGACGCGCCGTCGAATACACGTAGGCAGGAGACGCATCCTTCGTCGTCCTTCCGCGGGAGATGTAGGTGGCATCAAACTGGTGGTCTAGCCCTCCACGTTTCGAGGACCTCTGCAGTCCTACAATTTCCATGGTATTGCTACGTGACGTTTGCAAGGAGTTCGGCAGTCGCGCCAGAATGACGGTCGAGATGCTGTGGAAGGCGAATGCTAGATCTGCGGTAAGGCATCCAGCATCTGGTAACGCGTCAGCTGCTGCGTCTCGCTGAGCCTTGTTGACCATCATGTCCGCCGCGCAGCATGTAGACACACAACTCCTGAGCCTGCACCGTGAAGGCCATGACTGTGTCCGTTGTGCTGAGTAAAGCATTGTCTTAGAAGGGTCTTCTTGTCTTCCCCACGACATGTGTTGCTTGGTTGGAAGACAAGAGGAATCGGAAGCGAATGGTGTCTGGCTGAGAGGGCTGTAACAACGGGCCGGAAATAGACCAGGCGAACTCAAAGTGTTGATGTCGTGCAACTGTTGCTAGGTAGTTGTACCTTGCAGTCTCCTTTGATGTGAGCAGACACAAGCAATAGCAATCCTTCTTCTCAATACAAGTAACATTGTTTCGAGTGTGCTTCTCCTGTCGCCGGCATCCGAGATTGATCATTCGTTCCGATCATCAAACGTTAGCTCATCCCCTTCTGATTTGGGGCGGGGGGAGGAGAGTGGAACTAAATCTAGGGACTCGACTTTCACTTTCGGCGCTGACACCTGCACCTCTCTCCATTCGCACGCCCACACCCACACCACCACCACCACCGCCACCCACCGCCATTCCTTGCGAGATCTCCCTGCGCTGTCGCCATTCTTCGCTGCCAAAACACACATTCATTCGCTTCATGGTCCCGACGCCAGCGTAGGATGTTTCAGCAGCGCTCATCACTCCTCACCACCCTCTTCCTCTCCCTCTGGGCGACGCTCCGGATATGTCGCGCCGACCGCCCGCCCTACCTCCACGATGACCAGTACAACGAAGGCGAGCGGGGGCGCTTCGTGCAGCAGAAATACAGGACGAGCGATCTGGAGCCGCCCATGTTCAATATGATGACCCCTTTCAGCGGGTGTGATGATGGGAGTTATTTCTTCATGTCGCCCAGAGGGAATATGCCGGATGCGACGTTTTATATCATGGATCATGAGTGTGTCAATTCCCTCTATCTGCTGGGTGAGATGGTGTGCTGACAATGGATGCGCTGCAGTGGCGCGATGGTCTGGGGGCCTGATCATCATTACGGAGAAGTGTACAACTTTCAGGTGCAAAAGTACAAGGGCGAGCAGGTGCTGGTGTTCTGGGCTGGAGACGATTCGATAGGAGGGCACGGTGAGGGTCAATACTACATGGTGGGTTGAACAACACGTGAAATGCAGACGCAGGGCTGATTGATGAGTACAGCTTAACAAGCACTACGAAGAGATCAAAATCATCACCGGCGGCAACGACATCCGAGCCGACCTCCACGCGTTCACCATCACCGAAGACAACCACGCCATCTTCACCGGCTACAAAGTTGTGCAGCACGACCTGACGGAGGTCGGCCGGCCTGCGGATTCCTACATCTGGGAGTCGCTGTTCCAAGAGATTGACATTGAGACGGGGGACGTGGTATTCGAATGGCGAGCTTCGGAGCACTTCCCATTCCTAGATTCCTACGTAAACCCGAACAAGGCCACGCGAAACGACCCCTGGGACTTCTTCCACATCAACATGGTGGAGAAAGATGCCGACGGCAACTACCTCGTCTCGACGCGGTACGGAAGATGCGTCATCTACATCAGCGGCGAGACCAAGGAAATCCTGTGGACGCTCGGAGGCAAGCGCAACAGCTTCAAAGACCTGTCCGACGGCGAGGCCACGCTCTTCCTCGGCCAGCACGACGCGCACTGGTACAAAGGCCACGAATACATCACCATGTTCGACAACCGCGGCGACTGGTTCCACAAGATCGAAGACCACTCCAAGGGCCACATGATCAAGGTCGACCTGGGCAAGATGACGGCCGAGCTCGTCGCGTCGTACGTCCACCCGGACAACATCCTCAGCACCTCGCAAGGGTCCATGCAAGTCCTGCCCAACGAGCAGATTCTCATCGGCTACGGCTTCAACGGCGCTTTTACCCAATTCACCTGGGAGGGCGAGATGGTCTGCGACGCCTACTTCGAACCCCGCAAGCGCATGGGGTCGGGAGACGTGCAGAGCTACCGCGACTTGAAATCCAACTGGACCGGTATCCCCCTCACCACCCCCGCCATCGCCTACGAGGACGAAACGCTCTACATGTCCTGGCTCGGCACGACCAAGACTCGCAAATGGTTGATCCAGGACTCGGACGCCGCCGACGGGCTCTTCGAGACCGTGCAGGAAACGCCGAAGAAGGGGTTTGAAACCGAGTTCGACGTTCCTGGCGGAAAACGCATGCGGCAGTACGTCCGCGTGATTGCGGTCGATGAGGGGGGAACGCAACTCTCCATTTCCCCGCCGGTGGATTTGCAGGACACGAGCGCGATCTGGAAGGGCGAAGCGCCGCCGCCCGAACAACACCACGACGATACCTCACCCTCCGACTCCGATTCCACTGAAGACCACCACCATTCCTCCTCCTCCTCCGAGGAAGAGATGTCAGGCCACGAACACTCCTCCTCAGAAGGACACGCCCACTCCCACCTCCGCGCCGACCTGAACGACCACACCCTCCTCCTCGCCCTCCTCTTCCTCGCCGCCTGCTTCGCCGCTTTCCTCGCCGCAATGGTGTTTGGCTGTCGCTGCTTGGGATTCCGCCGGTTGAGGAGTGAGAAGGACGTTTTGCCCATGCCGACTTTGAGGGACGATGGGCCGGTGAGGAGGTTTGTTGAGGGGGTTTTGGCGTGGGTGCCGGGGCGGAAGAGGAGTTGGCGGGAAGGGTATGCCGGGGTGCCGACGACGAATGGAAGTGGACGGGGGAGGGGGGAGAGTTTGGTCGGGGTAGGGGCGGAGATGGAGGGGCGGTAGTTGTGATTGCTTTCTTTGGGTTTGGAGAGGGTTGTGCATACGGGATTGGAAGCGATGTGAGAGCATAGTCTTTTCATTATTTTTGGCGTATTAGAGCGGGCGCACGCACGAATCTTTTGGTGTCTGGTATTGTAAATGGAAGGGCATGGCAAAGGGGTTATTGGAGCGGGAAGGGGTTAGTAGCCGTGTGCAAAATTATCTGGAATACCAAAAACATCACAACAGTTGGTGCGGAAGGTTGTCAATGCTCAGTACCGGATGACTTGTCTTGTCCAAAGTGGTACGTATGGAATGTGGTATCACTACCCTATCCTCGCTAACCCCCAAAACCAAACCAAAGGAAAGTGAATCCGACATTAACGCCATCCAGAGACGTCCCTGTAGAATCCGTCAATCATGCAATGCATGCAGGTGGTTGGTTCGTGATGTCTGTCGTGATGTCTGTCGTCGTGTTTCGTTCTCTCGTATGCCATCTTCATTCCCGTTTCAGTGCGTCCTGAGGCTCCGGTAAGGTCGTGCTCGTGATCGCGAGCGTTGGGGTAGTGTCAGGTGTTTGTGGAAGAGATGGCTGTGGAAGCGGTAGGGGTGTGCTTTCACCGCGGTCGTTGATAGGGGGAGCGGAGGCTAGAGCGGGGGCTTTGGTGTCGATATCTGGTTCTTCGTAAGGGGCAGGTGGATGCGCTGGTTCCGGAAGAAGTGACGGTAAGAGCTTTGCCAGTTCTTCTAGGCCTTCGAAGGGTGGTGGAGGAGGGGGAGTTATCTGTTCTTCAGCCGCAGCAGCAGGCTCGGTGGGACGTGGTTGCCGTTCCTCTCCGGCGGCGGTAGCGGGCGCATCAGGAGGCAGGGGTTCGTGATCGCATCCAGCCCCTGGAGGCTTACTCGACTTCTCCTCCAGACTCGGCACCACCTCATCGACCGTCTGTTGCAGCTCCTTCTCGCCACCATCCAACACCACACCCCCTTGCCCCACCTGCTCAACATCTTCAAGATCCATCTGCTCATCGAACCCGGAATCCGTATGCACCAACTCCCTCCCCCCAGACCCCACTTCCCCCTTCAACGCCACCACCCTCTTATCCCCAAGCGGCAGCGGCACCAACTCCCCTTCCTTCTCACTAACCTCACTCCCCCCTCCCCTCCTGCCCCGTCTAGGCGGACTCCGACTCAAACTCGTCCTGCTCGACGAAATACTCCCACATCTCGCATAAGGCGAACTGCGTCGTCGACGACTAGAAACAGGACTCCTGCCTCGCCGTCCAACGACCCAGGAACCGGAAGATTCGAAACGGTAGGACGTCGTGCTCTCCGCTGGCTGCGAGGACACGAGATCGTGTACGCCGGGGTCGAGGTACGTGACTTGCTCTGTCGTGAAAGGCGACACGTCGCGGACTTGTTGCCGACGACGGGAAGTGCGGGAAGTGCGAGCATTAACATCGTCAAGCGTCACGGCAAGATGCGGGTCAATGTACTCCTTATCGCTGCGATGCGTCGTATTCGTCGTACTCGTGCTATGCACCACCGCTTCTTCATCATCAACGACGAAATCCACACTCCTCGTCCCCGAAGACGGGGCTCGTCCAGCGGAAGCGGGGAATTTATGCAGCAATTTCTTCGCGCTCGGACGACCCTGCGGACGCTCAGACAAGCAGGACTCGAGCATGCGGCGGAAGTAGGTCGGTATCGAGTCCAAGACGGTGGGTAAAGGGCGACTGATGCGTTCGGGCTCGTCGACGACTTCAGCCAAAGCCCAGAGGACCATGCCGAGTTGGTAGATGTCGGTTTTCACCCCGATGCACATGCCGATGCGCTGGCCACTATCGATCAGGCGGCCGAGTTCGGGGGGTTCCCAGCCGACGGGGCAGCCGCGGCGGTTGATGTCGATGATGACGGCGTTGTCGGCGGCGTCGAGGACAATGTTGGAGAGGGTGAAGTCGCCTTGCACGAACCCTGCTTCGTGGATGTCGGAGAGCCCTTGCACGATCTGCTTGGCCCACTTCTCGCGGCGGTGCCAGGGGAGTTGGGAGGTGTTGTGGTAGTCGTAGAGTATGTCGACGAGGGCGCCTTGGGAGGCGTAGGAGATGAGGAGGCCTTTGACGATGAGGCCGGATTCGTCCGTTACGAGACCTTCGAGGTCGACCACGCGAGGGGAGTCGAGGAGGGCGTGGAGGGCGTTGACTTCGTAGAGGAACTCGTCGATGTTGTCCGGGCCGGGTATTTCTTTTTTGATGACGGTCTTGTCGCCGGCGCGGACTTTGTAGACGAAGCCGGAGAGATGGGAGATGAATTCGAGATCGCTCTCGCGGTGTCGGGGGACGTCGACGTGGCCAAATAGATCGATGGAAGGGAACTGCACAATCTCGTTGGCGTCCTCACGCACATGAACGTGCAGCTGGCCATCTTCCGGGTTCGTTTCGAGCTTGAGATTCGTCACAGTGGGGAAGTATTGGATCTCTGCAAGCGATTCGCGTATGGATTCGTAGATGCGGAAGCTCTTGTCGCGCTGGTAATGAAGTGTACTGAGATCAGCTTCGAGGGAGCCTTCAGGCGCTTTTCGGTAGTCGAGCGATATTGTTAATCGTCTCCAGTTGGAAGGCGTCTCAGCATATGTCACGAAGAACTTCTCTCGATTCGACTTGTCGCGGAATTGCATGCTCAGGTTGAGAATCCATCGTTGGTCGTATTCATCTTGCAAAGCAGTGTCGATTTCCTCCTCATCGCCATCGTACGAATACGGTGCATCAAAGTCGTCCAATGGCGGTATTTGCAGCGGCGGCAGTTCGGGAAGATACCTCCGCTGGTTCGCAACATCGCCTTCACCGGTCTCTGAACCTCCACTGACCGGTCCAACCTGCTCATCCAGTTTCGAGACATCGGGAGCAGAAGACGCAAGAGTTGGCATAGGCTTCGGTGGCGACAAAGTCCTCCTACACGCACTCAAACTGTTCCCCCTCCGCCGATCTACACTCACAGCCCGCCTCTCGGTAGGACTCGGCGGTACCTCCAACAACTTCTCCCTCTTCTCAGACTCCTGCCTACGGAACGTCTGCGGCCGAGGCAACGACGGCACCGCCCTTCGATGTGGAGGAGTCTCGGGTAGACTCGACCTCCTCGTCCTCGCGAACAAATCTGCCACCGGCTGCTCTGCCTCGGCCACCGTTGATGGACATGCCTCAACATCCTTCTGCTCCAAATGCCTCTTCCACAACCCGCCAATATTCCTCAACAACGACGACCTCCTCTGCCGTTTCGGCTCGCCCTCTGCACCTCCCATCTCTTGCTGCTGCTGCGCCCGCTCGTCGTCGCTCTGACCATTCACAGGGCTGGCGAATGAGAAACGATATGGCATCGTAGGACTGGATGAAGAACCGACCAGTCACAGCGCGAGGCGGCGCGGGCAGGACAACTAGTAATACTGCCTTCCTTCGTAGTAATCGTATGCCACCCCCTCGTGATCTCGAGTCCGTAATACCCCCAAGGCTGGGGGTTATCGAGGTGGTTGTGGTACAGTCGGGCGACTTGTGCTACGAGGGATGCGGGGAGCCATGTATGTCAATGCGGACGTCGCTCAATGCGTGTAGGCGGGCTGCGGTGGTTCCTCACTTCTCATGTGGTGCAGCAGGAGGTAGTGTTGGCTGCTGTGCCGGTGGTGAAGGTTGGGGAAGTCGCTTGCCGAAGCATTGAGCGGTTGTGCAAGACGTGGCAGGAGGCGGGAGAAGGGGGAAAATGCAGTGTGCGGCGGCAGAGGCAGGCAGAGAGGGAGTGTTGTTGTTTGTATTGGTCAGGCGACAAGGCCGACTCCAATGGGCGGTGTGTCGCAGCCTGACTCTCTTTCTGTCCGAGCGCGTTCAAGGCAATCTTCTGTTCTTTGTTGTCGACCAGACACACGCCTACCCCTATCCCGCACTCATTCACTCCAGTCGTGTGTACCTCCGTAACAATGCGCAATATCCGCGAGGTTGGGAGGTGGCATGTGATAAGTCTCGCGAGTGGGGACTGAGAGCTCATAACCGCTGATCGCTGCTGTGCTGCGCTGCCGGCAACGAACCTTCTCAAATGCGAACACCATGCGACGTATCTGTCCTCTCACACCAACACCCGTCACTCCCACGAGGCGCAAGATTGCGACCAACGTTACACAAAACCACCTCCCGATCTTACTCCAACCTCAACATCTGCCTCTCAAGCACTGCACTGCCAGCAAAGCCCGCCCCCGAACCGCCGCTGGGCATCAACACCAGCTCCTCCCCAGATGAACTGGCCTCTGAATCGCTGAAAAGCTGCAGTAGAGGCAGTCCTTCAGCTGCAGCTAAGCAGAAGCTGTGCCTGTCAGACCTCCCAATTCGAGCCACGCTGTACCACTCGGATCTGCTACCTCTGGCCGATTTGGCTAACGCGCCTTACTATTCCTTTTCATTCATTCGACTTGTTGTACTGATGCCTGAGGGACGGCAGTGAACCTGCGAGCGAGCTGGGCTAGCCAACAGTGTTGTACGCCTCATCTCCAGTCGCAGTCGTTTGTCTGACAGAGAGTAAGAAGGGAGGGAGGAGTTCAGCTTCCCACAGCCGCAGTTGGCGCAACAATGCGCCGTATTAACTACATGCACTGGCAAGCCGCAGCGTCATGGCATCGAAAGCGACGTATCGGCTATATGTAAGAGACTGCTATTTGGTGGGCTTACTGGCCAATGCGAGATGGCTACGAAATGGTTACGAAGATACGACCGGACTCTTCTCCCATTTCCGCGACCACTCATCGTACGAATGGTTTACAGGGCTGAACATACGTCGACATGGACCGACTCTCTTCGAAACGATGGGAAGGTAGGTGCTCTCAACTGTCTCACCCACCAAGCTATCAGCAAACGAGCGTATCGTCTCTCCTACGTTCAATACTCCTTCTCTTTCCCCTCCATCCCCTGCGCAGCCAAACTCGCCCTCCTCTTCTCCCTCCATCCCTCATCCCCCATCGTACTCACATCCCACCCGTTCTCCACCAAATACGCCCTGAACCGCCTATCCTCCTTCTCAATCGTATCCTGATCGATCCGCGGCAACAACCACACGATACACGCACTGAGCAAACACAGACTACTCGCCACATAAAACGGATACTGCCCTCCCTTCACGCTATCCGTGCCTCCACCATCGGCGATAATGTACGGGAAGATGTAGTTCCCCACGAACCCGCCCACCTTCCCGCACGCGGCGGCGATGGCGTAGTATTTCCCCCTGATCCCCGTGGCGCACGATTTCGCGGCGACGAGACCGATGTTGTCCCCCGGCCCCATTTCGCCCAACGACAAGAAGATGCCGTACACGACGACGAAGCCCCCGACGTTCTCGGGCAGTTTGAGCCACGGGTAGCAGCCGCTCATGATGAAGCCGACGATGCCTTGCGCGGCGACGAAGACGGAGAGGGCGAGACGGGGGCCGAGGCGGTCGGAGAGGAAGGCGCCTGCGATGGCGCCGGGGAGGTAGAAGCAGTTGATTACGGTGGACCAGCCGAAGTTTTGCCAGAGGTCGCGGTCCGGGGCGATGGTGTCGAGCCAGGAGGAGGAGAAGATTGAGAAGGGGTATGTGAGGAAGTCGTAGATGAACCTGACGACTCTGTCAGGAAACGGTTTGAACCAGGTTTGCATTTTTTAAGGACTTACCAGATGACACAGACAACCGCGAGCCGGGGCCCGTAGAATTTGAGCGCGAGCCTGGATCAAAATCAGCTCGAAGTTGCCCACGGGCTGGAAGGTTCGTACACACCAATACGGCACCTTCTTCTCAAACTTCTCCCTCGAGAACGCCTCCGGCTCCTTCAGCTTAATCCGGAGGTATAAAAGCGACAGCGGCGGAATCACGCCCAGGCCGAGACAGATGCGCCATACGGCGTGCAGGTGGTGCGGAGCAATGGCCGTGACGATGCAACCGACCAGCGTTCCGGCGACGAAGCCGAAGTCGATTTGGACGTTGGTGAAGAGGACGAACCTGGACACTGTCAGCATTGGAGTATCTCCCAGCGTACCTTGTGAAGGCCTATTCACCAGCGGTTGCGGGTGCCTTCTTTCATTTCGCCGCTGGATTCGGCGCAACCGACGCTGCCGGCGGGATATTCGCCACTGAGAACCAGTCAGCAAACACGACATCCTCCATCGCCGTGTGCAAGGGAGAGAGAGAACGACTCACCCGATCCCAATCCCAAGCAAAAACCGATAAGCAGTCAACGCCGCCAACAACCCGCTTACACTCCCCCCCGCCCCATAACTGCCCGCCCCCAACGCAGCAAAAACAATCAAAATCACCGTCGAAACCAACAGCGTCCACTTCCTCGACCAAGAATCCGACGTATACCCAAATACCAACTGCCCCAGCACCGTCCCCGCGAAAGCAATCGATGTCACGTTCGACACCGCGGAGCTCTGCGCGTATTTCACCGGGTAGAGGGTGGAGAGGATGGTGTTGACGGGGCCGATGACGGATTGGAGGTAGCCGTCGCTCTGTCCAGACGAAACAAACAAAGGGTTAGCGTGGATTAAGTATTCGTGGATACTGGGGAAGATGTTCTCGGCGTCCGCGACGTCTTGGGCAAGGTTTTTGAGACGAGTGGTGACCTTTTTACCGGAGGAACTTACGAAGAGGCCGGCGCCGCAGGCCATGGCGGGCCATAATCTTTCCCAGGTGGACTTTTCGGGGTCGACGAGGGGGACCTCGATGTCGGCGTCTTTAGTGTTGGTGGGGGACGAGGAGTCGTGGGCGGATATCTTTGAGTCGTCCATTGTCGAGAGGGAGGCAAGCTTTCACCAAGCTTCGTGGGTTGGGGGTTGGCGAAAGTCACTGGCAGTCGATTCGCGTCAGCCTGCGCTGCGAGAGCTTTTTGTAATGAGATGAAAAGCACCAAGCCGACCCAAGCAAGGTGACACTCACTCGAGCTGCCGATCCAGAACGGCGCGATGTGACGCTCCTTTATCTTTGCTTGCTTGCTTACACCTACCGCATCCGATCTGCGCTAAAAGCTTCGCGTCGGGCCAAGCTTGCACAAGCCTCGAAATCGGCAGATAAGCCGCGTCTGCCAAGCGGTAGTAGAGATGTGAGCACGTGGGGTGGGTATCTCGGCATTCGAGACTCTGTCGACGCGGGGCGGGATGAAAAGTTTTGCGCTGTGGGTTTGGGCTGACGTTGGAAGGTTCGAGGAGTTGTGAATGGTTGATGGGTGGGTGTGGCGGCATTGTGTGGTCGAGAACCGAACAAGGTCAGTGGAGATGGCTGCTGATGGCGATTTAGCTTCGACTTCGAAGGCTTTCCATCGGTGGAGTTTGGTAGCGTCGAGCATTGAGGCGTGGCCGATGAAGTTAAAAGCAGTATGCGGTCTCCGTAATCGACAGATAAGCGTTTGTGTGCAAGACACACTCCTACCCCGAAGCGAAGGGATGTGTTGTGAGGGTTAGGGTTGGGGCAACCAGGAATAAGGAAGAAAAAGAGTCTAGATATGCATTGAAAGCCCAACTCGCCGACTGGCATCTTTTCCAACAGACTTTGCATCCAAAGCTCGCAGTCCGCAAGACTCAGCGAGATGCCGGTAGGCCGTCGTCTGAACGTCCAGTCCAATTCTGCGGTGTTTCCCACGTTCGAAGCTGAATCTGACATCGACACACCCGCTTGTTGCCATTCGTCGACCGATATTGCAGCGCAGCTGCAGGACGATCATCGCCAGAACATCGTCATGCTTTGCTACCATGAACACTCCATGTCAAGATCGTGCTCTGTAAGTGATGGCGTTCTGCGATGTTCCATCAATGAGGGCCGGCGCCAACGGCCTGACGGACTCCGTGTGGTACGAAGGATCCTTGGTGTACTATCCGGCCTGCGCAGCTCCGTTGACACACCCGGAAAGACTTCTCCATCCCCTGCGGTGATGCCATGGCATGGCCTACAACCCGCAAAATCCCCAAACATCGCCCGTCGATGGAGCAGTCGTATTCAGAAGCGCAGCAGTACAGCATCAACCGGACAGCGCTGTTCCAGGATCGCGGATGATGGAAGGGGAAGGGTTTCAGACTTGCAAAGTGGGAGAGAGGGATGTTTGGTGAATGCTGGGATCTGATGGCGTGCAGTGCACGGTATTATGCGGTTGGATGATGACGAACGGCCGAAGGACAGTATTACAGATTGAGAAGATAGAGCTGAATGCCTACCTTGACCAGTATTGACGACGTAGGACTCTGCCAGGCATTTGACAGCCTAGGTGCTTTACCGGGCAGCTTCGTGAGCATGTACATTAAAATCAAGACGTCAGTAGTCCTCAACACCGTCGGCGGGTGGCGGTGAAAGTAGTCGACTATGTCAGAGTGACCCGTACAATAGATCTTCTCCCAGACAGTGATAGCCCACCGACTGAAGTGATGTGGCCTTTTCCGGTGCAACCGGGTCTTCGAGAATATTGTCAGATATGCCGTTTGGCCGCTTTGGCTGTCACTTGCTTGCGGAGCTCATCGGCGAGGTATCTTGATTTGTCAATGCCTTTGATGTAGAACGCCTGGTGACGGCACAAGCCCAACATGACATCGTAGTTGATCGTACTGCAAGACAAACCTCCTACTATCGATCGTGTCACCCGAACTCCTGGTTACGGGTAAGGATCGGAAACAGCAAGACGCGAGGCCAGGTCATGTTGTGGTACAAAGTGCGTCAGCCCCCGGCACGAGTCGGAACTGGCATACCGGTGTGTTCTTCTCCGGGCTTCGATTCTTTTGGAGGTTTTCATGCAAAGCCAAGATGGATCGAGCAGCTGCCCGAGGTGTTCATCGCGGTGCGGCTGTGGCTTGCATACCCAATAGAATGCCACTCGGCGTGCAAACATTGATGACGCGCGTCAACGGACATCGTTCTTCGCAACACCGCGAGACTTCCATCGCAGATGTTGAAGAAGTTCAACTTACAAAGCTTCATCCCCAACGTCCGGCCGATGGACGTGACATTCTGGCCCAGAAGCCGGCAGGACGTGGATCGGTAGTTTGATCGTTTCGCAAGGAAAAAGCCGGGAGTGGATGTCCAGTGTCCTTAAATTACACCCCCCGGCAGCGGCTTCAGCCACGGGCACCGGTCAGCCAGACTTCGCCAGACTGCTTGCGGCAAGGCGGCCGTAGAGTCGGTGCAGGTGGGCGTTTCGTGAGTGGTCAAAGGGTCAGATGGGCATTGAACGATGCCAGTGTGGGTTAGAGGGCGCATGTGGCCCTGCTCTGCCTGCAGGATGAGCCGAGATGTGCCTGGCAGGCTTCGTGTTCGGGAGTCTCTCTGCTCGAAACACGGGCGCAGGTGTCTCGATGGGGAGGCAGCTGACTGATCGTGGACGCATGAACTGCGTGAAGTGTCTGCTGAGCGCACGTCGTAATGGTCGGATGGACAAGAATGTGTAGATTGTAAGCATTCTGCCGAAGAAGATCGAGAAGACGCAGCAGCAGCAGCCAATCGTAGCATGCGGGCCAGAAGAGGTCTGAAATTGTCGTCTGCCGAATCTGGTCTAGCCCGCAGCGAAAGTGAGGTGAAGCGGGACGTGCGTTTCTGATCCTCCGCTGAGGAGAGGGTGAGTGTTTCGCTCGCCGCACTCTGTCTTCTGGACCGACACGTTCACGACTACGACAACCTCCGCCCACCCTCCACCCCTCGAGGCGCGCCATATCGACCGGCAGTACTGCACTCAAGCCACCACCCAGTACACGACCCCCGCCTGGCCGTCGACGACCGTGAGGCACAGCACCCGGAACACCCACCCCTTTCTTCGTCTCCGCCCTCACAGGTCCCTCGCACCACACACGCTCGCTTTCCGCATCTTCGACTGCATTACGACTCTCATTCTTTTCACGGCCTTGCGACTTTCAGCGCTGCTCTCTGTCGGTCTTTTGGAATCTGTTGGACACGTCGCCATTGTTTGAAGACTTCCCGACGACTACTCCGCCAAGCACCCACTTCAGCCCCGACTTCTCGATCAAAGGGAACAGAACTGCTCCCGATCCAGCATTAGCACGGTGAAAGACGACGGGCCTTTGTTTGAGAAGACATACCCACGTGCTCCCTTTGTGGTCGGCTTTGAGTTTGGCGCATTCGAAATTGGAGCTGGACATCGCACTTCTGCTGTGACGTCCCGAGTCTCGACTCTTCGCCCTTCCATTGCGCGATCGCGGTTCCAACTACAGACATTCCTTCAACGCGACGGACGGCCATGATGGCTTAGGTCCCGACCACGATTACAAAGATCCCGCAGTTTTGTAGCGCAAAACAGCAGGCCTTGATTTTTCGGACGACTTCCCGTCCACCACACTCGCTTATACCCAACTTCGAACTGGTACGCCTTGTCTTGAGATTGGCATACTCGCGACCGACCCGCTGATAGTGTCTAGGTTTCACCACTTCTGTTTTTCGTTCCAAGATTGATACCTTGACTAATCCACCATGCGTACTACATCAACAGCAGCATGGACAGCCGCGCTCGCGGTCATGTCCATGCGTGGACCTTTCACACTTGCGGAGGCTGCGCCCGCTCGACCTCAAGACCAACAACGACCTCAGTATTACCTTCCCAAGCATAGGAGGGCAGCGGGAGGCTACAACAGCTCGGCCCCGGCGGTGGAGAGCACCTCGACGGAGTTATTGGAAACGGAGACAGACATTCACACGCGCATGACAAAACATCGCACGCAGCATCCAGATCCGTTGACGCAGGAACCACCACCTCCGCCTCCGGTTACAGAAGAGGACACCTCCACGCGTTCGAGACGGCCGCGAACTTCTACGAAGAGCACGCCTACCGATGATGAGATGCTGTCAAGCTTCCTTGCGGAGGGCTTGCTTCCAATGACAGAGAACACGGTTGTGACTACGACGATGACTCTGGCGCGGAACAACCGACCCAATGCTGAGGGGCATACGTGGACTCTCACGTACACCGAAACTGACACGGCGACTTCTACGGTCCATTCATCGATAGCGCCTGTGTCCTCCAGCTCGTCGGTGATACCTTCATCGTCGAGCTCATCGATTCTACCTGCGCAGTCGAGTTCATCCTCCTCGTCAGTACCTCTTTACACCTCGGTCAGTGTGCCTTTGTACACTTCGCCGACGGACATTTCAACGCCTCTGGAGACCACCACGACGACGCCGACGCATCGACGACCTCAGCCACACTCTCAGGAGTCTTCTGTGCCGCCGTCCTCCTCGGAAGCGGCAGTCTCCTCCTCGGAAGCGGCGACTTCTTCCTCGCAGATTGCATCGAGCAGCATTGCTGCATCTTCTTCGGCAGTGTCTTCTGAGGCGATCTCTAGCAGCATTGCCGCGTCTTCTGAGGCCCTCTCGAGCAGTTTCGTTGCGTCTTCCTCGCAGGTGTCTTCGGAAGCGATTTCCAGCAGCATTGCTGCTTCATCCTCCGAACTGTCCTCGCGGGCGCTATCTAGCAGCGATGTGGCCTCTTCTTCGGAGCTGTCATCGAGAGCTTTGTCCAGTAGCTCTGCCGCGGCGTACACACCTCCCGCATCGACCTCGACGCATTCCAGCTCGATACCATACCACGTCGGCAATAGCTCGTCGCTTTCCGCTGGCCCAACTGCTCACTCGTCGAGTTCTAGCTCAAGCTCGCTTCCAGGGTCATCGTCGGCCGCTGCGTCTTCATCTGAGGTATACTCGTCGAGTTCGATCGCTGCCTCGTCCTCTGCTGGCTTTTCCTCCGAGATGGCGTCATCTTCTGCTCAGCTGTCTTCGTCTGCTCCATACTATTCAGCGCCAGCATCTTCGTCTGCGTTGGAGTCATCTTCTCTGCCAGCATCGTCGTCTGCTCCGTTGTCGTCTTCATTCGAAGCTGCGTCGTCTTCAGAGGGTGGCTACTTTGGCTTCCCCACTGGAATCTTCCACAGCTTGACTGCATTGACTGGCAACCACGGCAAGCCGACCTCCACTGGCCACAGGCAACCTCAGCGTCCTCACCAGACGCAGGAGAGTGTTGAGGTGTCTCAGTCCTCGAGTGCAACGGGCACGGGTCTGCTGCCGTCGAGCATCGTCCTGCCTACTAGCCGTACTGGCACTGGGCATGGCCAGCCGGAGCAGTCCAGCTCTTCTTCTGCTGATTATGAAAACCCCATCTTTGGCAGTCATGGTATCTTCCCAGCACCTGGACACACGAGGACGCGCGATCACGAGACTGAGACATCAAGCTCTGCCCCTGCAGAAGGCACCATCCCATTGTATGGCACGCACGGCATCTTTCCACCCGACGAGCCTTCGCCCACCAGGCATCACGAGTCTGAGGCAACGCGTACTCGCAACTACACCGCGTCAAGTGGAATCATCGTTGGCCTTTCCACAACTATCTCAGTGCCTCTGGAGTCCCCTGGACCTCACCATGGTCGCCCTACTCAGCCCGACTTGCCCGGTTTCCTGACAAGTGAGCTCGGCATCACGGGCCCTACTACCGGCTTGACGAGACCAACCGGCCTGCCGTATGAAGCACCATCTGAGTCTTCAGAGCAAGCACCCGCCTCGTCCTCCTCACGCGACTCAGGCGTGCTTGGCCCTCAGCGACCCCATGGCACCCCGGGTCTGCCGATTGGCTTGACCAGCGATCTTCCAACCCTACCTACTCTGACTGGCGGCATCTTCCCGTCGAACACGGACGTCTCGCCTACCGGCGCGTCGAAGACCACTGACGGCATTCTGCCCCCAGTAGGCAGCCCGATCGGCAGTGTGATTTCGGAAGTGACTGGGCAGTTGACGACCCCGACCGATGTGTTCCTGTCGAGCTCGCCGGCGGCTGGAACTGGCGCGACAACCACTACGGATGGCATCTTGCCTCCGTTGGGCAGTCAGGTTGGCACCGTCATCTCCGAAGTGACTGGGCAGTTGACGACTCCGGGGGGATTATTCCCATCTAGCTCGCCGGCGCCTGAAACTGGCGCGACAACCACCACTGATGGCGTTCTTCCTCCGTTGGGAAGCCAGGTTGGCACCGTCATCTCCGAAGTGACTGGGCAGTTGACTACTCCAAGCGGCGTCTACCCACCAAGCTCAGCAGCTGCGGGCAGTGATGCGACAACCACCACCGGCGGCGTTCTGCCTCCGCTGAGAAGTCAGATTGGCACTGTGATTTCAGAAGTGACTGGGCAGTTGACTATTCCAAGCGGCGTATACCCGACTGATTCGGCAGCGGCAGGTACTGGATCTACGACTACTGATGGCGTTCTCCCTCCGCTGGGAAGTCAGGTTGGCACCGTGATCTCTGAGGCTACCGGACAATTGACCGTTCCAAGCGGCGTCTACCCAACCGATTCGGCAGCGGCAGGTACTGGATCTACGACTACTGATGGCGTTCTCCCTCCGCTGGGAACTCAGGTCGGCACTGTGATCTCTGAGGTCACCGGGCAGTTGACTATTCCAGGCGGCGTATACCCAACTGATTCGGCAGCAGCAGGTACTGGATCTACGACTACTGATGGCGTTCTCCCTCCGCTGGGAACTCAGGTCGGCACTGTGATCTCTGAGGTCA